AGGTCGCAGAAGCAAGTATTCATTTATCGACATTCCTAGCGCGAGATATCAATATTCGTTTTTATGTAATATTCTTCAGCCTCGATGATCACCAAAGGACTCTGTCGGGCCAGTATTCAAGGTACTTTTCAAATGAATAAGCCACACTACATATAAGTTTTCATCAGTCCATTCAGTAGCAAGGTCTTTAAGGGAAGAAATCCGAACAACTGAATGAGTGTCAGCCAGCCAGAATGAATGGCACATCCACGGCCTAAATTTCCAGAAGTAGGTTGGAGGCGTTTAACGAGACTTGATCAATGCACTGTATATACCTAGTTGTTGACGTTAGTGGGTATTTATACTCACTTGTCTTTTACGAGGAGCCTGATTTTCGTAGATAGATACACACCCAAGTTAATGATTACGTGTCATTGTTTTTTTGAGGTCCCCTTACACTGATCACAGAAACTGCCAATCACTTTTTGCTGTCATGTATCTATTACTTCTGCACCACTTAGAAGCTACATTTACGTGGAAACATTTATTTTGTTTATTCTATTGAGTGATTCAGGCACATAGTTAACAATTCTTCTATCTATTCCTAACCGTGCAGGTATGTCACGAGAAATACCACAATAAACCATGAACTGCATGATACACCGCGAGCTAGAACAATTTAATAGAATGGTATACTCAATTACACCAATAGCCAATGATTTTGGGTGATACCAATGATTAGGTGGTGTCCTGTGACCAAACCGTTTAAATTATATAGTGGGGCAGCAAATCACAGCTCGTGGCAAAATCGTTTCCACCCTTATCCTGAATGTATTGATCTGGTTTGATAAATAAGGAAGACATTTCAGTGAATCGGGCCTTATTTATGTTTGTCAATGTTGGTTAAAGGAGGAAAACCCTTCACTAAGAAGTCAATCGTTGGTTGAACTGAATGGTTACAAGCCATTAGATACAAAAGTAAATATATCATTTTCACATGGTTTTAAAAATTGAGAATTATCACGCGTCGTCTTCAACTTTCATGAATATTCATTGACTATTACAGACTAACAAATGAACACTGCAAAGCGGTCCCATAATCTCCGTAATAAACTTCACCTTCCATCAGATGCGGGGACGGATTGGACACAGGGCCATAAACTACTCGCATCCTTCATCAGTAGTATACACCGTCACGCCAGTAGAACGATATTCGGTTGAGTTAATCATGCAGTTCAAGTAGAGCTTGTTCGAAATCTTTTGGAATGCAAAAAAACACGGTGCAGCTGTTTGGTCTTTATTGGGACTCACTGGAGCAGTATAACCAATGGTTCACCGGATAGATTTGAATCTGCAGCGTTGAACAGGCCGAATGAGCATTGAAACTATGCTGGCCGACAGAAGGATTCTGAAACTTGTTCTCATGTCATCACTTGAGACAACGGCCTGAATAGTACATTCCAAACTTGGCGTCAGAGTAACTGAATTTTATGGGTGGTTTTACATTCTGATTGGTAAGATGTGTGAAGTTTTCTAACGTCTAGTCGCCTTAGAGGATACCGATGACCTGTATGTTGATCAACTACACCCGCTCGGTACCTTCCAGCGTGAAAGTTTTGCCTTTCTATCATTCGGCTCAGGATTCCAGCTTGAATTTAGCTGTTTTATCATTTTAACCTTTGACAGGATCTGAAACCATGAATTGTGCATAAGTCTTCGGTTAAGTCAAGCACAAGTTTGACAAACTACGTGAACTGCATTTGCTCCCAAGGTGAATATCAGCTGCTGTTTCCAGTTTTTTGTTGCGCACATTTTAAATTCTTTTCGTCATATACAGCATTCCAAATGATATCACTGTCACGGTGACGGGTTCAATTATGCCCCTGCGATTCATGCTTCACTACTGCGGGACTTAACTAGCTAAGGGATGTAGATGATGTAGATGAACCGCATCAGGAAATACAGTTCTTTCAATACGTTTTCTTGCGAAGCCTTAGTATAGAACACGAATCCCATCCATGCTATACATAAATACTAAGAATCACTAGAGAACACTTACTCCTAAGAACCTGGCCAGACATGCCTATAGATTAGGATAAGATCCAGACTGCCAAACCAATTCAGTGTGTTAATGTTTGACTTTCCTGCGCCTAATGTCTTGCCAAAACGGAGGTACCCACATCACGATGGTCCACAGACTACACAAAATTATCTACAAGTGCTTTCATACTGTATCTTGCGTCTTTCCAGCCTGGTGAAAATAACAGCTTTATCGTAAGCGCGGAAGATAAACCGGCCTCTGAAGTTGTGAACAGGTTTGGTAAGGGTGAAACAGCTGTACACTGCTCTTCAGTCTTTTTTTAACAAGAACAACTTTATTTACAGGAGCAAACTTCAATTAAAACATATTTACCTCTTAATGAGCATGATAATTCAAATGAAGAAGTCTTACCAAGAAGGTCTTAACAGGCCTTAGCAATGCTACGCCATTCGAGCCACTTCACCTGAGCTATACTTTTCCTCATAGCCTCAGATGCCAATCTCTCAACTTTTTTCAGTATGACATGCGTCATTCAGTCTTGAATATGATACCAAGTAATAGCGGAGAAAGAACGGTGCGAAATTTTTCTATAACCGTTGATTTTTCTGCAGGTGACGTCAGTTCTCACTACTTGGGGCATTTATTTCTTAAAACAAGAGGCATAAAGTGCAGTATTCACATATCTGTCCACTCAGTCTCTCTGTCTGATCAGAGACGAAGGATTTGCAAGCCAAATGCCAAAATCGGTAAACATATGAAGAGGCATTTGTTCAACTGTCAGGTTTCTGTTCTTCTCACTTGCTTTGCACTTTCTTAACAGAAATTTGCATTTCGTTAAATACCACGACACGTCTCTTTTCATCAGTTTTGCAGCCTACAGATTTATTTACACAAAAAACCGCAAAAAAACGAATGTGCACAATATTTTTCATCACTAAGTGAGCCTAATTTCAGCGAGCTTTACCACATGAGCAGCTGTCAGTGTGTTTGATTTAGAACAATTCCTTTTAGACAGCTTGTGCAAGCAACCAGGCAGGTGTTGGCAGGAGAAAGAGTGATATTATTACAACCTGAGTACGTTCGTTTGTAAACAACGATCGAAGTTTTTTTTTACAAACTTGTAGGATTTCCAGGCACACATTTTGCACCAAAATATACGAACATTCATCTCCCCATAATGACATGATCGAACTTTGACAAAAAATCTGATTCGCCCAGTGAAATCGCTTAGTTCATGTATGCACGATTCATCGTCTTAGAGCAGCTGATCTCACACTGTTTACTTACAGAAGCTCAAAGAAGAACCGTAATTTACCATCTTTTTCTGTCTTAAACAAATTTTTGATATAGGGTAAAAAAGTGGCAACATTTCGGAAAACGCTTATCCCCATACATTGTGTCATGTAATTGCAGATATGTGTGCATGATCTACTCTATAGGAAGCAGTAATAGCATTTAAGGAAGTCATTCTTAGACTTTTGTTTTAACCGAAACCTCTCAATGTCTCTGGTTTACATTAGGCGCTCAGTTTGTTACGTAGTACTTAATGTGTTGATACACATTACCAATAGTAGTTCTTTCTTTGGGTCACTGCTAAACCAAGAATTGTGTGTAGGCATATTTTCCAGAAAAAAACAAGTATATCGCCACAGTGGAGCCAAAAGTACATTTTTTGCTGGCCCATTGTTTTTGATGTTTAATGTAGAGTATAGGTGCAGCCTCAAAAGCTCTCCATCTCGCCATGGGAGCTAACATATTCAGTCGGGCAACGGAAATTCTTAACACAAGAAGGAAGTTTGTAAATCTTGTTTTGTGGCCACGTTTGCGTAATTATCTTCATCTGTGCTTCTAACAGCGAAGAAAATGCCGGTGTTACTATAAGTCCATTTTCTGATATTTTACTTCAGCGTGATGCGCCTTGGTGAATGATTCATCTAAATCTCATGGTTTTGCGACGAAGTTTGCTTCATTTATGACCGGTGTTGTCAGATTTCCTTGGACAGTCGTACAGGATCCCATCATAGCAAGCACTCTATGGTCCTTTAACCTTCAATGGGGTCTCCGGGAAATAATGATCCAAGCCTAATAGAACAAAAACTAATTTGCCCTTTAAATCTAGATTCTCAACAAAGTTTTCCCCAACCTTACAATTCCTCATGACTTCCTCCAGGTGCCTTATTTCAATTTACCTTACTTGAAATTTTCTAAATTGTAGAGATTCCAAGCCTTGAGACAATCTGTGAGCTCCGTGCCACATTGAAAAAGAGAGGAATGGGGCCTGTTATCCGTCTTGTTTTCTCATTATCCACGCTTCCCACAACACGAACTGTGGTTTGTATAAGTTCTATTTAGAGGTTGAAGCCTATGCTAAACCAAGGCTACTTACATCGACACAAATTCGGGGATGATGACATCTCACTTTGTTCTAACCAGTTTGGCGCTCCACGGAGAGAGTTAATGCTATGCAGTGTTTTATGAGACAGGGTCAATAGAATCTGGAGCTATGGCGAAAACAACAGATGAACAAATGTCGTTTTGACGTCAGGTCAGAAGACATAGGTCAATAGATTGGTGCTACTTGTGATTTGCCATTCATCATGAAAAAATTTAATGGGTTAGAAAGTGATTCCTGCACTGATAAGGCTTGTGACGGGCAATCCCATTGTAAAATGACGCAAAGTATCAAAGGTGCTGGGTACTTGAGAGCAACCGAAGCTATTCAATGAGAAGGGACTGTGAAGTATCGAAAAGCGTCTAGGAGTTAAGCAGTTATACAAGATACTAACGGTCTTTTAGAGTCTGTGGACCAAATACGATACACCGAACTTGATTGTTTGGAGTTTCTTCCAGCAGCCAATCGAGTGCTGCTCCATGAGCGTGTTATTTGATCATAGTACCTATGCATGGTTTTTAAGTATAGAACTCTTCTCAGCAGTGGGAGCCTTAAAAAATTAATCCTACCCACTCTTCTTCCTTATAGCATATCTATTGAAGACGACGCCTTTGAAAATATGACGTTCAGAGATATCCCCATACTGTTAGAAACGCTGAATGAATATCTGAACAGCCCCAGTGAAAACAAACAGCGGGAATTTCCAGAGATCTTTCAAATAGCAACCGGGTAGGTGATTTTCAAAGGCAGTTGGCTCTTCAAATTTGACATAATCGCCTGATCCTTTTTCTTCTCTTTATTCCACTTTAAGGCAACACAAAAAACCGAACATGGATATACGTTTTCCTCTCAGTTCAATTCTGATGGTACTTTTTAAAAAGGTCAGTTTTTCTTGGTATTTACTAAACCCTGCTTGCTTTAGTTCAAAGAGCAGAAGTTCACACAAGAAGACCTGTCTATGATGATGAAGATCATTCGTCCAGTGGTGAACCACACCTTTGACTGCTCGTCGACTTGGCAGAATTGGAAACATGCGTAAGTGTCACACGAAACCGTATCACGTACTAATATTACGGTAATTTGGTCCAAACCCATTAGGGCTATAAGACATCAAACAACGGCGGAGGGTCGTTTGTGTTGCATCAATGCCAGGGCTGATTAGGTGGGATTCATAGTTTATGAGATAGGCATCTGTCGTGAGCCAGGTGCTAATATCCTCCAGGTATGACAAGGAGGTTGTTGCAAATTTTTCAAAAAGTAAATAACAAGAATCCTAGTAAAATTTTGGCGTGCAGAAAAACAGGGATGTTCTCTTCCTCTCAAGTGACTATTCATCTATCTGAACATTCATGTGGAATGCATGTGAAATACGAAGCAAAAAGACACATATTATAGAAATAGGATGTGATGCAGACTGCGGTAACGGCAAAATCTCCCAAGGTAACACGGTTAGCCAGTAGCCATCCGACTTCTGCTAGAAGTCTGCCAACCAATCGTCGGAGTTTTTCACACTGCTTATTTGAAAGTTGAGATAAGCCTGTCAACAAGGTTCATTTGGTTCAGTCAGTAGTGCAGATAAATAGTGGTCACTGCGGACGACACAATTAACCAAGCAGCCGATCAAATGCTGAGCCACCTGATATCAAACGAATTCGGACAATCAAATACAGAGCTTGAGATTGCGTCCAGGAAGACTACGCTAAAAAGCCTCAGCGGTTTCGCTTAATGAAATGAAATTTTACAGGAATAAACCAAGAAGTGCATCTTGAGTGGTTCCCGCGATCACGGGATGGTGTCAGCAGGAAAACCGTGGTGAAATCACCGGATGCAATAAATCTGCTGCTGATCACACTAATTGCACTACCCTAAGCGTTTGACAACAATACGCTAGCTGAGAACTGACTATACTTATTTCCTGCTGCTGGTGAACTTAAATCTGTAACGAAAAGACAATCAGGTTGTGATATTTCGTAAGGGAGGAGGTGCAATCGATTATCAACACACTGGTGTTTTAAAAAACAGAAGATTCCAATGATCCACTTACACTTATTGCCAACTTTGAGAAATGGTGTGTCAAACTAGTTAAACAAAACTTTTGAACGATTCCAGTTCTTTCAACATGGCCAAGTCTGATGAGTCCAGTGATCAGCACACCCTGGTGCTCAAAGTTTAGCCAAAACTTTGCGACAGCTGAAAAAAGTATAAAAAACAATCTGACAAGGGATAAAACAAACTACGGACTCCAGAACGAAGGTATTACCAACAGACGGTCGAAATGCGACCAACTGTCGTTAGATCAGTGTGGAACTATATGTTTCTGGGAGACAGCAGTAGACAGTCATAGGGGACGCTTGACTCTAAGTTAAGTGCCAAGAAATCTAAAGAAACTGCTGGTCCGACTTTGAAATTAGTAATGCGAGTTATCTCCCGAACTGGTAATGCATACGGTAATCGCTAGCACATTGGGTGATGAGAAAATAGTTCCAGAATTCAAACTCCTCTCTACGATTGACTTCACAGGGATAGGCAAAGTTAGCTAACCGAACGTCTAGTGAGAAACCAAGCGTGACCAAATTATGAGGGCGATAACTCAGTTACTTACTAAAAAATGGCCACAAATTAAAGCATAAATTTCACCCCACCTGAAGTGATTTCACTATGAACGAAAAGACAAGTTTACTAGTTTTCTAGAACACGTGACCTCCGGCTTACCAGAATGATGCTCCACGATGTGTGCACAGCAACATTATTTAGGAAAACTCACTCTTGGTCAGTCAACAATGATTGTGAGGCTGAAAACAAGTGCTGACCATACTATTTTTACCCCTTCATTGCGCACCTCCGCGGGACGTCAAAAGGTGTAATTTGGTATTTCTAGTTTAACGTTCAACTGCTCTGCCATTCTTTTGCTAGTGTGTGTACAGGTGGGAAGAGAACACTTAATGAGATACAATCTGAACCATAGCAGGGTGCATACCCCCAAATTCAGTAAACACAAATCACACAGCTATTTACTGCACAAACACCGAAAGGACACAAAAAGTGACTTTTTCCACTTTTTTATCAGTCTTCATAAAATAACTGTTTAGAAGAAGAATATGCCCAAAGTTCAGTTTCTCCCAGATTCAAAACATGCCAGAGAGGTCGAGTGGTTGTGATGAGCGGCGCACCAAATTCTCTTCATCAGTGAGACGCATTAGTCAAAACCACTGGTAATGAGGCACGAGATGGGCACATTTGCCTCAGCAGTAGTTTTTTCAAAATCACATCACTCTTGCTCGAACAGCCCTTCTTTTGCTCTGGTCCAACTATTCTGGTGAGTCCGCTAACAAGTGGAGAAGCGTAACTCCACGTCACTCTAATTAGAGTTTAACAGCGAAGCATATACTTGGCAGTGCTGGGACGTGAACTCCAATCCAATGATTCTCTACTCTGGTATGGACTGAACAGAATAGATGTACTCGGAAAGCAGTGATACTGTCCAAACGACAGTGATATGAATGTGAGATCTACATAATCCCGAAGACCACTAGAACACAGGTAAATCTAATAAATCTAATAATCTAATAATAATCTAATAATAATCTAATAATAAATCTAATAATAAAGAGTAAAGTTGGACAATCAACTGATTAGGTTCACACGCTGCGAACACAGGTACTTCAGTGACCATGAACGCAAGATCTGTTAGGCCTGCTTTCATGCTTGAGGTGTCTTTCAACTGTTTTCTTCAAACGAACCGCCTTTCCGCTTTATATCGCGTGTGACTGAGAAAGTTGGGGTAAATCAGTGCCATCAGAGTGAACAGGTTTCCAAGTGTTCCGTGACTTTAATGACCACATACGTGAATAGGAGATATTAATTACATTTTGTCAACATTTTTCACACAAAACTTACTCTTACTAATACCTCATGAGATTTAGAGTGTCTATTGCACTTTTGTCACGACGGATCGTCGGTAGATGCACAAAAATCACCGAGGGTAATTTGTACGTGAACAAAATGTGAATCCGTATGAGTAAGAAAGCCAGTGGTGATGGATAGATTCTGTAACAAGTGCGAATGTTAGCAAGTACTACTGTCATTTCTCGTCGTCTCATTTCACAGACACGAGACCGAGTCATGTCCCGTCAGTGGATCAACTTTGACGCCGGTTTCTGGAGTCCTTTCAGGGAGCATACGTTCTCTTTTTTCATCCGTAACAGGTGAGTATCAAGATGTATTTGCAAACATATCATCATCCTGGAGCCGTTCTTCCATAGGGATCAAAGACGCAGTTTTTTCAAAAGCTGTTCTCTTCATAGAGAGAGACAAGCAAATGTAGATACGACAAAAATTTCCTTTTTGTGTGGCTCCTGTCTTCAGGTACTTGACCAGTCATTCCTTCTCAAAAATTCTTCAAAGTCTTATGTTACGAGGATAGTATGGTGCCTCCAAGCAGACCAGTGGAATCCCTCTACAACTACCCGTGGAGTCTACATCGGAGGTAACAGGCTATTACCACGACGTCCAACTACCTTATCTTAGAAGCATATCCGCTAAAAAGTCAAACAAATAAGATCAAGAGTCTCGTCTAGAAAGAAAAGAGGGAATTAGCGTTGGAAACAACAACAACAACAACGACTACACACAAGCGGTTAAAGTGCTCGGAGATTCGCAGCCATTTGCTACAGCAACGAAATCCCACTTATTGCCAGTCCGCTCACAGCATTTTGTGGCGCCTTTACATTTTGTGCAACCTTCTGTCACACAAAAGCACCAAATATTAGAGGAAACGATGCTGCACTCCCTGTTCGAAGATAGCTGGACGACTACTGAAAGAAAACAGCTAGGGCAGTCCGCTAGGATCTTGTCAACGGAGTGGTTTTCAAAGGGGACTTCACGACTTTTTTGCCTTTCTCTTACTTGACTGAGCAGAACGCTTAACATGGTCACAAAACTGTTGAGTTGGCGGCAGATAACTCGTGGCTTTGAGACCACAAGATGAAAAAGAGGCCGTGAAAGCTCTGGTCAACACGATGGAGTTAACAGATAGTGTGGATGTGTTATTTACAGAGTGGATCGACTTCAGCAGTCTTGTTCGTAGGGCTCGTTTGCAAGCACAGCAGGAGCCGATTATGACCCACCGCCTGCACATGGTTATGTATACTGAAAAAAGCTGACGAAATATGAATAGTGTTCGTTTTACTAGGCCACACTGGAGACTAAGTATATCGGCTGTTAAACGCATTTGCCCTCAGCAGTTATGTCACGTGACCATCCATACATTCGGGTACCTGGAAAGTAAATTCGTGTGATGTCAGTATGACTGAGCACACTTGTTTGGATTTGTGTTGAGGGCGGGAGGTGGACAGAATTGATTTAGATTTCCAAGAGATCCTTATTTCCGGGGGGAAGTAGATACTTATGAAAACAGGACATTATCCTTGTGTATGAATATAAAATGGTGTATTTAGTCAAGCTAATACCGTATTAAAATTACCCAGCCAAAGTTGCTTGGTGCTATTTACGTTGACTGAGTACCCTTCAGCGTATGCAACCGAAATATTGCTTAGGGTAAATTCCCTGCACAAATTAAGGCACTTGGAGATTTTTCTACCTAAACAGTTGCCATCATCATGAAACCGCATCGATAAGTGTATTTACCAAAGTGTAAAGGTCCACTCTACCAGACCCGCTGTCACTCAGTAGCAAAGCTGAAACAAGTTACTTCCAAGAAAACATTAAAACTGTAGAATTAAACACAACTGGTTTTACACGCAAAAACAAGGTAAGCGGTGTAAAAGAACAACTGTTAGTGCATTACAGCAGGTAGTCTGAATAAACGACAAGCTGATCGATGAAGTTGAGCTGGTTTTGTACCATAGATCAAGATTTTCCGGTGTGATACATTTCAGCTGAATGAGAATTGAAGCAAAATCGTGTGACTTCAGCGGCATTTCGGCAGTACAAGCATGTGAGTTCCCCTTCAGACTCTAGACTGTGCTGTGAAAACAGGGGCCCTAAAGTGACTAGGGCACTCGGAGGATCAGTGCGTAATTGGTCCGTCATTATCTCATCCATTATGGCACCATCCTCCGCCTCAACATAGTAGGTTTCATCTTTGTTTTGTGTTTGAAAATATATTTGAGCGGTTAGTTTAACTGAAGGAAAAAGTGAATAAGGTATGTGGCAATTTTAACAGCGAATGGGACAAAATGCGTTTGTGATAGGGAACATTCATACAATGGAATAGTTGATCTGTCGTGAAATGCCCGTCCAAGTGTTTACGGTATTTATTAGAGATGATGTTAGACATTGATCAACCTATTGAAATTCACTGAAGGTGTGCGTCCCGAGACGTCTGAGGCATAAAAGCGTCACGTAAGGAGAACGCTGTCCCAGTATGAACAGTAACTAATGACCTATATAGTTTATCCGTGTTATATCACGGATAGGCTGGAATAAAAATACAAGAAGACAACGAAGAAGACGCACTTGAGGAAGTCTAAAAAACTTACCACATTGCTGACTTCATTGGAAGCTACCTCTCTGTGTATCGCATCCCGGACAAGGAAATATGTAGAATGTAAGGAGAGGGGTGAGGAACATGGGTCTGTGTTCCGTAGAGTGCTTTTAGGAAAACATAGTGGGAAGGCCGTTCATTTATGCGGTAATCCCTGTCTATACGCTTCATTACTTTTGAACTAGAGACAGCTCAGTTCTTAAGGTGCGAACTTACGGATTGGAAGGTTCGTGGTTCAGCTGTAACCCCGGCATTTGGACTGCTGCAGTCTAGGTTTCGACAACCAGACAATGTCTCAGTCTCTATCCTTCCTTCAAGTGATTTGGCAGCTAGGCACCAAAAGGTTTTACAGCATGTAACATGTGAGTTGGACCAGGCCGACCAGAGACTCACTGCAGGTGGTTGGCCATTGTGAATAGTTACACTATACAGAGGTCTCAGTTCACAAATTCTTTCTTCCGTCCAACTTGCGGAACCATATCAACTTGAATAACACAAAACTTGCTTCATTAGTAACTACCATGGCTTCAGAAATTTAGCGCAGACGAATAAGTATTCAAGAGTGCCGAAATAGGAGGAGTTTCCATCTTTTTCACTCAAGTGTGAACAACCCTTCTCAGTCCGCGCACGTTTTTTCTGTCAGTCCACATGAAAGAGGAGTCATTGAACTTGAGTTCCGCTGTTATCGGAACTAATCGACAGGGTACCACATCTCTGTTGCGTGCCGCCTCCGTATTGAAAGGAGCCTGCTACCATTAGTCCGTTGGTACATGAAGTACGCACCCGGATTATACCACATTCAAATGGATGGACGTGTTCGGTGTTGAGCAATGTGTTTAGCCCGCCGGCGACTACACACAGAAATTATCGGACAGGCTTGGAACATCAACTGGACTGCGTTGGCAAGCTGTAAATTGGATGGACCGCTTGGCCGTCAGTTGATCATAGTTGGAGATCTCCTACAAGCCAATAAGATCGCTCCAGTGTCAACAGATTTGCCAGCCCAACCGTAAAAAGTCAGTTGCGTTCGGCAGGCGCTGTTGAAATAGTGCTAGCAGACCCTCTGGACACATCAATGACCTAAGTTCGAATTTCATCAAGAACAAGAGAATACACTTCGGAGGGACCTTAAAGAAAGCCAAACTGGACACCCGTATTCCTATCGTTGGGCGTTGACCAGCCACAGTGATTGCACCAGGACCGGAAAAGGGACATTTAAACAAGTAATGCCAATTCAAGCAAAGTACAAATTGTCGACTAAAAGTAGCAAAAATCTGGAGTGGAACATATTTCGCAGTCAAATGAGGAATGCATAGGGCCTCTAGAATCTTTTGATCGGCAGACAAATCACCCATAGAATATTATTTCTGTGATTCCTCTTCAGAGTGTCTGTCGCTTCTTGGTCCGGGAGGTGAGGCTTGGTGTCTGGCCATGGACATACTTTGTGTTCTAACGACCTGCTTCCCGGTAAGTTCGCAAAATTGGCAACTGGTTTAGCATTCAAGCACCAGCTCGATCCATCAGCATATCGTTTACCAGCAGTGGTACTTTGCCGACCAGCATACTGTACCTTCTCTGGATGCGTTCCAGAAGTAGACATATCATTTAAAATATTGCTTGTCTAGGTCTGTTCATCTCAAATGTTTTAATTTATTTAGAATCCATTGAGATTGTAAAATTTAGCTTAGTGTGACAATCAGGTAAGTGGGCCAGCGGTCGAACCCTTGTGATTGGCTTTCTTTGGAAGCACTAGCAGCTCATGGAAATCAGTCGCTTACAATGAAACAGCTGTGTTGGAGTGTGCAAACACTAGGAGAGATGAGAGAATGCATCTAAACGGCTACAAACAATATTGTCTTGCTAATCTTGTGAGCACAAGACTCACCCTGTCAATATTATTCTTGTCATAGTCTTCCATGTTCCTAAGTCTACTGCTTATTCAGTCACTTTTAACAGAGAAAACAATGAGCTCCGTGTCAGACATCTCCATGATAGCCACCAATAAGATGATTCCACGAAAATAACTGGTGTGAAATGGTTGACTCTTTTGGTATTTGAAAAGCTGAGTGCGATTCAAAGAGCATGAACGGCTTCTTTGTTTTGAGTGGCAATATGGCGCTTTTGTGGAATAGTTGGGCATCATTAATCTTGCCATTTTTAATTGATTGTCACAGTTGTCTAAAATGTGGTGATAAAGTATCCATTCGCTTGGACAGACACAAAATCAACTTACCTAGTGGTTTTATTGGTTGGATGGTCTTCCATGGGATTCGGAGCTCGATAAGAGGATTATTAATTTGTGATAAAGTGAAACTAACCTGTGTGCTTTATTTCGCGTATAATGGACCCGGATGAATTAAAGTTGCACACTTGGTTAAGTGGTAATTCACTGAAGTGAGATGCCATATGCCACATAAACGGAAAACGTCAGTTCACTGGCGAAATTTAACCCTAGTAGCCTTAAGCTTTCATACACTGAGTAATGGCTGTTGGCAGGTTGTCAGTTTGTGCTCTGCCCGATTGCACGGGAGAGGAAGTGTTAGGTGAGGCTTGCTCTCAATTCAGTTCTTCAGCGTGGTGCTTCTTCTGACTTGAGAAGGAATAACGTTTCATCACGGGCCCCATAAGTACGTAATACACCAACTCAGGTTATGACGTCTCAATTCGTAACTTTGTTTGCATATGAGTGGTTCCAGCTGCCAGACACTCGAAATGCTAAGGTACTCGCATTTACTGATGAAAAGAGACTCGGAACTTGTCGCTTAACCTGGTCAACATGGAGTCGATTCATGAATTCATATAAGTCTTCTACATCCCACCTATATTGCAACTAGTATTCGAAAAAATCTGTCATAGAGGTGGGATTTACGTTTATTTCCCTAGGACGAATCCTGCAACCAGAGAGTTTACGACCTACTGATGGAACAGCTGAAGACGTTGCCGGATAACCCGTTTGCAGTGGTGTCTTTCACATTTCTGCTTTTCAACCTGGAAAGAAATGAGCCTTGGAGGGTAAGTATTTTATTATTAGTTCAAAATTGGATACATTCAGGGGGCTTTTTTTGTCTGACGATGAAGGATAAACCTCACTACATGCTGTCTCCAAGAGTTTGGCCTAAGTGCTGTGGTTTTGAGAAGAATGGTTGTGAGGGAAAATGTGGTCAGCGTAAGTGGCCACTGGTGGTGTGGTGCAAAAGACTTAACCAAAGTGAAAGGAGATCGAATTTGAAATGTTCGTCTTATGTATCCCAATCGAGACGAAACGCGCAGCGAACCAGCTTCCAGGATTTGCCACCTTGTTTTTATGATTGACGTGACGCATATAAGGGTATTGCAAGCTTTTGGTTTCCTAATAAAGGGTAACAGATTTGTGATGTCTGCAGGTCTTCTGGGCGTCTTTAGCTATATACAGATCATCTGCAATGTGACTAGATGGATTTTATTCATTGATCTGCAAAGAAAATGAGTTTTAAGCAAGTGCATTACGTGTGAATGCTGGATGCCCAGGTAAAAAAGAAGTGTGTTTCAATCGTGTGACGCAAACAACTTGAAAATCGATTTTAGTACTAACCAGAATCTGCCTATAAACCACATATAACGGCATAGTTATCCAGATGTGGTTTATACTTTTAATCACAGAACACGATGGAACTACTGATAGAACGCTTCTGGATGGCCTTAAAATCACGCGGTGCACTGACCCATGTGGAGTTTTGTAAGTTTCTTCTGACATGCTCAGTTAAATCAATAAACACACCATTGTCTGAAAATAATTGTTTTAGGAAGTAGTGTTACATCATTGCAGTTGTACCTGTTCTTGGTTAGTATCAATGCTGTTTTAGCAGGAAATTGCCGCTGAAACTTTGAAATCCCTTCATCACCTAAAACCTGTGAGCACTCTTCTTAATAACGTAAACCATCCGGCAAGGTTTTCTCCCAAAAGCCTGGGAAGAATTTTTACTCGGAAGAGATTTCAATGATTCACTGGTGAACAGAGGCCTCAGGTTTGAAGGTGAGGCTAAAGTAAGAGTAGCTTTGGTTTATCGGATGTTTAACTCCTCAGATATTTTGTTTTTTCCTTATCGACTACTTAGTTTTCTAGGTTCCTGGTAGAAGAAATGTGTTCAAAACTTCTTTGTTGGCGCGTCGGAATGCGTTTGTGTGAGTCGGTTTAAATTTCACGCCCAAGAATTGCAGTCTTTTGTGAAGTTAGTCGGTTGCGCTTCATGCATTGTCATAAACAGTCTTATCTATGTTCGAACTTCACAGTGTTAGGGGACTAAGGACGTGAAAAATTCCCTATCGTCATCTCATCATTTCACCAAAAATAAGCTATCCGATAATTGAGCCAATTGTTAGGTGACAAAAACAGGATTACTGACCAAAACAACAATTGTCGGGCTGAAAATCATAATAGAATACCACATCCAGACTCGGCCTTGTGAAAGTGTGTAACCGAACGGATTGCTTTTTCTGCTTGTATTGTAGCGTAAATTGAGCACCACCACCAAAGGTTTGTTCGTTAGGTCCCCGTTCATTAACACTTCGACGGACCTATCCTGCGTGATCAAGAACCGTTTTTGCTAAGACCGATGCAGGTGCTCCGGCTTTATTTACTCACTCAGCGTTTCAACCCATCACACTATGTGTTATTAAGTGCGCACTGTTTATTGGATTGCCATTAGGTAGAGCTAAGCCTCAGTCGACCTGGATTTCGATGTGTGCACCGGCTGATCAAAATGATGTTAGTGGGATACAGCCGGTGTACGGGATGCTAACGGTGCAACTTATGACCGATGAGGATTAACAGTACCTGCCGCTAACAACTTACCGGATAGTAGTCTTGTTTGGGCATCACTGTTAGTTATCAAATTGCTTCCCAGTCTGTTTTTCAAGTCAATTAATCTTTATTGGATTAATTTTCACGGTACTCGTACGGACAGAAAATTAGCTGCAAAAATGTTGTCTGAGTCATCAAATTCCGTAAGAAACACTTTAAAGATGAGAGACGAGACCAGTGCCGTGATCATTTGTCAGGCACCAACCTCGAAAACACTTCTTGCTTCGTCGAGAAAGATTCATAAGAACAAACTCTAAGTCATGAGTTTTGTGAAACTAGGCGTTTTGAGTGGTTGACCACCTCTGTATTGATAGGGACGCATATCACTACGTGCTCTGATTTCACACAAACGCTGATGTCAATGGAAAATTTGATAGCGGTGTCTTAAAGCAGCGGCAAAGCGGAACTTTTCGGGCATTTGAAGCTACCCAACACCGGCAACCTGTGTGTGCTTATTGTACTTTGTTTAGTTTTGTTTCAGCTCTTAGAGCATACGTATGGAGAGCTAATAAAGTACCGTTTTTTGTTTGGGTTATTTTGCTTCTAACACACGTGATTCGAAATACAATTATCGAGGGCGGGAGTTGCTGCTGTTTTTCCGATCTGGAGAACGTTGGGTTTAGACCCCTCTTTGCAGACGATCCCCAAAACGTGCTGTGCGTCGGCCGATACCCTGTGCAATACTGAGCCCAGTATCAATTTTGTGTCCATGAACAGAGCATAACAATATTTCCATCTTGGTGGTGAACTTTTACACTTTCTCGAGAGGCACAAGAACGATACAAAAAGAAAGACGGTCATTAGAAAGTTGTATAACTGCACTTCGTTTCCGTTCCCGTTTGGCTGCTGATCACATCGCACCTTTTTAGCAAAGGCTGGACTGGAGTTTCTTTCAACAGATATGGCCGTCATTCACTACCTATCGGGATAGATCATCTGACTAGATTTTAGTTTTTTCTGCGGACTGTGTGACATCCAGCGATAAGTATCCATACATTACACGAAACGATACGAAAAAAATACCTCTGAACCTGGAGCCTAAAAAGGAGAAGATCATAATCAGCCTCTAGGATTTTAGACAGTCTAACTATCGATAAACAATTCTCATTTATCCTGAGTAGTTATCGACCCCTCCGGCAGCTTGCCAGTTGTCAAGCCAAGGAGTATTTTAGCTGCATACGATGGATTGGCCAGATTATCCTGCGATCAACAATTAGGAGCTGTCAGCTTAATCCAACTTCTACAGCTTTCTAGAACAATCGGAGAGCAAGTGGTCTGCAGGCCATTGTTCTGAATTCGTTAATCAACTTGATGGGCTCCATTTGGACAGAAAGCATTGTGTCCTTCCTTCTGAATTTCGACGATAACTTGGTCTTCCCTGGCCCTGGTAGAAATATAGCGTCAACAGCCTGTTTTGAGATCTGCCCCTCTAGCCATTGTGTTGCTAGCTAATCGTGTTTGCGCTTCGGCAATCAAAACCTACTTTGGTTTCAACTTTCCCAAATATTAGGACCTACTGATCTTGGACCAATGTTTTGCATGTTCCTTAACGCTTCAACCATAAACAGGACCATCCGATGCCTTACTTTTGGATGACGAAAGTCCAAGTTTTCCACTTTTGGTGGACAAGGTAGCATCCAGGCAAGTGTGGAGAGAAACGGATGCGGTTTACCTGGTCAAGACCAAAAACAATTACTCAACTACCGGGGCTGTCCGCGCAGACGGTAATGGTCTTAAAACCAAGGTTTTTTTGTGAGCATCACTTGCTAAAGGTTGTGCAGAATGATTCGCGTGATATACAGACTAAGAGCTTCGTCGCGGAAAATTCAGCGGTTGAAATGCCAAGTGACTGTCTTTCCCCGAATAGTTGTGGCCACTTAGACTGGACAAAAGACAACAAAATGAAGCGAAGCAGCCTATGAAGAATAAGCGGTGAAACTATATTTAATTAGCTGTAGGTAGTTGTGGGATTTGTAGAATTTACATCAACATCACTCTCGCTTGCACAGCCCCCTTCAAGTCTGGCACGGTTATCCTGGCACATTCTCACCAAGGAAGAGGAACAGTGTGTTCAAAGTTTGCTTCTCTTGGAGCTCATCAATACATCTTTAGTGATTCTAGGATTTAAACTACAGATTTCCTACATGTGAGGCTACAGCGTTACCGCTTAACTAAGTGTCAATATGCTGTCATGAATTGCCCTCTGATGACTAAAAGTAATAGAGACTCTTTACGCATATTGGCAGACTATCGAAATATTAGTGGTTCGGGTGTGCCAACTGGTTTGTGATCAGGTGGCTGTCGCTCTTTGGAGCCCTCTGCCAAGCTCGGTGAATATATCAACAGCTACCTGGTTTACAATCAGTCATCATCCACACAAAACACAAAGGTTGAGCCACTGCCAAGGTTGCGGGGATTAAGTAGATGTGCACGCACAGATGGGACACTGGATAGCACGTGGTTTTAAGCAGTGTGATGTGTTTTGATCGATTCCCGGTTGATTATGTATGACTCACACAGGAGACAGTCGTTTTCAGTCAATCCGCAATCATATCTGGTGTGGGCGTATGTATCGTTTTTTCACGGTCATATTTCATATCGCGATGTTCATGTGGCAGTCAATTTTGTCGTTGCGTTATTTTCTTGTCCGCAACGTTGAAGTGTTGAGACCGCGGGACTTGTGCTTGCGGGACTGATCTATGGGGATCGCTCTCATTCCTTCGAGTGTCGTCCATTGTGAAAACTAGATTTGTGCAATAATCGAGAAGAGGTTTATCCAAGTTTCCTGTTAGCACCAACTTAGCTTGCAAGTGACTGCATCAGTTGGATGTCCAAGCTAGAACACAAAGTTGGTGGAAATTGTGCGATCAGGTCTGCCTGGTGAACCTTAAGGAGGATGAACCTAGTAGTGGGATGTTGAATAGCTTTCAATAACCTCAAAATGGTGTATTATGACAATAAAAATAAGCCCTACTCAAAACGGGCCGAATGAAAAGCTTGAACATTTGGGTCCAACTTAAATATGGTGAACCTCGATGGAACGAGGTTGTTGAACTCTATAAAAACGAACTGCTTTCTAAGTATCATCAAAAATCCAGAGGTGACAGCACTGGGATGGGAAAGCGTTTTCACCAAAGTCAACAGGAAATGGTCAGTGAAGTATTTGGCGTTTGAGTATCAGTTTAACACATTTCCTGGTACCCGACCTGATTATCAAGGAAAACATGTGTAAACATTTGTAAACATGGTAAATTCATTGATGTTCTCTAAGCTTACGCTTCATCTTGAGCAAAAGGGTGACAGGATTACAGGAGAACAGTTGCAGCCACTGTAGCAAACAGCATTTCGTCGAAAAAACATCAACCGTTTTTGATTGAAAACAAAATTGTGCAACCAAACTAACCACCTTACAGAGCCTTGTTTGGGCCTTCTTCACAAACAGCCTTCATAAAGACCAACTGCTGCAAATTTCAAGGGAAACATCCAAGTTATCAAACGCTCTCGGACCAACACTCGTTACTAGAAGCACTGGGAACAATAGTTCTCTGATTTCAGTAGAAAACCTTCAGGGTTATCGTGCGCTCCATGAAACCAATACCTAAGTAACGAAGGGTCCTAAGATCCTGCTGTATTTGAGAATCTGTTCAAGGATCTTACTCACATACACTTGTGTAGACCTCAGTAGTTTTTTTATACAACACCACTAACTGGGTGATACTAAAAAGTCTTAGCAGACGGACACCGGAATAGATATGCTTCTGCTTGTGTATTCATTAGTGGCTAGTTTCCGGTTATTATACGAATAGCTTTTCTCATAACTAACATGGACCTTCCAGCTTTTGATCTGCATTCATTCCTGAAAATGGACTGTTTTGTATACTCATGTGTTCTGTACTGCTTCTTACTTTGGCGTCATGTCGAACTGTGAAGCGTAGGTTGTGTGCATCACATGATCAGAAGTTTATTGGAGGAGATGACGCTTGGATTGAGCCAGGAAGAATGAAACAGGTTTGTCTGTCTTAAAAATGGGAGTTCGTATTTTGTTGACCTATACCGGGAATTTGATAAAGCGGGGGGTAAGGCTTTCATCCTGCAAGGAAAGTATCTCATAAATCTTAAGGGAGTTTCGGACCGGGACAAAAATCAATCAAAATTGTATCTCGGCGTGTCACCACCACGAATCTGGAGGTATAAGGATAATTTTCGGTAAGCTATATTGTGTGTTGTTGGTAGATCCGAACAAAAACTGTCTATATTTCTAGTTGACGATGCAAGTTACTTGTAGTACCAACCGCATGCTAGGTCAGAGGGGTCGCACAACGGCTACCAACACGTCTTTTGTTTGCTTCAATAGTTGCTTTGATGGGAAGTCGGTGCTATGGGCTGTTGAAACGCATCAGCCGGAGTTTGGGAGTCTAGGGAAAAGTCGCTGCTTTGGTTACTTTAGTCTACTTTTCATTGGTGTGCAGCAGGGTCTTGGTGAAGACCACATTTGACTGACTGGAGCTCATCATTCCCAATCACTGTGCCCGTTTTTGCCTATCACACCAGTGTCTATGTGCGTGCCTTCAGCTGACAAGAAATAGCTGGTAACAATGAGAGCAAAACTCTGAACTCCGAATATCCGTTCTTGGTAAAAGAGATAACAGATGTAACAGAATGCTAAGTGCCTTCACGTCGTTTCCATCAGTTTCCAAGATGCTTTTCTTACTCGACGGATGAGGCATCTGAATTGTTCGGAAGCCCAACTCTCGACGCACATCATATGAGGCGAAAGCCATAGCTAATGAATCTTTCGCATTAACAGTAGCTGAGAAATTTGGGATGCAATCGACAGAAAATCATGACTTAAAGATGCTAGTACAAGTTGAAGGGTGAACTGATCACCGAGTAGCTTATAGTTTCCACAAGTGAATCTGTGGAGTTGTCATCAATAAAACTAAGGTCTACCATGGTTCATGCCAGATCCCGGCAACTGTGTTGAAACAGGCTGGTGACAGTTATCGGCTATTAGCCCTTGTGGACAGAGTCCTATGAACAACTTTCTTCATTCGAGCCTTCCTGTCTACAAATTTGTCACAGAATAACCGCTTTTCGCGGGTCCGGGTATGGCGTACTATACTATCGGTTCTGCTGCTCTGCCTTCAGCGAGACCTCTTGAAAATCGTAGCTCAGTACCGATACCGGGCACAGGGAATCCGGTTCTGTGCAGTGGTCAGCAACATTTTGAGCATCCGCACAATGCAGTCAATGGATACTATTTTGACACAGTTTCCTGATAAGTTACCTCCCATATTTATACTATCTTAAAAAAGACGGGCAAACTTGGTCGTATCGGATAGACTTAGGCTTCCCACGAATTTGTTGAATATCGTTAGAAAATATATGTTTCACATGAAGTGTGAAAGATATTTGTGTGTGAATAGATTGCAACCGGCTGCATTTTCCTCAGATAACTCAACGTTGGATTTCGTTCACACTGACCTTACATTCTATAGACATATTTCTAAAACGTAACGCTTTCATGGATTCTGACATTTCGTTGGATAGGAGATAGTGCTCAGCAACAGTATTTCGGTGATTATCTTCAAGCTAAATAATGACAATTGAGTTGCAATTTTTCAAATTTCAGACCATCATCATAAGCTGCTTTCCCCCCTCGTTTTCTCGGAACAGATTATCTCTTTTGGTTAGTCCATCGTTCAGCACGATTCCGACTGATCTGTCGATCGCACGATGAACTTATAACGGCAGTAGTGGGAAATTCTCTTACGGACAGGAGACAGACTCAACGTGGATGGCGCTACGCAATCAGTTTACTCGCTAGTCTCACAGTTGGTGACTTTGACGCCCTAAGTTCAAAAGAAAGCTCGGATGTGATCTCTGATGGAATTAGTTACCGAACGCCAACCTATCTACCGAAGTCTTTCTATCGTATTCTTCAAGATTATCTGAGTGAGGCAATCCAGTCATACCCGGTCTTCCCTACTGGTGAAATACAGTCGGATGAAGATGGTACAGTATCTCTGTTACTAATTGTCAAATGTCTGTTATCCTGGGTAAGTGAATGTTTGTCAATCAAACCCATATTACTTGCGAGCAACTGCGAGGTTTGTTGAATATGAATTCATATCACTCCTTCCTAAAGTTCTTATTCCCTCTTCAGTCGATTGGCAGTGTCTTTACACCCTAAAGAGCACCTAGTGTAGTGAGATTTGGTTCTCCACAGGCCTTGCCGGTAGCATAAATCCTTGGATGTGCGGATTTGTACTCAGATCAAATGACATTGGCAGCATGCTCGTCACTAACGGACATACCCGAATAACCACTTTCAAAGACACCTGCTCTAGGCTTATGTGATATTTATGAGTGATTCTGCTAAACATTAAAGACCATAGCCCTTCTGATAACCTTGAGCGACAGTTCGCCAGACAATTCTTCCAGTTCTGGTAGCGCCGTCGATAATTACAGATGACAGTTTGGCTGAGATACGTATTGCTCAAGCGTGGACATCGAGGCTTTATTAGATGAGAGCTTTTTGCTGGCTCCTGTAACAATGTAAGTTGGCCTCACGTACACCAAGGACTACAGCTCCTCATGTGTGGTTATCGCCGAGAAGGTGTGTGAACATTTCAACCCAATCCTGCTCCAAAGACAAATCCGTCAATATCGGGCTTGTCAGGAGTTAATCGCGCTTTTAGCTGACCCCCACGGCGGTAACGCCAAACCAGGCATAGATCTGGACACAAAATCCCTTCATTAATTTGCTTTCCATCTGGTGGAGTACTTATTCGAGCCACTGCGTTGTGCGCTGCTAGGGAAATACCAGAAAGTGTGTTATCCCTGAGGAACATTATTTAGATACGGCCAATAACATAGTTTTGCTTAAGGGACAAGCCTCGGACACCGGCAGCCAGACGCTTCAGGCTGTGGAAAACTTCCCGTCCATAAGAGTCAGAATTGCATTCGTGAATTGAGACTGGGCAAGCGAAAGCTTGATGTGCTCCAATTTCCTTTCAAAGGATGGGTTCCGCTCTGTACCGCAAAACATTTCGTAACTGAAAAAGACTTCTTGCGTTGTTTATGCAATCCTTTACTTCGTTCTGGGTGGTGGAATGAATGATCCGGTATGAGCGAAGGACTCACTTATTTTGATAGTGGGATTTTTCAGTACAACTGGTGTTCTTGCGTCGGCTTAATTATCGACACATTCAGCTGCATTTCGAAGGTTTCTAGCAGATCGAGTCTTTTGGGCCATGACTCCCACAAGTTAAGTGTCAGTTTTGCTTGGTGAAACCGATGGCCGTTGAGTTATTCGGTGATCTGGGGCTCCCAGACTCAGCGCACTTCCACTCACAACGCACCTATGATGTCACCTCGACTGTCGATGAGGCGTTTGGAACCACAATACCCAGCTCAGCGAACAAACCAGCGGCCACCATTACAAACTGAGCTACCAATATTCTGTTTATATGCGACTCGGTGGAATCCCCAGTTTGATAGAACTTGAAGGCTGGGAATCATCGTTATGCTCCAATGCACGAGACCGGCGATGACTGATTAGTTCTAGATTTGGTACCGTCTAAAGCAATGGTCTTACAGAGCTTGTATCTGGTCTGATCTGAGAGTTGCCTTACCTGCTTCTGTCCTCGACGTGACTTTAATATTACACTGTGGAAGCTTAGTACAAACAAACCAGTCAAGCAGCTGGGATGCCTTTCCATCACTTGAATATCTTGACAAGATCTGGTGTTTGCGTGTTGTTGAGACATAACAGGGCGGAACAGTTCACCGTCTGTGCGTCGCTGATCATGGCAAAATCACCGGAGGAGGTGATGTGCAGTGTCACCAATTAAGGTAATATACTCGTTTGTATCTCCAGCTATCACAAGAATACCATTACTGGCTCTTGAAAGTCCCGTACTTTATGCAGTCTCTGCCGTCTGCTCTCGATGCGATCCTTCATCCGGGTTCTACTGATACCACAACTGCTGGCCGTTGAATCAATGGTTTTCGCTTATTTACTGACACCGTTACAACCAGCGTTTTTGTTAGTAGGAGCAACTCAGTTTTAGTTCATTTGGGTTATAAGGATCAGAGGGTGAAAGAGTGCCTGAGTCACCTAATCAGAAAGGTGATTAACCAGTGACCCGGATACATGACATAACAGTCGACCTCTCATGACACCGTAAAGTTCAGGTGAACAAGACGGATCTACATAGACGTGATTAGTGCTTATAGGTAAATGACTGTATGTATACCTTGATAGATCAAAAGTGCAACTATGCATCGATTCAGGGGCATTGACCGGTTTGTAGTTACTCAAAAGAGGTCAACTGCGGGGACCAACATGCTTTACCTATTGCTTTAAGCTTTCAAACCATTCAAACAACAATTTATTCCACTAACGTTCAACACCCATATGGTGAATGTTGTTCTGACAGGTTATGGTCTGGGTGACGTCCTCCTCATTAGGAGACAAGGTAGCTTGCTTCTCTACCTAGAGGCAGTCACTGTCGGCGAGAACTCTCTTGGTGAGCTGCGCCTTACAGCTTCGTTAACGGCAAAATATCCCATGCCCACTTATCTGTCTTCTTCACTTCAGGCGTTCGGGTTGCTTCCTATTTTTGAATTTCCAACGGTTGAACATATGCTGCCACTTCCAAAATCTTCCACATGTGAACGAACAAACCTGTCTTGGTCGAAGGAAACGTTGTACAGGTGTTGATTCGTTGGATCACGGAACTTTTGACTGCAGACAATAAATCCGTTGCCAACAACCACGTAAATTCAATGTGTAGTCTGATCGACCAGATCTTTCAACCTATTCTAAAATCGCTTAGCGTCAGTGGATGCACTGGCCGTTTGAGCCGAGCACATTGCTCTGATGCGCTGCTAATCACTGACGCACTCGTTCCCTGTCTAGCTATTCTATGTACGTTTGTGGGCAACCACTCGCCAAACGTGGATTCATGCTGCTCTGATGATCTCGCTTCGGTGAGTTGTGTTCATTCCAATATCTCTGGATATTCTCCAGTGCTTGAAGTGTTCAGGTATGGCTGTTTGGTCTAAGAATTGCCGGTTGCATTGGTTCTTCTTTAGCTGTATACAAAATTTCCATTCAACAAATTGATACATAGATGAGCAGCGCGAATTTGCACTGTATGTTGGTATTCAGGTAGAACACAAAGATGGCTAAACCCATCGTTACAATCCACTGAGCACACGGCAGACCCAGATTGGCTGGGGTGAATCATAGTGTTTTCGTCAGTATGATGAGTAATGCCACGGATTAAAGTAATCAAAGTCTCACCCAACATAGTAATTAGCATTCTCCGTCAGACAGCTTGAACCATTCCCGTGCACAATGGTGAAACTTCCAGTACAATCGTAGAAGTCACCAAAAATGGGACGTTTGAACGATCAAATGCTGTCGTATTTGACTGCAGTCATTACCAGTTGGTACTGCTCGAATTCATGAGCCCATCGGATCTTAAACTCCTCCTTCAGCGCTGCATTTCAACAGAACAGACCAAAGACGTCAGAAATTGCGACGTTAATTTTGACAGTTCATCATCCGACAGCCTGAAAACAAGCGCTAGCTAACCTCTGATTGTCGCATCAGGCCGCCGTCTTTTGGCGTGGTTGCCTAGTCAATCTCAAAAGGCTTTCGCTCACGATTAAAAAACATGAACTGGATAGAGCCAGCTTCATCACGTGAACACCGATTAAGATTAGGATGAACAAGTTACCTGTAGGTCCGCATTGGGCATGCTTACAGTTGTAAGCCATCCTATCCTGATGACGACAAGTTTTTGTCAATGCAATAGCGTTCACGGTAGACTGGCGTGTAAGAAATTCCAACCTACTTGATTAAAAGGATTGGGTTATTTGATAACAATTCTAGGAACGGCAGGAGGCTGAAGTTATATGGATTGAAATGAAGTCGTTGGGCTACTCACTAAAATATAATGGATCAAACCATTGTACTCATAAAGCAACAACGTTAACTGGACTGAAAAAACTGGAAAAAAACTATTGATGTGGAACAAAGCGAAGATAAGCGACGTATAAGTTATCAGTTATTGAAGAGCAGTTCGCTGCGCATGTCATTCTGATAAAGATCCCCTAACGTTGAGAGTTCAAACTCCTGGACCACGTGGTCGCCGGCTTGATTTGTGCGGAATTTTTGCAGCTATCATCCACGGAACAGGATTATCCAGGTCCTGTGAAGGTAACCAACACGCGGTTTATCCTGATCACGATCCATCAATCTGATTTAATTGCATGGGCGCGTACGACCATGCATTGCAAGGTGAGGCAGTTGATATGTTTTTCACCATGCAGTCTACAGGTAAATAAAAACTGGCATGAAGTTTATGTTTGGAGTGAAGGGATGAAATTCTGGTTTGTGGACTTCACTGCCACGCAAACCTGAGTACTTTTTAGGGAGGTTTTGAAGACGTTCATTGCCAACCAAACTCAAAAAGAGGTTCTTGGACATACTAGTGGATGCTTGAAGAGGAATGTTTGAACACGATAATGTTCCGAGTGTATGCTATAGATCGACTGTGTTTTTAACAGTTCTGAGAAGCAAATGAGAGTTTGCAGCTTGGCTGACAAAATCGAGTTTCTATTATTTACAAACGTCATAAGTACAATGTTTTTGCAAGTCGGATTCGGTCACTTTTGTTCCCGAAATCGTTTTTGTTACTGACATCCTTTCCACCCGAAATATTTTATCATAAATTCTTGGAAACGTATACAACCAAAGCGGAAGTATATTATAAACTTTCTGGCATGCTTGTCGGTGTTCTCACGTTGCGTTTGGCTAACAATGCCAACAGGACTGTATCTGAAATATTTTTCTGGTTGACTTGTGAAAATTACTCCTAATTTATGGTAATAAATGTAAACTGTCCTAAGTCGTTCCTTTTATGGCTTGGTGACTGGGATGACGTCACAGTGTTTCACAACCATGAATTCTCCATGACGATTCTACCATGGCGACTTAAACAATGGCTTGTATTTTCCATGTAGAGAGTTGCTGTCCAAACGTGGTGGTAACGGCCAGCTCCGACTCGCAGAAAATTCCGTGTGCAGCGTACTTTTTCGGGATTTGAGCACAAGTGTTTACTCTGTGCTACCATGTTTTATCGATTGGTGTCATTGATAGTTGTAAGACTCAAGTCAGCTTATTGTTATTGTTTGACGAGCGCTTTACCGTCCGTTCTATTTTCAGAGGGCAACACAAAACAAGTTCGCGGAAATATCAAGTCCTGCCATTCTGAAGCTACTTGCCTATTTAATGCAGATATTGGAACGCATGGGATTACATTCACTCGAAGCTGAGGATTTGAGTTCTATTCTTGCACTGTTCAGGTTTGCGGCCGTACGACGGTACAGTCAGCGTCTTTTGAAGGTACGTAATGATCGCTTACTGTATGATAATGCTGGAAGTTCTACCGATTAAAAATTAAAACCGCAACAACATGCGGTCAATAATTGTCACTGTTTGTGTTTTCAAAGCCGACAGGTGAACTTATTTTGGATCTGCTTGAATTAATTACGAAAAGACCCCGATGGAAGAAAGCTGTTCCACACAATAGATTAGCTACAGTTGACGTGGCAGTTTAATCCAGCTCACGACAGCTAACCCCAGGAATATTTCTCCAAATCGGTCAAGTTCCCACCCTCATTTTTATGTCCAGGGAATAGGGATAAACCGCTGACTTCTGACTTGGTAATAAGTGTAGAGTATGAGAAAACATTACTCTGCATACGAAAAATTCTCCCTTTAAAAATATTGCTGGTAGGACACTGATAAATGTAATTTGGCCGGACTTGCTGGATTCTTTGGCTGAAATACAATCATATCATCAAGAGCCGCCTCCGTTTTTCATCTACTACATACTGGGTACAAAAACTTCCCAGTCAAAGGCTTCCTTGTCACCGGAATTCCGGAGAGGCATTTTTTGTTTTGTATTCAAACTGGTTACTTGGAGAAAACTTGATGTGGTCTTTTGATAATGAGTATACCTCACTCGAGACCTTGGGCGACCTAAGAAATAACGTTCAGAAATAATGGGCTGACTGAACCCTTAGCAATAGACTTGACTGTTTGTAAGATTCCGTTTCCGAATCGAAACAAAGAGGGAAAAATCCATGTTGAGTAAGCAATAAGAAAGCCTTCTATTTCTGCTATATGAAACAGAGCCATCAAGCAACCAGTGTTTCACTTCTCGTATGAAGTGAGAACACTTGAGCTACAATGAGAAAATTGTCGTTGTGGAGCGATTCTATCAAGGCCAGTAATCAGCGGGATATGCGCACCTTTACTGGCCAGTTTTCAGAAAAACCAGAGTTTCCGAATTGTGCAATAATTTTCGGAAGCATCCTGACTATCCATTTTGACTCCGGTTTTCGGTCAGAAAGTTTACTGCTCGCCCTTGTACTCAGTTTGGCCCGGCTTACCGGGATCCATCAAATTGAGCTATAATCATTTCCTGCAAGCATTTTTCGCCGGAGTAAATTCACAGGCACATCTGAAGTTCAAAGATATTTGGTTTTATCACAGTCAGACTGTAGAAGATAGCATGTCAGCGGAAGCTGATAGTGGATGAAGCATCAGGGGATTCATGCTTGCAGGTGGTCCCAGATGGTGCTGTGCTCGACTTGAGTTCTAGTAGTTTGTGAACAGCGCACGGCTTAATGCTGGTGGCAGCAAATATTTCGGCTGCTGTACAGATACAAATGTCCGTTATGATCTATGTTGTCAGCTAAAGTAAGTATTAAGGTAGATCATTCGGTTTAGCTTGAGGAGTGTGCGTTCACCACCATCCAGTTTTGGACAGAAGTGACAGTGGACCTGGGGGAAGAAAGACTGAAAAAAAATTAGTATAGCAACGAAGGTGAACTGTCCAAGGGAGACGGATCTTATCCTTTAGTTGAATCGTTCCGGTGAACTTAGCTAGAGTGGTGGGATGGGATCGGATTGTCCGAAGCGGCATTTTGGGCTGATACACATGGTTCTTAAAAGAAAGACAAGTACATTAGAATCGAAAGTCATTGAGGAGAGTGTGAAAGCGGCACACTTGTGATCCGAGGATTCCAAAGAAACGATAAGGCTAACAAGGTACACATAGAGATCCATAGGTGGAAAAGTCCATTTTATTCGATCCGGCACTGTTGACCCTTCGACAGGCCAATAACCTTGAGATCTTCATGTTACTCGTCGGGTAGCCCTAATTCCCGAATCTCAGCTTTATTTTTACCCAAGTGGCAGCATACACCTTTTTGAAAACTAGCTTGCTGTTACTGAAAGGCAACTAAATATCAGTTCTACCTCTCGTCTATAATAATGTTTGCTGCGGTAGCGGCTCGGTGGGGAAGTCCTGACCAAAATTTTCAACCAATTGTAAGTAACTCACAAGAGAGGATAACAACGAAGGTGACTGTCCAAGGGAGACGGATCTTATCCTTTAGTTGAATCGTTCCGGTGAACTTAGCTAGAGTGGTGGGATGGGATCGGATTGTCCGAAGCGGCATTTTGGGCTGATACACATGGTTCTTAAAAGAAAGACAAGTACATTAGAATCGAAAGTCATTGAGGAGAGTGTGAAAGCGGCACACTTGTGATCCGAGGATTCCAAAGAAACGATAAGGCTAACAAGGTACACATAGAGATCCATAGGTGGAAAAGTCCATTTTATTCGATCCGGCACTGTTGACCCTTCGACAGGCCAATAACCTTGAGATCTTCATGTTACTCGTCGGGTAGCCCTAATTCCCGAATCTCAGCTTTATTTTTACCCAAGTGGCAGCATACACCTTTTTGAAAACTAGCTTGCTGTTACTGAAAGGCAACTAAATATCAGTTCTACCTCTCGTCTATAATAATGTTTGCTGCGGTAGCGGCTCGGTGGGGAAGTCCTGACCAAAATTTTCAACCAATTGTAAGTAACTCACAAGAGAGGATAACTCACGAGACTCGTAAACCTACCGTTTGAGAAGTAGCCACTTGAGGAGCTGGTCAGCACATGACCACGAGATAGGAATTCTGCGACCGAAGGATAAGTGGCGCTGTATTCTGTGCGAATGTCTGTACATCACAACTGATCATGACCGAACGCCCTAACCATGGACTACTGGCCGAGAGGTCGCGGGTTTGAACCTTACTCAGGGGTCATGAGGTACGCACTGCTTCTGATCAGCAGTTGGTAAGACTGCTATTGGAGGGGTCATTTGATGGCAGAAAACAGTAGAAAAATGGTGCCAATATGTCCCAATAAACCTAGCAACACCTTGCCACGATACATGTCCGATAACTGAAATGGGTAGGTATTATTCAGAGACAACAACGTCTCAGTAGATGCAACATAATTCACAAACTCATGATTGCTAGGCCGTAGCATAGCGGCCCTACCGGACAAGCAATGGCCCGGTTTACAAACGATAACACTGTGATCTGCAACTTCGACTAAGCTGTTTCGATTCGCATGTGGTGGCCTTTAAGGTGGCCGCCAGCCCTTGTCCTGATACGCTGTTTTAGAAACAGAGACCTGATAAAAAAATTAAAGGGTTTAAAAAAAGTAATTCCATTTGGTGGGTTAGAAACATGATACAGAAAAACTTCCAAAGACTGAACACCGTTGTACTATACGGAACACTGTTGTTCAAATTTTATTGGCTATATATTGTATACATGGAAAAAAATTGAAGTCTGATGGCAAGCATATCGTGTGCAGCAGTTGTAAGTTCATATAGAAATGTTATTGCCATGCTGAACCAAGAATACATTTTCACTATTGAATGAGAGAATCGCTTAGGAGACAGTCTTTGTATCACATGTTATATCCCTTCCTTTCTTCCACTGGGCCTCTTCTTAAATTAGAAGGTTTCATTTAGAGTGGTTTGATGTATCAACGAATTTGAGTGGCATTGAAAGCATTTCACGCAGTATGTTGGACAAAACGTCCAGTGCCAACTGGTTGATACCACTGACTACGACTTGATGTGTCCGTTCAGTAACCTTTCAACAATTTCATGTGTAGTCTCATTTGGCTATGTTCTCCTTGTCTGTCCCACTTCTTTATTCCACAGATGCTTGCCAAAATCTCAAAGACAGGGTCTTCCAAACTGTCTCCTATACCAAACAGTGGTTATTGGTTTGAATTCGCTCGTCCGACAGACAGTATCCTGATTTTCCCTCTATTTCCTGAACCTGAAGGCAAGGAAGAGTGAGTAATTTTTGTGAACTTAATCTAACTGAAATATTGCAGTACAAGTAGGCATCCCAATACTTCGTGAAATTTGATTTGGTCCTTTTGCTACAATCTGAACTAGCCCTGTGCTTGCATGGTACCCCACGAAAGAATTACAAACTGATCGGTTTTGCTATGATTTGTATTGAGTATTGTTGACTAAGCAGGAGGATCAGGGCATCCAGAAATCCAAAATAACTACTGATTTTATGCTTAACTCAAACATCCCAAACACATGGTCATCCGTCCTATTTTGTTGAATTTTCGTCTGTGATCCATCACTATACCTAACTACTTAACCAGTTGCTACGATCTTTGGAATGGGCGTTGCTGGTTCTTCTATCGCATTACATCAGACGCAGGTATACACTAGGGCGGGCTACATTGGCCCTTCTCCTCACCGTCTCTTTCCTTCAAAGTTTTCCAAAGTAGACTTTTCGGCCTCCCTTCATGATGAGTTTTGCAACAAGAATTGTCACAATTGTTTTATCATGAACCTGTCATTGTGTAAACAAAAAAACAGTCGTGATATAGACTGTTATGCTTCCATAGGGTAGGTCAACACCAACACCAACACAAAAACACCACCATTGGTAGGTGTAATTCAGCTGATAATCGTTGATAGTAAGGTGATGTTTGATTGCGTTCTTCCTGTTAAACTGTGCATGCACGGTTTTGTAACTGTGCTTCCTACAAAATTGAACTATATGCGCTACGTTCGCAGAAGCAGTGACGGCTTCATGCGAGAACAATCGCCCTTAGCTGAGGCAAACTGAAAGTTTCTCGTCAGTGGGACATTGGAGGACCTTCGTTTATGGACGACCCATAAACACAACATGAAATGCCCAAATATATCATAGTAGTATTAATAACATAATATAACATAACACAGGAAAAACTACCGGTCAACTCTAGAATAGTAAGCTGTCATGTATCGACAGATACCCATGTGCAACTGAGTTTTCCCAAGAAAACAAGAGGTTCAGAATTATTTCTTGTTTGAGGTTGATGAAAGTGTTGAATTAGCATTGATAGAAGAAAGAACAAGTAATTTCATCTTTGAAATTCTTGCTTGAATATATGTCATAGCCGAATTAAACTATTTTTCCAGCAGAAGCACCTGTGTCAGACCCAGCTATCTGGAAAGGAGGGAGCATAAAACCAAGTGCAATTTCTGGAATCGATCCCCAAGGTCAGAAGGTCCGTTTGAAAAGACAAAAGTTCGAAGCTCAACTAAGGACGAAACGGTTGTTGCACTGATCTGATTCTAAAGTTAAGGTGTCTTGTAACTGCTGAAAGACTAGCACCCCAGCGCCGGGCCTTAAGTGGGTGAGCAGCCTCCCGTGGTATGGTACCTCTCCATTTGTTGCTATACGCCTCTAGCCTTCAAAAACCCATGTATTTTTAGACTGAACTTGTTGTTCCTCATTGGAGCTTACACCCGTTTTGGCCGTTGTGAACGCCTTCGGACCTGTATCACTAGAGTGTACAAAGCTATGGCCTTTAATACTCAACTTGTTCTATAGAATGTATGTACACAGGAAGTGTCATTGTGCGAGGCAGTGCACAACACAAGTGTGCTTCGATTTTATCCATAAAAAGGGACTTATTACAGTGACTGTTTAGCCGTCTCGTCTCCGGGTCTATCTCTTCTCCACACAATTACAGTTTTTACCTGCACTGTATCTACATTACTCCTGGATAAAGTGCAACGGTAAAGTCCCAGTGTTCAATCAAGTGTTACTGACAGCCCTGCGACAAAATATGGTAAACTCATGCGAACATGCGCTACATTTTTCACTGTGATGTTGTAGGAAAAACTGTCAGTACCATGCACATGCTATCTTAAGTTTAAATGTCCTTCAGTAATCAGTTGAGCACCGACTCGAGCGATGGCCTCCCTTACTATCCAGTTGAGCGCTAGACTTCGAAAGCTTACCCCACGCCAAAAGCCCATCTAAAAACATCCGCCCCAGTTTGACAGGACAAGCCCATCTACCAATCATTATTGTTTCAGCGGTGGCCACCTCTGTGATCTGAATGGTAATTTCAGTCTCGGTGGCCCCCTTGCACAAAACCCGTCTCCCTAGAGCACCATAAAATACGATTTTTATCAGACAACTTGACTTATTTCCTGATTAAGGGAGACTGGGTGAATTTCAGTAGTTTGCGAAATGCACCGGGCTGCTTCATTAAACCGCGGCACAGCGCAATCAGATTGTTTCGCTCCGGACCTAGCTGCTGGACTACCTTTACTATGTGCTCCATTTTATTGCCCCAGCTCAACATATTTGCGTTGTAGGGGGTGTCGGGGGCTTTGAATAATTACATGTTGAATTCCTGTAATAGAAAGTTTCATTTAAATCGTAATTTAGAAAAAAATCAAGAATGGAAAGAGACATGGATGATCAAGGAAGTCCTCATCAGTTTCCGTTCAAAACTAGGCCACAGACACTGAAGAAAACACGGCGCCCAGTTATGGGAATGGTGTGTTTTGGGAGAATAATCTTCAGCATATGTCTACGAGCACGAAATTTTTGGAGAACAGAGTGTTGGAGCAGATATTTTGGAGTCCGGCAACCTGCAAATCCATCTCCTACGATTTGTTCTATTTCTGCTGGCAATCTCAAAGGGCGAACTTAAGTCACAGCGTGGTGGATTATATGCGGACGTGAGACGTGAGAGGTGGAACGGCCTATGCGATGACTCAGTGTGATTCCATCGGCGGTTGTGCTTGTTGAGCTGCTTTGATTGGGGGTTCCCATGCTTGGTCGAAAAGCTGGAAACCATCTTGTAGCTCATAAACCAACAGAAGGGTGCCGATTGATTTGTAATAAGACCATGCCATCCGCTTTTCATCACACTTGCCACATTCACTGTAAAATAGTTAGATGTGGTCCTTTGGCAAGTGTGTCAATTGGAACTCATGTCTGTTGGATTTGGAGGAGTTAAAGGTGTTGCTGCTACAGCAAAATCTGTTAGTGAAACCCCAAAGATGAATCAGGTCGAGGCGTAATAAAGAATTTGTTAGAATTTGGTGGGCTCAGTTTATATAACAATTATTTCTCATGTGTTACTATGCTCAGTAATACTGCCATATTGGGAAGAAATCCTCCATATAAAATGATAATGGAGAGGACTTGCCACGTGTTGATTGCCCCACAGTACGCTCTGCATGCACTGAGATCCACAGTACTTGTGTGTCACTTGATTTGTGGTTGTTTTGAAGGGCAAACATGCAGCGACTTTGATGAAGCAGGAATCTAGTCAGGTCTGCCCATTACATGTGCGTTCGCATAGCATTCAGGCCAGAATGATTGCAATTCTTCAAAGAATAAAAGTGACCTTGGGATTTGGGCTTGCAGGTAAATCGAAATTTGTTGATTTGTATTAATGTGACCCATATCTGTAAGTTTATCTGATGAACCCAAAATGGGTAAGAGGACCCATGTAGCTTGGCTTTATTGCAGCATAATCACCCTTTTTCAAAGAACTCCGGTACAGTTTCAGCTCCCTAGCTGGATGGCTATTAGGACTTCAGTGATTATGACTAGTTCTGAGTTCGCATAGTGCCTTCCAAAACAATTGCAATGCTAGCCGAATTCTTGTTCGCGACGGTTGACCTGCGCAAACGACCGTGCCGTTACAATTAATAAAATGTAAAATCCCTCCTGTCTTCAGATCGTCACCACTGGACCACATATCGAGTTTTAAAACTTCCAAATCAGGCCTTAGTTTCCACTTTTGGTTATCAGTCGAACACGCATTGAAATCAGCCAATCCTGGACTGTCGGACAGCACCATTCAAACCAATAAGAGGTACTGCCTGCTTCGAATGCTCGAGACCAGTGGAAGCGGGTTGGAAATATTTTTCACCGCAGCTGGGTATCTGATAATTGCAGTGGCAAACGAAGGAGAATATCAATATATGCCGGTAAGCAACACAACTGAGTGATGAGAAAATGCTGTTTCTGAATGTAAGAACCATTAATTGTGCTTTGAGAATATCGAATGAAGCTAATTCTTGAAAAAACTCTATATAATGCTATTACAATTTTATCATTTTCACCGTGGAAAAAGCATTTGACGAATCCCATTCAGCTGTCGGTCTTCTGAGGTTTAAAAGCAATGGAGCTCATTTACGTATTATGCAAAACTAGACTCGGAGCGGTGAATTATCGGTTCTGTAAACCCAGTGAAATGAGAACAGTTAGTTTGTGGATCAGGTGACTGCTAATACCCTTGACAGTCATCTATGGGTAATCACTGCCCGTCTGTGGTCAAGCGCATTCAAAACCCTACTTAGGGCAGCGAACATTCATTCAGTTTGAGATGGATGCTCAAATTTCCGTTCTGGCTTTTTGTCTTTTTTGAGCAGATGTCCAAGCGGCCGAGTCCTTTGCAGTTGGTCGGTGGGGCGACGCTGTGGTACAGGAATTTCGTAGTTCCTGGCACCCTGGTAATTATCCTCCCCAGCAATAGTCCTACATAGATCCATTGGCAGAGCACAAACGATTTTGTGTCCAAAACTACACCAGATCGTATCCCCTGTTTGCTGTACGTGACTGGACTTTGAAAAGTGTAACTCTGATGCACTTGACATTAGAACTTTTCACAACTGTTTACTGGGGAGAAGCTTAGAGAATTGAGGAATTCCACACTGGAAACTTACTGAGGTTACCTGGGGTTTGAGAATTGGTCCGCGGCATCAAACATTTTGAAAAAAATACATTGATGTCCCTGCTAAGTTGGTGTTTTTAGAAGTTTGACGCTACTGTTAATGTGAAAAATGCGTTTTCTACTGGGAACACGAAGGCGAAAATCTGAGGTCCCTAGAAGACCAATACGTGTGAAACCTGCGGATATTCTCACGTGTTCATCGACAGAATCATCTGCAAACATCCTGTTATCCTGTCACAACAATACGTCACGCTCCACATCAACGCTAAAACGTCATACAAATTGAGAAATACAGATACAAAAGCTGTATCTAAAGTATGACAGAAGGAAGCAGACAGGGCGCATCTTAAATTTACACAGCGTCGATTGCTCAGCGTCACCAGTTGCGCAAACAATCATGCACTTGGGTAACAAGCCATCACACTATAAGTACTAGACCATCCCAGCTTTTGTTCTTATTGAAACAACCTTATATGTTTTATCGGTCTAGAAACAGGGTAGTTAAAATGGAGTTAGCTGCATTGTGTCATGAGTTTTTGAAGCACTCATGTGCAGGAGCTGGTGAATTGTTCCGAAGCATCAGCATTTATCTGTAGGTGAGCCCAAGACGATCTCATACTTACTGCAATGGGGTTGTTGATAGTTTCGAAGTTCATTCAGCCGTCTTGTGGCATGAAAATCTGCTAAGGTCATGGTTAAATCCCAAGAAACACAGAATAGAAAAAAACGTAACTTACTGCCGTTTGGGAAACCGGTCCGGATTTAGGACAGCATTCAGTATTAAGCAATAGATGTATGGAACTTGGGAAAAGCTTATTGGCTATGATGATATCTACTGGTGTAGGGTTTTATAGAGGGTTGTGTGCCTCGAAGAAGGCTGGTGTGCTATTCTCGCCTGAACCTGCCTGAGTAGTTTGTTCCGAAGCCTTTTAACGAACTCGTCATCTCGTCCCGGGACAGTCACACAACTTTGTCGAACCAGTATCGTACTTTAGTAAACATCATTGCGAAACCTTGGGGCTAATTTCACCGATCTTCCCCACGACAGCTGTGATGTGACTGCATTGCGATGACGAGTAATGTCTATAATTCGGCCTGCCGGTAATCGCTGTCGGAACATGGTACACCATCAGTGCTTCAGTCTCTGTCGATTTACGAGCAGGTAAGTGCTGACGTCATGAAGCTGTGGGCATACTGACATTGGTGATGCGACAGCTACTCTAGCTAAAATCGAATTAACCGCAATTGTAGATGATTTCCACAACGCGTAGAATGAAAGAAGAAGTCAAACCAAGTCATAAAAAGCGGTAATACGATTTTATTTTCAGCAGTCAACTTGAAATACATCGTTTAACACCTTGGTTAGAGGTATTTGTCGCCATTTTGTCTTGTTATTGTTTTTAGTAGGATGATGTAAAAGATTTTTCATACTCCAAGAGTGACTGGGTCGATTCAATTTAATTTTTTTTTGGAAGTTGTTGATGCTGAAAAGTTCACCGGTCTGAGACAGAACGGTCCACGTCTAGTTGAGGCACTTTTGGGTAGAGCTACTTAAGGTAAATTTTTACTCTATTTCCAAAGCTTGTTTTTCCTCTGACTTTCAAAAACCGTAAAAGAATAGGATTTATCAGAGACAAATAAAAGGTTGAGAAAACGTAAAAACGGTAAAAAGGATCACACTTGTATGGTCTTCTAAAGTGATTTTCATGTTGACCGGGTGTGAAACACATACGATAGTACCACTACTTGCAGAAATACCGCAATCAACACCCCTTGGTGATAACCTAGAGTGTGGTAAAATGCGCCAGGAGGAATATTCACGTCTCGCTGTGAGACGCTAAACTGCTGCGGCTCACTCTAAGCAATGTAGATTTTCCATTAAAAGAGGTTTCTGCGGTTGTTCCAAGGTGTCTGACAAATAAAGTATCGATAAATGCACTCTTTGAATATCAACTTGGCTTTTACGATTGACTGACCTGCAAGCCACTTGAATCTCTCGTTTGTGATGTCTTTAAGCAACCGAATATTCTGCTGACCGCCTCATGTTTCAGTCAGTACGATATTTGAAATATCGCGATAAATTTATAGACATAATATGTCATTCGTAAGGGTGCTGAAGACTCTTCAAAAACCCTCATCAAGTAGGCGCAGTCCCCGAGTTTCTGTCGACCGTATGTTCTTCTTGAACTCAGATTGGACAGATTTCGACAAGTGTACCCATTTGCCAATCGGTTTGATTTTCACGGGAGACTCAAATGAGTCTCTCATTTACGGTATTATTCAACTGAATGTGCTGCATAAAGGCTCCCTCATGTTTCAATTGGCACGGTATGTTCAAGACATCGCAGTATATTTTCACAGTTTACTGAAAACTCTTTGACAGTCTACGATCAGTTCCGCTCATCTCAGGGTTTATCTATTCGGCTCAGTACCGAGTTTCAGCCAATTGTATTCTCTACTCAAACACGAGTTGGACAGATTTTGATAAATACACATTCACATATCAATTTGGCTTTTCACTGCCACTATCAGGCTCCATCTGGCCGCTATACTGCAATGGGCACCCCTTACCAGGAAGTAAGAGTGCATTGTTAGCTACGTATTGATACCGGGATTACTTCGGTCACCGTCAAGTCCAAACAAGCATCAGTATGAAATCGGGATTTAAACCCGCAGCTGTTTAGTGGCTAATGGCCCTGTGGAGTCTCTAGAGAAAATAACCAATTACTAATGTAAGTCGGATACAATGTCACAAGGAGAAAAATCCAAGTATATTTTGACTCACAAAAGTCCATAGTTCCGTATTCCGTTGAATCGTCACACCAAAAAGAGACATTTCTACTTTCCTGCTATTCCAAATCTCCAGTGATCGCACTGGAGAGGTGAATAGATTAGTCCAGTGTTTGTAGCTAAAACTTCCGTTCACGTTCAGAGTTAGTAGCAGCCGATGATTGCCAACCAGCAGTCACAACAACAGTCACTCAGAAAAAGTCACATTGGAGCCAAAAAGCGCGCGGTTTTGATTGTATTTCTGTAAAACAAATTTTTGTACAGTAATGTGACTGATAGTGATAGGGAGAAGGAGGCTGATGCTGAGGAAAAATGTGGTGGCGGTGTTAAAATTTGTCAGTGATTTTTATAGGCACTATTAAGTAGTTTAATCTCATTTACTTAGTTTGGCGATAATTAGCGGGCTAGTGCCACCCGAACAGGATTAAATTTGTGATCTCTCTGATTGGTGTGTCTTACCACAGATTACTAGCATTTAAGAAAGACATAATAAACGAGAGATTAGGCTGGCTTCCAGGTGAGCCCTCGTCAAAACCAATTTGACATGTAGGTGAGTGTATTTGTTGAAATCTGTCCAGTTTAGGTTCAAGTGAAACATAAAGTTGATGGAAAATTGGGGACTGCGCCTACCTGATGAGCCTGGAGAGGGTCAAAACTGATTGTGAGCTATCGAAGAGTTTTCAGTAACCTTATGAGTAGTGTGTTACGTCCATACTAATCAAGTGTGCGGATACTAACCCAACATATTCCAACTCTAATTCAGATTCCAGTAGGAATGCTCCCAGGTTGTCTTAGAACATCTCGAAAACGAGTTTTTTTGGCACGTTTCGGACGCTTGATAGGAAGACTAACGTGAATTTATAGATATTCGTGTTAGCCTCCCTCTTATAAAGTATACTCAAGCAAAAGGCACATCCAGGGGAGGAACATTTATGTCTCGGTGGGATCTTTCCACAAGCTGTAAACGCCTTCTAGTTTATTTGCCTGGCTCAAGACGACGCAACGGAGTACTTCTTTGTAAGTCGCTATTGTTTTCATCAGATTTCCACATTTTACGCTTTATGCTCTGCGAGACACTAGGGAATGACCAAGCTGCAAACAGCAAGTTCTGAGAAAATCAAGGTCAAACTATTGCAAAATAACGACCTACTAAAATGGAGTATACTACTTGCTTCACCAGCTCTACGGTTTATTTAACCAGCTACTATCCTGATCCATCAAACCAGCCATTTCGCACACACACACAGATCTACTGACCCCCATTATTTTCAGGTTTGTGGCCCTGAAAATCTTCCTGCTCTTCAGTGGCATTCACTAGCCATTGTGTTCTCGCACATTCGTAAAATGGTTTTCACGCGACAATATGTGAGTATCATTGTGAACGGAAGTCGGTGTTTTTCGGCCGAATTCAAGCTACCGCAGTTTAACGGGGTGAGTTCTTGTAGTCTAGAAAATTTATTCTTTCCCTAATTAGATTTCAGTGACTAAGGTTGAGATGACCTGAACACTGATCTATGAAAAATGTATTTGTGTTACTTTTATCCCTGTGAAGATTGCTGGAATTTTCTCACGCTGATGTGAAACGTAATATAGCTCCTTATGTCAGAAAATCTACACACCACACAGCGGATACACTCTTGCTGAGTTGAAATATGTTCAGCTCTAGATTAAAGTTCTTTTGGCACACCAACGCATAGTGTCTGTAAGCTACAATCGATCGATTTACTTCAGGTTACAGTGACCTTAATTTTCTTCTACCTTATGATTCCCGCCTGCAAATGAAATTTTTCCGCTCACCATTGGGAGGCATTTGAAAGTTTGTTGCAGTTTCTTCACGGGGATTTGTGCAGCATTTAATTTAATTAAATATACTCATTTGCAAATCAATTTGGCTTTCACGAGAGACTCAACTGAACCTCTCTTTTATGATATTCTAAAAATGAATGTGCTGCACACAGGCCGCCTCATGATTCAGTTGGCACGATATTCGAGATATCGCAGTATATTTTCATAAAGGAAACTAATCACAAGGTAGAATATAAGGTCGACGGAAACTGAGGAACTGCGCCTACCTGATGAGCCCCGAGAAGGGCGAAACCGGTCGTGGGTTGTCGAGGAGTTTTCAGAAACCTTGTGAGTAGTTTTCTTTAAGGAAAATAGTCACATGATGTTTTCTGCGGCACTTGCATCTTATGACATCGTTGGGAACAATGCAACTTTTTTGATGAAAAAACCAACAAAGCTAGCCGGGAAGATACTCCTGTGGAGGACTACATCAACTATTCTATGTATATACAGAGTAGAATATTGCCTCGCAGTGAGAATGTTTTTCGCGGTGACACGTTGAGAGATAACGTTCGTGCAACCGAAAGGTGGGCAAATCATGGGCACCTAGACGTGACCGCAAAACCAGGCAGGTCGACGTGCATTATCTCGGTCCTGTTGAAAATCACTCAAGCGTTAGTCATGATTCAGGGAGTTAACGAGGCGGCATTGAGTGTACACGTTAGGTCAAGTGATGACGCATGAATCCATTAGACAGCAAATGGACCTTTTAACTACCAGGTCAATAATTTGTCGACCGGTACTCACAGCGTGTCCTGTGCTGCAGAAAGAGGTGATACCGAGCATGCACGCTTAATTCCAGCCGAATTACCCGAATGGGACTATGCTTTCGCTGGTGTCATAGTGGTTAACAATGACATGGTGGACCAAATGTGTAATCCGTTTTGTGGTTGTTAGAGCAGCTCTGCTAGCTCCCCATTCAATGCTAAGTGGCTGCACGACCAGACCAACTTCCAGAATGGTGGTCGGAACAAATAGACGGATTGCTTGATTAATTCTATCCGCCTGGTCCCGAGACAATCAGAGAATTTCCGGTGAAACTTGAGGGGCCCGTTGTTTGTGAGCCAGGGACGGAGACTCCAATGGAGCCTTCAGAGGGTCAGTCCATGAAATGTGTGTGATTAGTGTGACTGCACTAAATCTCACGTCTTGATTGAATTGTACTGTCTGCGTTATTGCATTATACTCACTCAGTTCCACCGCAGCTGAGGATTTTTGGTGAAAGACACACAGTGCACCTGAATTGTGTGCCATCAGTTTTATTGCCAACTGTGTTTGTTGACTCCTGTTAGCATCAGCTTATAACGACTCTGATCAACCTACCTCAGGAATTCCAGCACGCCCAGCCTGCTTTCAATGATTCATACGGTTTGATATGGCTAGCCCACATGCACCGAAACGTCACCTGAATGTTATGTGGTTATGCATGACTGACCAAGGTACCGAACCCTTTAGTCCCTAGGAGGGTTAGCACTATGTGTGTTTGCTCACGTAAACAAACAACCAGCATGTAGACAGTAAAGTGACAGTTACCAACTGGGACTTAACTCAGCATCCTTTCCTGGGTCATGTGTGAATATCGACGGAACATTTGATGTTTTTGAATTTGCCTTACAAAATTCTCACATTAATCTACCAAGTGAACACAACCCGAAAAAATGAGCCTATCATGAGTATACAATTTATTGAATGGGCAGAAATAGATATTACAGTACCTCCATCGTTTGCGCATCTGATCGGTTCTTTCTAGTTAAACAAGCCCATCCGGCAGTGCAATACGTCCAGCTAGCTCATGTTGAATCGACTGAATGAACGTACCCACGCATACAGCATCCCTGGTTTGGTTCAGATGCCCAAGTCTGTCAATGCCTACACCAAAAGAGAAACACGTGTGACAGTCCTCTGTTAAAAACAGGATCGTTGTCGCCACGGGTTGAGGAAAGTGTGACATTAACAAGCCATAGTTCCAGCGGACTTACAAAAAGTAACACATTTTGGTATGAAAAATTTGGGATCCGGTGTGCTCGAAGCGTGTAGATGCTATTCTCACTAGTTGATCTCGTGTCCGTACGTTCGTACAACTCGATTTGGTTCTGTTGCCGAACTCCATCGTGCACTATTAAATTGAGAAACATATCTGATAGACTCATGGAAAAAGCGAGCTATAGAGTTTTGAGAAAGGAATAGTTTCACCCTTTAGTACATTTACGTAACTGGAAATTTTTCACACCAGATAGGTTTCTAAATAACATATGACAATAAGAACGCCCACCTCAAAATTAGACTTACATTTAAGCTTCATACTATTCACTGAAACAGATCTCTTCTCACTCGGTATGAGGGTTGTTATGATTGCATGTTTTCGTTCTGCTCGCATACATACTTGCGCAAGTACATTTGTGTTTGCAAACGAATTTGAGGTAGACAGAGTAGGTTATCGGAAAAGCACTTAAAGTTTCGGGTCGAAGAACAATTGCCTATGTCTCTGTTCAGATACGTCGATAATTTTCCAAAAGCCAACACACTGTGAAAAACATAATACGGATACACCGACCTGCTTTGCCATGTAAGAATTATTTCGAATTTTTGTCGTAAAGTCAGAATCACTCTTGTGCTGGGCTTGAAAAGTGGCTTTCCACGCCTCGAATCAAACATGTGTCCAGAAACATATAGGGTTGATTTTCTACGAGGAAACTACTCATAAGGCTGCTGGGAAGCTCTTCGGCAGCCCACAGCCGGTTGCAACCCTCTTTAGGCTCATCAGGTAAAAGGTTCCATCAAACATTTGTTCTACTTGAATCCAATTGGTATGAAATTCGTCAAGTACACACGTTAGACACCAATTTGCTTTTAACGGCAGGCTCACCTGAATTCTAGCTGAATCTCTCGTTAGCGATATTCTTCAGCTGAATGTAGCTCAAGAAATCCATCTCATGTGTCACTGGTACGATATTCAGATATCGCAGCATAGTTTCCGGAAGGAGATAACTCATAATTGGTTTGTATTGATCTTGATGAGGCAGGACGAGCAAATGTATCGTATATTCAACAAACCTGACCTCCCCAGTTTTGGTTTGTGTCCAATCCTCCATTTAGCATGTGTTCACCCTACTCAACATACCATACCGTGGACGCTTATATGCGGGTGCGAATGACGGACCTGTCACGTGAACTCATTTGTTTGTGTTCGAAGGCTGTCTAAACAGTCGCTATTGTTGAATGACTCATTCCTGTGAAGATGGGAGATTCAGCTGGGATTTAAACAGATTTCCAGTTTCTGGATACCTCCAAGTAACAGTACAGAACTACCTCTGCGCTCAGATGAACGGGAATTCAAGGTGTCGACTGAAGTATCCAAAGCAACCGCGGGTTACTGGCAACAATGTCGGTTCCCGAGTTAGTTGGATCACTCTTGTCGGGAGAGATAAATTATCCGCGGGTCTTGTTTGGGAGGAGGCCGTAGAAACAAAGCTTTATCACACAGTTAAACTGCCAAACTTCCAAAGAACGCGGCAACATGACAAAATCTGTTGCTGAACTTACCATGGTCTGTTTATCAGTCGTTAGGATTCTGTGGCACTGCTTGAAAGATCAATCAAAAAGTTTATCATATGGGAGTAATCTCCGGAAACTGAAACAATCACTCCATGAATGGAACAGCAATTTGGTTGAAACTGGGTTGTCTGCGGGTTTGGACAGTTCTCCAAAATAGTTCTATCCGAAAACAAAAGAAACTTCACTAGAGATCTTCGAGATAGTCTGTATGCTGTACAACATGCGAAATGATATCAGTGTGCTATTGGCCACCAGGGACTGCACTGAGTCTCCAGTTCCAGCATGCATATGAGCTTCAGTGATTCTCACATCTTTATGCCTGTGCTCGTGAACTAGGTTAGGGAAATTCTATTAATTTCTACTGGTTAACAACATGTATAATTCAGGAGACCCCTGAGGGAGTTTACAATCCATTCATCAGCGCCACTGATTCAAAAGCAGAGTACTTTATCAATGCAGATTGGATATTATTTTAGACGACATAAAATTCACCTATTTGTTCATGCTTTATTCCCCAGGACCTCTGTATCTTCCACGTTGGTGGTTGTCCAGAATGGGTTGAGCGGGTTCACTACGTGAAGCTCATGAAAAATGTTGGCTGCAAAACTCCAGTTAGGCAGGTGGCTGCAAAATTTTTCTCCCGAAAAATTAGCTTAAAATCTGCAGCGCCGAACGAAATTTTGGACAAAAATTCTTCCAACTTGAATCATCTAACCGAATTGAATATTGGAACGGCGATGAAAGTGAATTTGGGTGAGGAGTACGTCACATGGGGTACTCTCACGTCGTTTCTTGGTCAAATAGCTTCGGTGACAATTTTCGATGACGCGATTCCCGATGCGACGTGGCAGACGATTACCAAACGAGGTGGGACTCTTACCGTTGTATGTCAATTGCAAAAAAACTGAATTTTGAATAAATGAAAATTCAGTTGGCGATTTGGCGTCTAGTCAAACGAAGATAGATGGTTACAAAAGTTGGGCGTTTGACTTTGGCAAGAGAAGATCCGTGAAACACAGAGCCGCCAAAAATATTTTTGGTTTTTATCTGTTTTTCTGTTTAATACCTGTCTGTTTATTTATTTATTTGTGAGTAAGGTGCACCAACTCACGGAGCTAACTTCCTCACCCGGAGTCGCGATCTCACCACAAACTCCACTCCTATTTCTAGTCCGGTGAGCTTTGACCTGAAAATGGTTAATACACCCAACGATTCTTAAGAATATTCACTCTAGGTGACATCCAGTTTCGAATCCCACTCCAGCATGCTTTCGCCCAGTATCTGCCTAGCTGAAACCAACTTTTTCCCGGAACAGGCGATCCTAAGACGTCTTTTTAATGTACGGCTGATAACCAGATTACGGAACAGAGCAGATCGTTTACTGTTTTTACAATGTCAAATGTTACTTCCCTCGTATCGTACACATCGACACATGTTATCGCTGTGCATCGATCAAATACAGATCCTTACGATTAGTGGGGCGTTGGAGAAACTGAGCACGCAGCAGTCTATTTATATATTCCTATGTAAAAGACGAAAAGAAAATGATACCTATTGCCTGCCCTTACTTTAGAGATATGGAAAACATGGGACAAGCAGAGGCTCTTAAGAAATCCAGAGGTTACTTCATTATAGAATGTTAGTCCGCGCCGTTTGCGTTAATTAGTGAATAGCCTGGAAAATTCTGTATGCTTTGGAACACATGACTGTTGATCGTCGGCACAAAACAAAAGACTGGGTTGCGATATCAGATGAAACTGCTACTCCATGTTGCGGTAGGATACAACTCAGTATCATGATCTGTCCAACGGACAACGTAGTTCAATTAGCTGCGCACACATTTGGACGAGTTGGCCTGAATAGTAAAGTTAAAGATGCTTCATTCTGGATCTCTACTCTAATGTCAATCGCATTGAGCACTTCCAAATTACAAAGATGTTTCTGGCGAAATAAACTCATTTGCAAACGGGTGACTATAGTGGATCTTAGCTAAGCTCCTTTTTCCAGAGTCTGTCCTTTGTTTCAGCTGTTACGAATCTAGCTATGGGCCGCAAGAAGGAAGATGGTGTCCAAGTGAATCATAAGATTGATTGAAGTTCAGGGACTGCGCCTACCTGGTGCGCTTCGAGAAAGATAAAACCTAGTCATGGGTTTTTGAAGAGTTTGCAGCAGCATCATGAGCAACGTATTCCTCTGAGGGAAGGTGACATCCCTGTTTCGTGCAAAATGACCATTATCAGACTCACTGGATATCATTGCCTAAATGTGTGTTGTTAGACCTATTTTGGGTTGCTGCTGAATCAACGTTTTCTGTGCACAGAGCTCTCATCCAACTAAACGCTGATGAAGTGACGACAGGCCAACGGTTTGGAAAGGTATCTGCGTCTGTTGATGTCTGCTTAAGCTTAATTATCAGTTTTCCAAAGAGTGCGAAAAGAGTGGTGGCTCCAAGCAAATTCTATCCTCTGCTAGATTTCACGTCAGGACTCAGACATGTAGGCATAATATTGTGCTTCACCCTCTTATGTAATGGCTTTCCTTTTTAGCCAGCGCTCTTACCAGTGGTACTTATTCGCTTGACATTTTTTAAATCCGGGCTGCGTAGCTGCCGTAAACGATTGAAGGTAACATAGAGTCGATCAAGCGGGCGCCAAGCCATTGGACGTATGCTGAGGGGAAACTTTCGCAGAAATCTTGAGAAAAACGTTTATGACGCAATCCTACATGGAAAGTGATCGCACTTTGGATCCTACCCCGGATTTACACAAACGTACAAATAGTACGTAGCTGTGGGACAGAAACATTTGGGTTTGTCTTTCTGACAGACGAAGAGGTGACCATTCATGGCTGAGGTGCGTTTGTATAGATTATAGGGGAACCTACCGGTTTTGGGTTCTAAGTCTAAGGGAACTGTCAAAATAAAAAAGCTTAAGCTTGGCTTTTTCGCGACACGAAAAGGTGGCCAAAATGGCTCTAAAAAGCATGATCCTTTAAAATGGATCACACACTGGTATAAACGTTCCTGTAAACTGTGTTGTACCTGCATAGTTGCTTGGAATTAAATGGTCAGACACGTAGACTCAAAACAGATATACAAAGTAAAACAATAAATGCTTTCTCCGTTCCCACAAATATTACATCCACCGTCAATGTGACTTTTCTCTGTCACGTTCAGGCCCATGTGACTTGACGTACATTTTGGACTCGGAATGCTACGTGAACTCTCCTACCCTGCTCTTGCACTATCACGCAAAAGCAGTCGACTTACAAAATTCCATTTGCTCGGATCTGTTTGGGGAGGCCACAGCTGCTCCATCGGTGTTTCGAAGCCTTGAGAAACTAAGTCAGATTAACACAAAGGATGATCGAAGTTCAAGGATGGGGTGGAATTTTCATACGGCGTACAAGATGAAGTCATTCTGCGGCATTCCTGGCACACTTGTTGGAGCACGCAGGCTTAGTTCGACGAAAATGTTGGTAAGTTTATGAGAGCTGACCTCGTTTGAAGAAAATGCTGGCTATCCAAACAGGTAATCTTAGATTTTGGACTACGGAACGATGCCTAAGAAAGGTTACGCCTGTTATGGTTCCCTGAAACGTTTTCATTTACACAAAATTTGGACGGATGGATTTGTATACCAGGCTATGAAAGAAGTGTCAGAGTTGGGCACGCGCAATTATAATTCAGGCCAAAGTTTCACATCACTGAAGAGAAAAGCAATAGAAATATTTTGTTTTTTCTCTATTTGGGTTGTCGGTTGGGCACTTTTTGGAATTCCGGTTGAATGACTACTTATTTTCCTTCTCCGTATCCTATGTTCGTAGAAGGGATTCATTTTTCTGCAAAAACCCAACCCACTAAAACACTGACCGCGGACTCCCATAGTCAGCGTCATCTGGAAGATCTGGTACATTCATGATCACACATTCACCATCATCATCATCATCATCGTCATCGTCATCATCATCATCGTCGTCGTCATCATCGTCATAATCATAATTGACAGCTTTAAGAACCGCGCACTTTTCGTACAGTGGTTGTGGCTCCCACATAATTGGATAGAAGGAGAACAATAACAGCAGCTGATCATAGGTATTTAAGTTTTATGACAAATCTCTGGCTGTGACTATTAGAAATTCAACTCAATTCATCCACTCCGAGCACAAAAGGTGGTCATTGACCAAGAGTTAGGACGTCGTAAACCAAAATCAGCGTCGCTAACTAGAACATCGTTAGACAGATCGTCGCAGGTTTGTCGGAGAAAACCAAATGGTGGAAAACTATGGATGCCTGGCTATTTCTCGCTATCTTGTTATCTTGCATCTATACCCAGTAGATCGGTACATCATATCGTTGATGCTCGAATTCAGAGGTGGCCGTGGACCTTCCTTCTGGGAGATTGGAAGCGAAGACATTGAAGGCAATGGCCTGGATGCATGAACGTCATTCAGCGTGCGAATTGGCTATGTCTGGAAACGTTTGTAGCAGTTGGCATTATTATCAGGACTTTTTGAGTTCAAGGTACACAGGCCACCGGTTTGCGCTAGAGATGAGCTGACACACATTACTTGTGCTCTGAGATCTCCAACTTCAGGACCATACCGGAAATTCCCTTATCTGTTAGAGTAGTTAGGTCGGGACAAACGCCTTTCAACAAATCGGAAGTACAGTCACTTGGCGGATACGTCGGAACTGAAAATAAAGAGTAGATATCGTGTTGGAAGGGAAACGCTTTTGTTGAAGTTCACAAACTAACAGTGCAAAGTTAGTTATTGATGGTGAGCCAGTCAAGTGATCACCCTGCTTGGGGACTGAGAGCTAAACTAGCGCTGGTGCAATCCCCTTCAATAGACGTAGAATCCCATCGAGTTCTTGGGCGACATTGTCCAGATTCCCAAAATGCCGTAGACTCTCACATCACATTTAGATATTGTATTGGAGTTTCTAAAATCCCGAAGTTGTATGGTGATACGTTACCAACAGCGCACACTACAGTGGTCTGTAGCCAAACTCAATGACTCTGTCCAAAAGGGTCAGGAACCTGTGAGCCTAGAGTTGGTAGATCATCATGAGCATAAAGTTATCAAATCCGGTGCTTTTAAAAGTCGAATTGAACAGGTTTTCTTGAATTTATCGAGGCTAAATCTGGTTCGCTAGTCTGATAGTCTGAGAGTGAAAGGTGCCCATCAATCTCTAACGCAGTTTGGCTCATCACACTTATAGGTGTGATCAAGCTTGCGTGCATAGCCAACCATATGTAACCGGAAGGATCAAAAGTAGTAACCGCTTTGAAAGAGTAGGATAAATTCCTGAACTGATAATCCCGGAGTTTGAAGATATTTGCGCGGCTACACGAAGCAACTGAACGTGAAACGATTCTGCATTGACCCCCAGGTTTCTAAGCGCCATTGGATAATGATTCAATGGGAGAATACTATGAATTTTTAACTGCCTACAAATAGGATAGGAACTTCCCAATGTACCTACAAATTAAAGATATGGGCAACGATTGGGCAGTGTTTATGTAGCCAGTTTGTATAGAGTGACCTGCGTGACAATGCACAACAATGTTATTGGGATACATTTTGGCTGGGTAGTCGGGGGATGAGTCAGTTTTTTAATACAATACTCATTTTTTTGGATTTCAAGAAAAATGTTCTTTTAAACGACTGTTAATGTGTAAGTAGTAGATGATTGCAGAAAAAAGCAACTGCAAATTTGATCGAAGAAGTCAGCACACTGATATGGTCCTGTTTGACTTTCTAGAATGAAAGACTAAAAGGTATTCATTGTTAGGCTAAAACATTCTTAAAATATATCTTGTGGAGCAAAGGATAGCTCCTGTGGATTTGCGCAACAGCCTCGCATCGTAAGCTGTAAGAGAGTCCAACATCCTTGTCCTAGGAATTGAATCTGTTAACCCATATAATATGTGCATCAACCAGACATAAGCATTGTATTTTGAACATAGGTTCAGATAGCTAATTAAGACCCAGAGCTAGTTAGGGTTATTTGCTCCAAATAGGTTTTTAACTCATTTTAGGACGACACTGTTGTAGTCTGAGGGGAGGCCAGTACCACGGGAGCCAGTCCGAACTTTATTGCCTGTGAGTCTAATTTAATGGCCCAAAAGAAACCTCACCGACTTGTGAGAGGGGCCTACTCAGCCACAAACCTAATCAGTACAAAGCGCGATACAATGCCAATACAAGATTAAACGGTGCGAAGTTGCACATCTATTTGTCCTCTGTAGAATGGACACAGATGTTCTGTTCAAGGAAAGTAGCCTTATTCCAACCGTTAATTTTGAAGTAACCGACCGAACTTACGGAACGTTTTTTTCGTTCCATTTCTATATTCTTTCAGGATTCCATCAATCAAATTGGTGGTATACCTGCCTTGTTTCCAATATTAGGACTCATGTCAGAACATTCTGTTACGAGTGACAAAACCAGTTCTCTTTCCGTCGATGCTCAAAACTTCAATGGAGAGACTGTGAGAACTACCGCTAATGCAACTGAACAGGAACCGTCAGTTGACTCACACAATGGGGGATTCAATCAAGACGATCTATTGGAGACCTCACTTAGTCGATACAAGTTTCATCTTCAGCTGTATGAGCGGTTTCGTCCTCAACAATCCACCGGTTCATCTGTCACAGTGAAGATTTCACCACCACCAACTGATCCAAACGAATCATCCTCCACCGGGTCCGGGGGTCATGTTCAAATCCAGGCTTTGACTGAACCGGAGATATTGAAGCTATCAGTCGTGACGAAAGATTACAGTATCAAGTTTTCGCCCCACATAATTGATAGTTAGTTTCGTGCATTCTTCCATACCTACATATTCGATATCACGTTTGAAAACCTACGATTTTGAAGCAGGAACACCTTGAGAAACTGTTCCAACGATTTGATTAGTTGTTACCGTCAAGCCGAATAACGAAAGTTATTTTTATTGAGTCCTCAATGGCCATCATAAGAGTACCGACGTAATGCACTTAAAACACAGGAATTAGGAGATGACTTTTCACAGTACTTGGTTGCCTATAGAGGGCACAATATCTTTTGACACAAGCTTTGGCATTTCAATTTCGGTGATGAGAAAGTACTCATCCTGACGATTTCAGTCCTTCTCAGTGTCGTTTCTACCCAAGGTTTTTTGGCAGCGTAATCATGAAGACGGTCTTCGAGAGTTGGCTGTTTTACATATTTGGATTATCCAATGGGACTTTCGCCTACTTAACTTAATAGCATTTGATGGTTTATAATGTCCGAGGTTGAGGTAACAAAATTGTGCTTTGTCTAAGTTTATTGGTGTAAATAAAGTACAGGCCAAAATTCAGGGCCACACCAACTATTTATTTGAATATCAGCCATGTTAAAGTTGGTCTAATTTGTGTAATAATGAACGGCGGTTTTTTATAAAACACAAGCCGAATGTGAGCAAACAATTGGACGATATTGGTATCTGGGAAACTGCCGAATCAGAGGCATACATGTACCCTCAAGCAAATTACGTTTTGTAGTGTTTCAGCAGAAAAGTGGAGTACGTTTGGTCTAGCTCTTCTCAGTTACCGGGGTTCTTCGAGGGTTCTTTGCAGAAGTTTAATAAGAACTCAGTGGAACTTGTTATACTGATGCACGGCAGTCAACGCCGACCAGTTTTTGTTCGAATTTTTCAACAGCCTCAGCAAATTAGCTATTCACAGGATAGTTGGCGAGCTGCGCTCGAGGTAGCTCAGTGTTTAATGCGTGAACTTGCTGACTGAGAGCTCCGTAGTTCAAACAACAACTCAACTGCTCTTTTGTAGGCTCGGACAATCTGATGTTACCCTAGCCACTTGCTTTTTTCGAGGGGTAAAATAGCCATACACCGAAGGAGTGTTACAGCGTAAAAGCTATCTCTTATTATCAGAGTAGAAGCTTGATTTGGGAGAAAAACCATTCTCATATGCACCGACGGAATGAGAATAGAGCTTATCCGAGACTTATCGTTTATTGTTCAGAATCTTTGAAAACATTTTGAGATCATAATGTGCGGAATTTACCAGGATTTTGACTGGACATAAAGTGATTTCTTGCCATCTTGTATTATGAAATCGTAACATCTCCGGTAATTTAGGTGTGAAAGATCCTCTAGAAGACCTATAGTTTAGTTATCTTTGATAAAAGTCTCTGAGATTCATTGTTTCATCGTTTTTTACGCAGTTTTTACCCAGAAAATATCGGGTATGAGATAGATTGTGACATGTGGCAAAATACCATTTCACCTTCGTGAATGACAAACCCAGGCGCTTAAAGTGGAGGTGGAACGATGTGATCCATTCCGCTACTTGCAGCCAGAATTGACGCATGGACAATTAGTCACTATTCAACCATGTCGATCGAAGACTAAAAACAAGTAGTGTTCCTAATAAGCCCGTTGTGGTTGTTCCGTAAAGGATAAGATGATGAAAACTGTCTTTTCTGAAGTTGAAACGTAGAAATCCAAATCTAAGTTTTTAGCTGCCTTGTGTATATTTCAGCGGTTACCCCATTCACACCATGTTGTCTATGTGGAAACATCTTTACGCAACTATCTGGCTAGTTTGGCAAGTGTTATCTGCACAGTTAGGCGCAGGAAAAGAAGACCTTTAGATCAATGGAAAGGTGGAACTATGTCGCAATTAGTGGCTCGCCCTAGCTGCTGAGTCCACACGCTTTTAGTCTGATCCAATATACCCTTCCTATATTTACATTCAGCTGTTTTCTTGTTCTACTGTTCCCGTTTGGTCAAAGGTCAGAATAATCACCCAACTAGCCTGGCGCTAGGTGGGTGTCTAAGTGTGAGTATTAGTTCAACTATCTGTCGTCTAATTCAGAGAATCTGACTATTGGTGATTGCTTCGAATTCTGTCTGCTTGACAAACTCAATGTCCTGGTTTAGAAGGAAGCTTTTCATGCTGACCGTTATTTTTGCTTGTTGGAACACCTCAGTGTTATGTGCTTCTTCCCATTCATGGAGCCGTTCTCGACGGCGTTGAAGAGGCTGTTCGGTTTTCTTTCTTCGCCATACTGTATAGCCAAATGCTTACAGCCGTCAAACATATTGTCCGTATGATATTTCTGAGCCACTGATGAGGAACATAACATTATTAATTCTAAGTACCACCAAATCCGGAGAAAACACCAATTTATCACCTATGATCAGCTTGAACCATTCATCAATGGCTTTATCTGTCACTGGTTGTGGAAACTCAATGTTTCATCGGTCTCCGACGGTAAAGCAGGATACTTGCCTTGTGTTGTTTTTGAAATTTTCACTGAGTATTCCTCACCACAAAATCTAGCATTCAAAATACTTTTCGACGTAATTAGTATGGAACGACTACCCAGAAACCACAGACTACATGTATCAGGAAAAAAACTTAACGAATGCAATCGCCAAAAAAAATTCAAGGTAACCTGTGCGTTGCACATTACGCGGAAAAACATCGGCACATTATTGATTACTAGAGGCTCTATCGGGTCTCTATTTCCGGCACTTTCAAAATGCTCAAAACGTTACCCTGAGGATACTCACTGGGGTCAAAAGAAGCTAAAAGATTGGTCAAAAGTCCTGCATTTTGGAGACAACTGTGCATTTTGTTGCGGTCGGTTTTTAGTCACAATAGTTCTTGTTATCGTGACGAGCTATTGTGAATGGATGGTTTGGTGTATTCAGAAAATTTCTTCCAAGTTGAGTTTGAGCGTACTTTAGGTCTTCCACATGATTGTCCTTAGGGAAACGAAAAAGGAAATAGTACGAAGTTAATACCATGTCTCCAACAGTAGGTGAAAATCGATAGCCAAGTACAGGGTCATATTCGGCTACCTTTAGTTACCTCATTTTTCAAACACCTCTGATATTTACACAATGCGCACCTTACATGGACTCTTCATCATATCCCTTTCTACTTGCTTTTCTATTCTTAGGTCCAAAGTCATTTCACAGCTGTGTCGGCACATTTATATTGCTGCTGCGCAACCTCATCAGCGATCATTTACAGAATCGGCGTCATTTGTGCCTCTCTAGAGTGCTTCAAACGTTGGGATATCTGTTATGGAAGGTAAGTTCGGATGCGCTGCAAAAATGGTTGCTAACCAATTGCTGTGATAAGCCAGCAGGTCTGAATTTAATACAGCGATCGGTACACTTAGGGTCTCCAGATCATGCATGTCAATGTTGTCAAATGGAGTCATATCGGCATAGTTAATCACAGATCACTCTTTCAATCATATAACTTGCAAAGTCACGCTTGCTTTTGAAGGACGTCCCAACATTCTAAGTAGCACCTGGGTGAACACCAAACAGGCTGGCCATTTGCAGAGAAGGAGCCTGTCAGCAGAATGAACTAGAGGCATGGAGACAAAAAACGCTGCTGCCCAAAGATCTTGATGACACTACTGCACGCATCAGAACAGCGTTTAACGGGAACAAATTGTTTCCACAAGCATGTTAGATAAAGTAGACGTCATACACTACTCATAAGGTTTTTGTAAACTCTTTGACGGTTCACGACCGGTTTTGCCCTTCTTGGGGCTCATCAGGCGGACACAATCCCGACGTTTCTGTCAACCTTATGTTTCTCTTGAACCCAAATTGCACAAAATTAGCAAGCTACACTCATTTACATACCAATTTGGTTTTGACGAAAGACTTACCTAGAACCCAGCTTAAAAACATCATAAACGAGATATTCAGCTGTGTTGTTTAGATGGTACGGAAGCAATACGATATCGCTGTCTGCTCATTTAAAGCTCAGCATGTGCAATTTTGAGGTGAATATTCGTAGTTTTATTCTTACTGATAGCCGTTGATTCGGTTGAGTAGCTCAATCAAACACAATAACGGTTATAGTTTTGTGAATCCGGATAGATGTTTTCGGTAATTCGCGGCCACAATCTGGTAAAATGTGAGTAATCTTGTCTAATTTTCCCAAATTCAGCTTCCACCACTTCGACTTGACTCGGGCGTCGTTTCAGCTTGCTACGACTTGGTTCTTCAAACGACTGTATTCCACGATAGCAAAGTCATCAGTTCTGATGCAGCCACTGAACCGGTGGATGAACAGATCGGAGGCGTGGTACGCAGGCTTGACGTTCGGTTCTTGCAGCGAATCTTTCTAAATTGGAACATTTGGGAGCAAGCAACTCCTATCGCCAGGTTTGAGCATATCTTATGTGTTCTGAATCTGGCCAAGCGACATCAACGGCTGTTCAAGAAACTGTTACCCGTGAAGAAACTACTTGAAATTTTAGAACACTGTTATAGGTATGTGGTGAGGTTTTGCTATTTTTAAAGTCCGAAGCCATAGAAAATATGGATTTGCATGCTGAATGATAAACTGAAATAATGTGGCGTGATATTCAAAGTGAACTTGAACGAATCTTCGATTCTAACACCCTTCAATCAAATTTGCCATGCAAGGTTTGCTTTCTGTCAAAGCAGGCTGATATTCAAGAGGTCAAAGCATAAAGCGACCTTCGTACAGTACATTCAGTTGAAGGATATCATAGTCAAGCCATTCGGTTTAGTTTTACAATAGTTCACAAATGGGCGTTGAGTTCCACATGTCCAGCAGCGACTGAAGAAGAACTGAAGAATAAGCATATCGAATGATCTTCACGGTTAAGTTGCTAAACCGTACTCATCAACCATACAAGTTTCGTCGTATTAGCGGAGAGTGCATTTCTGTTGCACGTCGCGCTGTGTACATAACAAATGCGGCTATTAAGGGTTAAGATGTTTTGAAGCAATCATCTGGGGTTGTACTGAATTATTGGCGGCGTACTGACTTGAATCATACTACTGACGATTCCCATTAAAGTAGTTATATAAATCGACAATCGCCAGTGAAAAAAAACCTGCGTTGCGCTGGTGTAATTGAATAGCGGTTCTGTAGCGACTACGGGGCATAGAGGTGAGGAAGGAAAGTAAGCAAGCGTAAATGGTACTGATATTTAAAGCACTGCGTCAGCCGAAACGCACTTAAATGACCTGTTTTCCACCAAAATGACAATTTCACAGGTACTGGACGAGAAATAAAGTTTTTGCAAAACCGGAGAAAGGTTAAAAATGGGCTCGTGAACCCAAGCAGGCGCTCTCTTTCAAGTCAGACATCCTCTCGCTGGTTAGGGACATGTAACGAAATCACTGTTCATCTTCTTGAGTAAAACGACAGCGTCACAAACAGCTCTTGTATTCAACCAGTTGCCATAATGAAGGTTAAACGAATCCCTATGTGCATTTTGATCGCCAAACTGAATTTATCCTTGCCGCAGTGGAATCCGGTTCAATCTGTGGTTGCTAGCAAAAACGTTGTGCCAAGGTAGCCCAGTTGATTCCGCACCCGGCATCGGTGCACGCGGATCAGCATACTGTTCTCTCAGTGGTATCACTTTTTCAATTTACACTGTGAACTTCGAGATACGGCCACGAACACTAATAGGAAAGCATTATCCTTGAGCAGAGAGAAGTAAATGTATCTACGAGACATTTGTGATTGCGTTTTAAAATGATTTTGCTTACGGGTGCACACTCCGTATTAAAATGTTCCTGCCTACTGAAGTTGCTCATTTCCACCCATCTGTCCCACATGAGCTACATAGTTCTCCATACGAGTACACTTGCCAGTTGCAAGCTGACATCCAGCTTCATGATTCTGTGTTCAATGTATATTTTGTATACGAAGCCATGCAATTGCTGACTAAATTACCAAGGGCAATGTTACGATGCAACTCTGACGAGTGTTTTTGTAGGAAAAAGTCCGCAAGGTTATTTAAGAGATGCATACATAATATGGCAAAATATCCCGTCAATCCTGAAGGATATGGCTCGGTAGGTCATCGCATCCTCCAGGAGACTCCGACAAGGCGATGTTTGCGTACACTTGCGGTGTAATCTATTAGTCTTTGATTACGAATATTGCGTTGATTAATTAGATGAAAAAGCACCAACAAACCATGGGCTTGATTTAAGCCTTAAATTCAGTTAGTTTTCTTGTTTATCACATGCTTTGTAGCGTGAAATAATCAAGCGAGTGATGCCATAACATCAAGTCGTTTGCGGTTAGAATAATCAGGAAACATCCATAGTTTGGAGACAGAATAATAAAGATGGATTTGATCTGGCAGCCTTCGGGAGCAGTAATGTGAAAAACCAGCGATTTGCATACGTTTTCTGACCATTTGTTAGGCAAGAAAGTGCTCAAGGATCGTGTTTGTTGTGTGGGACCATCAGAATAATCCGCAATAGTGAAAACAAGGTCAGTGGGGATACAGACAGAATGAAGGTGTGACAAGAGGATGTTTATTGTTACTTCGGCTACCCACCACGAATTTGCCAGATCCTATGCAGCTATGTCTAATTAGAATAAACTTCGAAATTGTAATTGGTGGATAAGGTAACTCACCCAAAAAGTGAACCTAAATGAAAGTCCTTGAGGGAACAACTTGGTAGTAGAAACGTTATTCAGCGTCCCTTGCAAGATATCTCGATGGGAAACAAAAGATGCCTTGAATGTGGAACAGAATAACGATGTCTCCAGGTCGACTTAAGGTGCCCAAGTTTTCTACAATCGCCGTGCAGGCAACTCCGTGCGTTCTCTATGCGTATCTGTTGAATCTTGCTCTGAGGTGAATCGTACGGGACGTACTATCTGTATGCTAAAAAAGTGTCGACAGCCCACGACCGGTTCCATTCTTCTTGTGACACTCCAGGTAGGCACATTCACCGAGTTGTCTTCAAACTTGTGCTCTACTTAAACGCAAATTCGACACCATTCGCAAAACGCTTGTCTGCACAATAATGTGCATTTAAGATGAAACTTAGATGAATTACAGGTGAATCACTCGTCTAGGATTTTCTTCTTCTATTCAGGGCCAAACCGCTTTCGGGCTGTCCAACAGCCTTTGGATACCTTGCGAGTAGTGTATTCCATCTAGACGGTGTAATACGATACTTCAAATACCGTAATAACATGAGGCCGACTTGTGCAGCACATTCAGCTGAAGAACATTGTGTACGAGAGATTCAGATGAATCCAATAAGTCCCTTTGCAGCTAAAATAATCTACAGCCGCGCGTGTATTTCACGAATTGGTTTGGATCGTTCGACACCAAAGTGTACAAAAAACAAATGAGGCTAGTTGGGAAATGACAGCACATGCGGCATCAAACTGTGGGATCTAGCTTTATTCCGGAACGTATCTGTAAACCGCTCGGAGGCACAAACTAATTCACTGCTTAGACACTAGTACACTAAGTACGAAAACGTTTGGAGATAGAATCGGTTGTTTTGTGAATAGCTGCTCGGCAAGCAAATGGTGTTAGGTGGAGAAGGGTACCACTGCATGTCAACGGTTTTGGAATGGTCGGTGTAGGGTTTTTCTGAAGCACTTTTCAAGCACAACGGACGACAGTTCATTTCACTTGCATGGTCGGCTTGTTCTACTAACTGTGTGCAGTTTTGGAAGAAATGTGGTCAGTTGCCCTATGTGTTGCACCTAGTCCCAAAGTGGGGGCAACAGCGATAAAGCACGACAGGACGCATTGAAGAAAATCAGGCGTCTTTCCATAATCCATAACAGCGCTTAGTTTAACATATTCTTCTGTTGATAGGCTCTACAGACTGTTAAGGGCAGACAGTGAGTGCGACCTTTCTTCGGTCTGTCTCACGTTTTCACGTAGGGTTGGATAAACGTTACCCATGAGACGTGACCGTATGTCGGATGGGACAGTTGGCAAGTGAGGTGCGAAAAAGTTAATCATGACGTACCACGTGGACCATGAAAATGGCAAATCTAATCCAGCTTCTAGGCATAATCGTCGCCGTTGTCCCATCCAGTATGTCACCTTCTAGAGCTCAGCGTCACTGACCTCAATAGACGGGTTTTCGAACTCACACCAGGTATGGAAAATTGAGAGCCAGATAGGTGGTGCGTTGCAGCTAATACCTGGTGATACATATTTCATCGTAGAAGCTTTGCTTCTTAGTAAGAAATAAACGAGCCGAAAAGCGTGATTTTTACTATCTTCTTCATGTTGGGACGGACATGTAACTTAACGTAAACTGGCTACAGTGAAATGTCAAATGGAAAAGTTTAGAGTAGCAAAGTAACCATAAATGGGTGTAAAGATGACCGTTGTTGAGGTTAGCGATACGGAACTTTGGGTGACCGTATGTTTGAGGATCCTGAATATCAGAAGGAGGAATCGGGTTCGAAAATCTACGATGCTATTTACACAAAAGTTAGAAAAATGACAGCAAATCGCAATTGTCCATGTTCGTGGCATCAACAGCTGTGCATGTCACTGACCGGCACTGTGGAATGTGAAGGTCCGCTCACCGGAGGACAACGGCGGATGGAATGTTGGCTCAGTGGTGTAGTTTGCGTCCGTCCCTTCCAAGTTCAGTCTAGCGATTCCGACTGGCGTTGCGATCACACGAACTCCAGACAGAGCGAGTGAGGACAGGCCCAGCTGATGAAAAACGAGCAAGCATGGTAAAGTGGACCGGCTGCGCACATTCACACACACATGCCAGCGTACCGGAGTTGGACGGATCGGCCTTTGGAGCAAGGCGAATGGCCATAGGCATGAGTAAAGCAAGCGAAGATCAAAAGTACATGGGCCGAGTAAGCAAATGAGTGGGGGGATTAATCATGATATCTAGATAGATTCAATAACCATAGTTGCGGCTGTGATTACGCACATGGGTTTCCTATTTTCACCTTATGAATAATCGTCCAAATAGGTTTTCAAACATTCAGGATGTAAGCTTTAACCAGACTTCTTAACTTTTCTGATATATTGGCGCACAAATTCCCCGATATACCCAGATGAATCACCTGCAGATTTCTAAAAGTATCATGAAGAGCTCCAAAATTTCAGGCAAGTAAAAGGGACATGCAGGAACAAAGCAGTGTGAGTATCCAGGGCCTCGGTCCAGATGGCCAATAAGTTCCTCCCAAGGTGCAAATAAAAAGATTAAAGTGCGTTGTAAAGCATCTGAATTGAGCGTGACTTTTGCTGGAGGTAAATTTAAAGTTGGATGCCGGTTGTGCATTATCATAAGGTATTCGAGAAATTTCTATTTTGCAGCGATCGACCAAATGCGACTGTGATGGTGCTGTTCCTACCGGCGACGAAAAAAACTTCAAAACCCACGCCACAGTACACAGATGCTTTGGAAAGTTACCCAGGGTCAACTCGATCACCCAGTTTCCCAAATTGGTTTTCGATCACTTTCTGCTAATCAGAGGTCAGGTTAGAAATCTTTCGAACCAGTCTGATGTATTTTGTGCTTCTGAATGACAAGTTTTGGTAATCCACTAATTCGGGTTCACGAGCTCTAGAGTAGAGGTTTACTTGTTTTGGTTTCCAAAAACTTTTTGGAAAGACTGGTGTAATTCGCATGACAATATGTATCATTTTATGTTGAAATATGCCCTGACACACACACACACACACGCGGGTGTTTCCGGGTGGCCCGAATCGATAGTTCCTCGCAAAATTTAATGATTCCAAGTCAGAGTTCGTGGGAATGGAGTAGAGTATTTTTAGCTGGGTTAGATCCTTCTTGGTGGGGAGCTCGTCTGAGCGATCACAGCACATACGTGTGCAACTTTCAGTTCGGGACCACCAAATGTTTGTTCTCATTGTTTGCCCCTTTTTTACAGTCCATATTCTTTTATAGATGCTAGTTTTACTTCTTCAGAAATGTTAACGTCATTAAAAATCTTTGTCTACCGTCTGACATTGTTGATGAGTATTAATAAAACGTTTGTATCTGTCCATTTTTCGGTTTTCAGTGACGAAATCAACGGCCTTGAGAGGAATTCAAGTCTTTTCGATTTTACTCAGTCATCAGGACAATCAGTTCCAAATCTGAGTTCCGAATCTGTGGTTGATGAGAGATTATTGGAAACGGAACAAAAAATAATCCAACAGACTTGTTATCAGGTGCTTCAGCTTACAGAACTTCTTCTGCATAAGACGATCACACTGACCGACTTGCGAGAAATGTTTATTTTTATGTGTAACTCCACAAGCAGTTCTGCGGTAAGTGGCGCTGATTCGTCAGATACTCATCGTTGATGATTCTTAATGAGGTTGAGGCAGCCTAACAGTGCCTTTTGTTTTTTAGGCGTTGATCAACTTCACTTGATTGAAACCTTTAGGTAGTTGCGGAGATTGTAGAACCTATCAGCGGTATGGGGAAATCTAGAATGTTGTGGAATTCATCGTTTGAACGATGCTCGTCCTGAACTGGCGCAACTATTCTTGTTGAACTATAACAAACGGGGAAATTTGGACCCCGGTTTTCCTTGCATTGATTTGGACTAACCGAGATGTCTGCTTCTCAACAGAAGGGGATGTCCAAACGTGCGTCTGGGTACAAACTCTTGTTTGCTTCAGTGTTAAAAGTCTAATAAGCTACCTGATCTCCCCAAAAATCGTGTGCTTCTCACTGACAAATAAGCTTATTGACATTTTTTGCAATGTCCAGAATTAGGTATTACCAAGTCATTTGCACCTGCTAGTGTTTAACAATAGTGGAGAATATTCCACGACTTACACGAGCCTTCCTGTACAGAATTGTTACTCAAGAAGCCTGTTGAAACTAGATCATGTGATGTAAGCGGTGTTACAGAAGTTTGAATACAAAAATTTCCCGTCTTTATGAGAATCGCCAACCCGTAGCTGTTCAAGGCTCATTCCGAAAGATCACAACTGGCGATTCATTGGATGCGAAATGCTGGTGAGTTCCGGCAAATTGTGCAACTCTTGTTGACATTTCAGAGTAAGTTGCCTACGTGCAGGGCAACCTACTGACTTGCAACTTTAAAATGTCCTCATTAATAACGAGATTCCGGTGATATGATCGGAGAGGGCTCTGTTATCATGAGCATTCCAGACGCATGTCATAATTGGATCACGTGACTTGAACTAAGTGACCGAGACAGAATAGAACCACATTTCAACTAAACAAAAGTGAATCACACTGGTGAGCAGTCACTTATGACCGAATGACATGGCGTTCAACAACTGACCAGAAAGTTGCGGGCTTGAAGTGGCTTAGCGATCTTTGTGCTTGTGGCATATATTGACTTCGGTTGTGTGTGGAATCTCACGAATTCCAGAGAATATGGAGCAGGGAAGCAGTACTAAATCGCGCTGCATGACTTTCCGAATGTATCTCACACCACTGAGCGGACTTGTCTCTCTGGACAGCGCCTAACGCAAAAATGTGCTTGCAAGCACGGTGGGTGTTGTAATGACCTGTGAGGTGTAGGTTGCCCGCAGTTGCCAGTCCTCTACAGGCTGCTGACACTTGACTGTAGGGTTTAGGTGTGCCTCAAAAATTCGAAGCAATCTTGTTTTTCCTTGCACCTATTCCAAAAGGCTTGTTTTTCACCGGGATGTACAAAACATAGGTGGCAAATACAAAAATTTTTCCTTTCATGCTGTTTCACTAAAGCAGTCCGTTTAAACAAAACACCTGGCATTCTATCAACTATCGTTTCAGGTTGAAGCAACACTGGATCTTCTCTTTCGTATGTACGAACAGTCGGGACCAAATAGCAAGCTGGCGCAGTATCTTTACGAGCCAGGGACAAGTGTTAATTTGTACACCCTCTTTCTGAGACCGCTGACGGAAGTGAATGAGAGTTCGAAGAAGAAAGCCCTGAAGGTAAGTCAAGCAGCTTTGTGGATGGAATTGCCATAAAACACAAACATGAGGATAGAACTGCCGTGCGAAATGGTGACTTTCAGCATAAGCCCACCACCTCTGGAACCTTATTATCAGTTGAGTGAAGGGTTTACACAACGACAACTTAGCTTGTAAGGAGTCCACGAAATCTAAAGTCCAAAACTAGTACAATCAACAATTTTGCTCTCTGCTTTCACTGTGGTGATTTAATTTTGTCGTTTGGCTCTGCCAACCGGATGCAATGTTCTGAGCAGTCAGTCAAGTGTGATTTCAGTATTTCGGATTGTTGTCAATATATCTAAGAGAACATTTCGCTAAAAATGACTTTACACAAGTTTGCTAAAAATGTACCGTATGTTCGCCATAGAAGGATATCCATCCAAGGCTGTATGTCAAGTTTCTTATGGGCACAGTTACAAGTCGACTCAAGTATAATAAGCTCTACTGCCATTCCACTATCCAGGACACTTTGCTCCCGTGCAGTGGTGCACATTCCAGGACAACCGTGATTTTTAGGTACATTGTGTAGTTGTAATCTAGGGATGTTGGAAATTCGTAAATTACTGTGGGAACAAACTTACACCTCCATGTCACGTCTCAGCTTAGGAAAATTTCTACAACCTTTTCAATTAAAAAAATCTAACGGTCCTATCCTCTATAAACTATTATTGGATTTTGGCTGGATGGCATTTTATCAGTCAGAAATAAGAAGTTTCAAACTTCTTCAAAAGACGGTTTTGCTGATCGGCGTCTTACTTCGATGTGAATTCAATTTGTGGTAAAGTTATGTGGCGGTAGTCGTTGCTCTTACAATTCGCACGACAACTCACGGAGGCAGTCCACAGTATTAACTTCTTGCTGTTGATCTTAAAGATCGTAAAATCAACAACAAATTAGAGTATGGATCGTAGCAACTCGATGATGTACTGTTTTTATGGGCCACTACAGAGGAAAACAAGTAAATGATGATCATTATGAATTGCCGGCGGCAGTGATTGGACTTTTCGCTATCTGCCATCCTTGTTCCTTTTCCCTTGGACAAAAGCGTTTTATTAAAATTTCTCACCAATTCACTGGATATTCAGCACGTAGATAACACCAGCTGAATGACTGCATCGAACCATCTTTTACTCATCCATCGTGAGTTTGTGTTCAGATAACATAGTACTGGAATTTTTTGAGTAGATTCTAAAACCATGTATACCTGGTGAACTTGGTTTCTAGCCACTCAAGTCATCAGATGAACCCAAAGGTTTTATGCAGATTGCCGTTCCATTGACCTGAAAGAATAGCAGTTACTAGGCAGAATGCGTTATCTTTACATGTGGACACCAAGTCGTCCAGGTACTCCAAACAATCCGGACAGTTTGTTGTTTTTGTCTTCCATATTTCAGCTGTTGAATCTACTAGTGTTAAACAGTCGGATTTCGGAAGCAAAGAAGTCTCAATTAATTTTGGAACAGTTTGGCGGACTGACTGGTCTTTTCTCCTTCAGTGAACAATTCCCTCAATTACTGGTAGATCCGGAATCGATCAACTGGTTTTTACAGATTTTTGACCGATGTGAGTTCCGTTCTCTGGGTTCCCGAAAATTATGATTACTTGCCTAATCAATTGATTGTAAAATGCAAATGATCGAGTTGGTAGTCGGGCTCTTCGGCAAAATATTTTGATAGGCTTTACTTGTCAGTGGGGATTAGTGTTATCGATCACATATCGTTTGGGCCAAATCAAGTGAATTGTTATGGTGGTAGCTGTTGACCAACTGTGTCTGTGATATTGTATTAGGCTGCTGGCCAAGTTTTACTTTCTTTCAGTAATAAAGTTGATCATTTATTCAAAATCAGAATTTCTCATGCTGCTATTTTCAAGGCTTCAGACAAAGGGCAAAACAGCACAAAGGCTCCGACCAGTGTTTTAGGGGACAAATAGCTTTCACTACTACCTTTCTGGCCGCATGTAATTTGCCGTTATATCCGCGATTGCGTGCGTGGTAGATACCGGATCCCGTTCAAAATTTTACCGTGTTGTTTTTCGCACACGTGTTCATCATCTAAAGAATTTTATTGAGTTAGCACATCGAACATGTCATTTGGCCAAACCTGTCCTCAAATTCGCTTTTCTACCCGAAGATAACATTCCAGCGTACAGCGAGAACCATGAAAGATGTCGCCAGAATATAGGGGCGTTTGCTTCCTTAAATAAGATGCCTTCTGATTATTACTAAAACCGTCTGATGTTTCGATGGCAATTAATTGGAACGTAATGAAGTTCCATCTCGAGCTACCAGGTACAACTGCAGGACCACACCAAGGCAAATCGGAGACGTTGTTGAGGGATGGTTAATTGATCTGTTCACGCTAAGCTGAGGAAGTAGTTGGCAAGGTTGTGTGGACAACAGAGGTGTGCACAGTGTACTGGGTAAAAGCACGATGGGGCTTGTGCAACTTTTACCATGGAGTCTGGTCGCATGGGTTGACTGAGGTTTTCATTATCTTTTCAATTAAGATGTGAAGAGTGCTTTCATCCCTTAGTGTTTTTGGCGTTTGTGTTTGGTTTGAGAGGGGTGAGGATTGTTTAACTGCATGCGTTCACACGAGAGACCAGTTATCTTGCTGGATGTGTGAGTTTGGCGTAACCCTGTACCCTTGCCTTGGTAAGTTCCCGCTTTCCATGCATTTAAAGGAACAGCACTGGTGGTCGGTGGCTTGTTCACTGAGCTGGGCAATTTGATTGCAAACATTTCATCACCGATCGAGGTGACGTCATCAGCGCGTTATTGTGGAGCGTAGTAGTGCGTAGCGGTGGGTTGGTGGTTGTACCACACTCCACAATAACGCACTGATGATGTCACCTCGATTGGTGATGAAACGTTTGCAATCAAATCGCCCAGCTCGGCGAACAAGCCAACGGCCACCATCTACGCTACCTGAGCTACCGACATTTTCCTCTATAGAGGAACGGCACTTTTCTCCAGAACATCGGTTGCTTGGATGCGTAAGCTTAGCGAGTTACTTCGCTTAGTGCCCAAATCACTTAACGCAGTTGTGTGTAATTTACCTGTCAATAATATTTTCATCCCTGAAAAGAGCTACTCGATAACTTAGAGTTGTTAGTGAAAGAGCTAGGAAATTTTTCAGTGGAACTATCAACAGGAATCACCGTTCTGTTAACGTCGTTACTCAGAATTTTGTTTATTAGGGGAATTTTCCTCCAAAAAAAAGCAGCTTGAAAATATGTACCTGGAGTCTTCCAAACTAGCATTATTCCCTCAAGCAGGCGCTGAATCAGACGACCTTGAATGTGTTTTCTTTTTTCATTGGCTACTGTACCTGGCCGGTTGGTCTAACCACATGCAGCACTCAGGCGTAGACGTTGTTGCCTGTCAGCGTGCGCCAGTTGAGTACTAATAGCACACTCGTCTTACGCATTATCCAGCCGGAATTCAACTGGTTTTATGACAGGTAATTTAATACATACTAAGCAGGAATTCGTGGTTAGTGAATTATTAACCACCACGAATTTGCAAATGCGCGTTAATTGCAAACATTCCCATTTTGTGTCATTTTTGTATATACGCTTTTCTGCAGACTGGATGCTTTGAGAAGTCGCTCGTTGATGAGTCTACGCATGTACCCATGCAACATATTGTTGTTACGCAACAACAGACTCTACCATCCTGAATCAAACGACTTTAGTTTAAAACCAGAAAAAAACTTCCACAATGTCTAAAATGTGCGCATTGTGCGTCTCCAGTTAAAATTTCAGAGGATTGCCCTTACACTTTCAAAATTAGTGCATGGGGAACGACTGTGTCCAATTGGCTCGCTGAGCAGGTTTCATTTTAACCACCAGAGATTTGTCAAGTCTTGCTTGGTTCAAGTTTTTCAGAGCAAATGGTTACGTCCTTGAGATTCAACCTAATTATCTGCAAGTCCGTTCGTTGGATCAACAGTCATTTGTTTCCAGGCGTGCATCGCTTCTATATTACTTTTTGATATATCGATAAGATCAAAGTCTGGGCCATTTTTGATCTTGCATCCGGAATTAAGAGTTGGTGTGGACAGACCTCAACTGTTGATCACGTGGGTAGAAAGGTGAGCACATTACGTGAATTTTGAGTGCACATTCATGCTGTGGGACAGTAGACCAGGTAACTCATCTTGTAGGTCAATGAACTGGCAAGCGAGAGTTGTGCTTCCGGTTTTGAACTGAAGTCATCCATCAAATAATACATACTGGTTTTTAGTTCCCATCCATGTATGTTATCTCTCCTCAGTGGGCTCACGTGACTTTAGAGGTTTCCTGCAATTCATTGAACTGATGTCAGAGCAAGACTTGATGCAAAGGATCAAGGTTATCGAGCTGTTCCTCAAACTGATTGATCAAGCACCGGAGAATCACGCACAACAAATTCTTCGAATTCCAGCCTTCTTCGATTCGATAATTAAGCTACTGGTCCTCAGGAAGCGTTGGTGAGTATTGTTGCTGGTTTTCTCACATATTCACTAATAGGTGACTAACTAATTTATGTACCTATTACAACGCTAAATTATTTTATGAAGAGTGAGTTTCTTGGAAACTGAAAGATCATCTCATCATTTCTAAGGATTTTGGTGAATGTTTCCAAGAAAGATATTCAGCAAAACTACTTACAGAAATGAATATATCTTCCCCTCTTAAGTAAAGATGATGGAGTCGTTTAGGTAGTGGCAAACTTCATTGTAAGCCAGTTATAGTTACAATTGACCCAAGATAAACTCACTCGAGCAATACACACTTTATGTTAGTAAGCCTCTTATAGCGATTCGATAATGGCAGCCGAGATACACAGTTTCCGATCTGTGGCAGACAAAACATTGTCATACATGAGATGCTCAGACACGAGAGACTTCGTTCTTGTGAACTGATAAGCGACTGTAACGGCCATGCCATGACGTGGAAATGGAACCTCAGTGAGCGCGAAATGCCGAGTATGTTAGACGAGAAGTAATGCCAGAAGGAAACTGATTTTGCGGTAGGCTCACTTGTCTTAACTCATTAGATTTCCTAGCTCACTAACAGCGCCTATCACTGAAGTTTCTTGCCCTGCTATACAAGTTATACAACGTAGCTTCTGTTAGAAGCCAGTAGACATCCTCACCTCCCCATTACCATTTGGTCAATGGTTTATGGGTCATCATCTTATTATGAACGTGTTGAACTCAAACTGTGCACGTTACTTTTTCTGACGAGGTGAAAAGGTTTCTAGCCGGGCAAACCAGTGGAATATTCTTTCATAAGGAAGTCGAATAAACTTCACTGCCAACAGTACTCAGAACACTCACTTAATTAGCCAAAATGGATTCTTCATGTAACTGCTTCCTCTTGCTTTCCATTTTATTATTTTAATTATTAATGCCATTGTTATTAATTTATGACCCCTGCACAACGGGAGGTTTTTATGCTCCCATACCTGAAGGTCTGCAGCAATATTGAGGCAACTTAACACTAGTGTTCAGAAAGAAATCGAAAGAAAGAGCTGGAAAATCTACAACGTGTCATCTATAGTTAGAAACTCTTGACTACTGTCAACCACATATCAAAGGTTTGATAAAGTGAGTTGCATCAATGCTTTAGGCTGCGTAACAGTCACACGTAAGAAAAGTTTGTTTTCAGGTTCATTCCTGGCCGTCTAAAGCCCCACTTCGCACTTCTGGTAAATGTCTTGCCGAATTGTCGTTTACTTTCTTCTACTCACCGGTAGGAAACTTGGATAAACTAACCACAGGAACAGTTCCAGAACATCCCGTTTTTCCCATATAAAGAGACGACATAAAAATCGGGTGACCTATTCAAACTTGTCTAGAAAGTTACCCTGTAAAAGGACACCCATGACGGCATATAAAAACAATCAAGAGGTAAATATCCCTACGTTTCATTTCAAAAAGTCTGGAACTCTAATGTTGAGATGCCACCTGGAGATCGGGAGGCCATCTCGAACTTATGGAATTAGAATGTACTGGGAACCAAAAAATGAATTGGGTAAGAATCCAATGAGTCGCGTTAAGCAGCGTACAGCAGCGCTGAATGTAGCTGTTAGGACGATTGCCCCTCTAGAACATCTTAACTGAATATCTGGACATTTTGGATTTCTGTGGAGATATCTTAAGATACTTGTCTGGGATCCCAAAAGGCCATTTCACATTCCAGTCAACCTGTACCACCATATGTTAGGGTTTTATCATAGCGTTAACAAATACCTTTAATATTCACGAAATGGCCACACATTTATAACCAACCAGCCTGAACTACTCACTAGCAGTCATTTTGTCAATTCGACTCTCCAGCTACGTAGGTGCGATCGGAGACCGCTATTAAGGACCGCTGGCTGAAGAATTTAGTGGAAGAACTCCCTACATATACCGAGTAAGCCGAACTGAGCAACATAAACCTGTTTTGGGTGGGCTTTGCAGAAAATGTCCTGATAATCTATAGGCAAACTTCTCCAACTCAGGAGCCTGTGGTTCGATTGTATTGAGACTAAAAACAGCCAGACTGCTCGTGAGTAGTTCGTAGATAGTGGAAGAAAAACTGACCCTGACCCGTGACAATCAGGTTGGTACTTGAACAGGGTTGGTGAACAACCGGGTGCTTAGCTTGTAAGTGGACGAGCCGTTAGAGCGATCAAAGTTCTAAAAGCGATCTACCTGGTAAGGTGTAATTCAAGAAAATAGCGAAAACAAGCTTGCCGGACTTGAACTCTTCGACTGATGCATAGTGAGGCTACGCTCTCCTTAAATACGGGTTGGTTTTTATAGTGAGCAGACACCAACCGATAGGTTCTGGATTTGAATATTTGTGATGATTTTCGAGATCCAGCCAGTTGGTTATTCAACCCAGAAGTTAAACCATTATCCGGTGCTTCTTCCCAGACTGTTTTTTCGGGATGGAAACTTGATGGGTGCTCATAAAGTCACATTTCACGGCGATGTCTTTAGCTGGCAAAAGAACATAGCAACTGGCTAGCTGTTTGTTGTCTGTTTGTTGTTTGGCTCATTTGACATTTCACCATCGAAAATAGAAGTCAGTGATTTGAACGTGTCTAGAACTTGTTCATATGCACATTCGCAATGTGTGCCTGTTTACCGCCGATCACTTTCTGAGCCCTATTCTCCAAAACGCCAGTGAAGCTGTACAGTCCCGTTGAACTTTCCAAATTTGAAAACTACTCCAACGAGTACCAGCCCACGTGTTGACCATAAAATATAATATGAAGACTGATTCTGTGTCCTTTGTTTGATCACTGATCAAAAGGTCCAAGGAAGCCAAAGAACCCCTCATATATCCAACTACCAATGCAGAGACAAAGTACAAGCATGATTCCAACTCTAGTTATAATGCCTTTTAAGGTTCCAAAATCCCATGGTATGTACTCTTCTGTTGATCATGGTGTTCAAAGAATCCAGACAGCGAAGAATTTCTTGGGACGTGTACCCTAGGGCACTATCACCGCGGCAAAACCATCAGGCAAAACCGTCCCTGTAACCTCCACATACTGACGTTTTGTTTCGCAACATTTTACCACTACCCCATGTAGCTCGCCACCCTTGAACTGTCTACCTTTCTTCATTTCTATAGCACTCCACTTGCCAGCTGTCGCGTGACTGCATCCCGTTTTGGACTCATACGGAAGCCAGTAGCTCAAGTGGAAAGACGTTTGTGTAAAACGGAAAGCACTATCGGACAACCGGTATGACCGTAGTGTCTTAATTAGTAATTTTTCGAAGGTATCCTCTATTCAACCAGTTCTAGGTTTAACAGAGTTCTTGTGTCACGAAGAGCCCTGAAGGTACTGGGAACTATCGAGTCACTCAGAACATTTAAATTCGTCTATTGGCCCTGTGGATGAACAAGAGAAAGTTTCTGTGGTGCACTTTGATTGGTTATCAGCCACAGTTTAGAGTTTAGACAGATGATGTAGCTTCTCGTTGGTACCATTTACTATAAGATTCAATAGATGCATGGTACACTGCGGTAGTTTTTACGGCTTTGCGCTCGAGATAGCAAAGCTAACATCAACAAAAGTGCTAAAATGTTATCTACCATTAGGATACAAAAAAACAAAGTATCCCATCAACGTCTAATTCAGATTCCTTTTGCGTAGTGCCATAACTTACAATCGCGGATGCAGCAGGATGAAATGGACTTTATTTACTGACTGGATACTATGTTTTTATGCTTGAAAAGGATTGTATAACTCGGGCTCATTCACGAAATTTTCATCAGGAAGTAAGAATACTAATACTCTGTACCCAATGCTCGATACCCAAATTTGCACAAAGATTCAAAGCATCATTTGAAAACAAAATTCTCGGTGATTACAGAGTAGCTTTTTCAAGCAATGCAAGTCGAGTTCTTGGCTAAATAACCTCGCTTAGAAATTAACTTGACGTTGCCGGGAGACGCAACCGATTCCCGGCTGAATCTGCTACGCAAAGGCCGACTCAAATTTAAGTTGATGCGAAGCCAGTTGTGACTGTCAAAGAGTTTTCAGCAACTATGTGGGCATTATGTTACGTCAAGAAGCTCTTATTCGCCGACAGGTGGTTCATCAGAGTACTGCAAATAAGAGATTTTGCCAGTTGAGAGTCATGCAGCAGAGCCAAACTAGAACGCCACATGAGTTTCACTGCATTCTGCATGCGGATGTATAGCAACTAGACTACTCGTACTGAAACAACATTCCTGGCGCCGACTGACGCAAATGTTGAAAATAGTCTGATGAAATTACGTTCAGCAAATTTCGACGTCGAATGCGGTAGATGATCCGCTGTCCGCAATGAAATAATTTTCTTTTCTCTTTCTCTTTAATGTTGAACGATTTGAAAAGAATGATACAAGCAACCAAAAGCATTGCATATATATTCAACGGGTTCGCCCAAAATGCACAAGCATGGTTCACTATTTGAGTGTACTTCAAGCCCCTTCGTTCCTGTGTTGTGTTCTGACGTAGATGTCGACTGACAGGACTTCTTCGTGTTCAAGAATCACTAATTGCTTTGGCTCTAATAGATGAATATTGCGCATCAAGGCTTTGCAAACAACTCGAGTTGTACAATGAATCGATAGCCTATCGCACCGCCATTTCTGCGACCAAAGTGCGAATTAAATGTATCAGTATAGTTCACCACTGCTGGCTGATCAGAAGAGAGTTTGTCGTTAGTTGAAGCTCGTGCAGACAGCCGACTGACGTTGTTTGTCATTGGTAACGAAACGTTTTCAAGCTAACTGCCAAGGTCAGTGGACGGACGAACATATTCCCGGTCGAAAACCAAAAAAAATATTGGCCACATATTAAGTATGGTAATGGTTTACCAAATCGCGATGAGTGACTGGTAGACGTTCAAAGTTGAGTTCCTGTGTGTTATCAGTGCAGCTTGGGTTGGTGCCGAATTTATGTCAGCTGAGCAATCGTCAGTAATTTTTGTGTGAATTTTCGAAAACCGCCGAAGTGCTTAGTTAACTAACAGTTAACTGAGAACACTTGTGAAGTCTCATTACATCTGGAGAGAGATCTGTGTTTGAAGAATAAAGGGGGGGTTAGGAAATAAGTGGACAATGCGTTGAACAAGGGGACTGTATGCGATAACACATCGACATATGAGGTTGAACCGGATAGCTACTCTTACTAGTCCATTAGCTTGTGATTATAAGGAAGTCTGGGACATATCTGAGTGGGTCAAAAAGGGTGGTGTGGTACCGACACCCTTCCTTACTTTTTTTACAAGAGAGGTCTTCCGACAGTACTGCCAAGGATTTTGGTCCTTCTATCCATTAGTAAATTACTGTTGCTGGTGAAGAGGAAGAAGGCCTTCGCGGAGGAGGTATTTATTAGAAAATACCAACTGGATAGTTACAGACTACTGGACAGGGAAGCAAAACTCTCATATGCATCTTGTTTACGGTAACCGAATGACCCTCTTCTCTTTGAACGCGTCTTCCTGAACTTTCCTGGATATTGACTGTTGCTCAAATCCAAGCAATTGTGACTCCACAAGTTCCGTAATAGATCTCACTTTTCAAGAGACAACGCGGATTTATGAGAAACGTACTACTTGCATGCCCCCAATCAGTAGTATCACCGTTACACTAGTGGTTTGGCGCGCAACGTTTTGTTAGAATAAATAATCTCTCTGACATAATAACAGTTACTCTGACAGCTTAAGAAATACGGGCGCACAGGTACTCAGTCATAACGCTGGTATTCACTTTGATGACTCTAGTGTAATTTATGAAATTTGGCGACAGTCAGGTATTTCCAAAGGTGAGATACCTCGATTGAACAGAACCCTGACGAGGATACCAGCGAACTACCTGAGCAACAGAGGTGACAGAAAACTAAAGGCACATGGATTTCAAGCCTTCAGCCGAAAGAGGACTTCGTAGAACTCACAATATGTTGGTGCCTGGACAGACCCAATTGGTGTGTTCGAAGTCCAATTAGGTCAAAATCATGTCGTTGGACTGAGACATTCTGGTGTCAACATAAAGGCGCTTGGTAGTGTTCTACATTTCTTGATAGGTTTTGTTGCCAAAACACCATTCAACACTAATCTTATACAGGCGAGGAATTCTGATATTGATTGGCTGCTTTAGTCTTAAAATTTCCTCTAGCTTCCCACCCTGGTGGGCACACTCTGAAGATGTACCATGAACGCACATCGTTTCAGCTGCGTTATATGTGCTAAGCGAAAGGTTTATCGGATTGGTCAAGTACTCATAATAAATTAAACTTTCCGATATGAAAAAATAGATAGTCATAGCCTCAAGTTGGTTGATTTTCTTCGTAAACAAATCTAGTGAATTCAGAACATTCCGTTTATGCAACCTCTGAATCGGCATTGGAATGGTTGTTAATGCAGAGGTCCGAAGAACCAAGTAGAAGATGTGTTTGTACGAATACGAATGAAAATTTTGTCTATTAGCTAAATTTTCAGGACCGATAAGACCATGCGACATGAGGAATTGTTTACGGATTCATGTGATTCACTAGCACGTAGATTAAACAAGCGTTGACCACATCAATATATTTTCCATAAATACTGACATTATTGTGAACAAGAAAACCAAAATAGAACTCTGGTGCTTCGCTACTATACAACCCTGTCAACTTATAATAGAAGGAAGAAAATATGGGACAGAGAGGGGACCTACAGTTAACCTACGACAAACACCCGAGGTCTCTACACCTCCAACATTCACTCAGACGGTCTGGATACGAACTGATAGCATAAACGCCACTATATGGATCGGTGTCTCTAGCTGAGATGTACCCCATCCTGGAAGGTGAACAGCATCAACAGAGCCTTAAATTGTCGCAGGATTTTTCGTTCCTTTCTGTCAAGGGCAAAACGACAACAGGCCTAACTCAGAGTATTCGTTTCAACATAAAATTTCCCGAAGAAATTGGATACTTATTGAGGAAGCCAGACAAACAATATTTCCTCTTCGATTGCCGAAAAACGCGAAAACAAAGCTTGACGGGACAACCAAACCAAAATGTCATGACCTTCTAGCCAACAAACACCTTTGCGTTTGTCAGCGTGAAACCAAATTTCTGGTTAAAGAATTGTAGTGATATTATAACCCTTTTTCTGAAGCAGACTTTACATCAATTTAGTCACGTTTAATTACAGCAGACAGACAGTGGATGCAATCAACAGTATTTACAGTTTTCCGGCATATCACTATCCGGCTGATGCCGTTTAGCTCCTTCCAGATTGTTTCAGAAGACGGTGTTTCAGCAGTCTGCTCTACTTTGGCTATATTAATTAGTTATGAAAGCAGAGATCCCATAGAGACTGTATGTGAGCATACCGACATTAAATTCAAGCGGTAACCACAAAGTTCGGTTCGCTTCGATCATAAATAGCACTTCGTGTAAAATTTTCACCATGGTCGAACCACACGGTCGATTTCAAAAGCCCACCGTAGTCGCTGATACGAATCAAGTATTTTCTCGCTTTCCCGGTTTGGAATTTAAACGTCAATCTTTTCATTACCAACAAGAATAGGGTGAGTTTTCAACGTTTTTCCAGGGCTATAGCAGGCGTTGTTCCATTTTATTTGTTTGCAAAGGACACAGCAAATACTCAACTTGATGATGAACCCTCTGATCAGCCGAATGCTAAGGAAGTCTCCGAAAGGTTTCATTCTCGACATTTTTACCGACGAATTGGTTCGTCAGGTTTGATGGAGCAGGTTATGTCTCCGCCGTTAACCAGAATGCGCTTGACTAGTCAGTCAAACAGCCTTCATCGTGACATACGTCCAGAGGACTCGTTTTCTGAAGGTGCAGCTTACTCCGGTGAGTGCGTCACACCCGTGGCTGACTCGCAGCCTTTGTTGACCAGGGATGCGATGCAGTCTACCATGTTGGCTGAGCTTGTATTGCTGGCAATGCACAAAATAATCTGGCAGGCTCATGAAGTTGACCGACGCTTGTCCAGATTTTTGACGCAACTTCCAGACCCGTGGGCTGTAAGTCCTGTTTCTGTATGTTTGAGTTGATAGAAAAATATTAAAATGCTTTGGTGTTAACTGCAGGTCGTTTTCAGTCACCCACTACAGAACGCCCGCCGTTCTATTGTGACGCGAAGCATCCACCTTCGTTTCAACGTGTGCCACTAATGCAGTCAGGGCGTTCTATAAAAACACAAATCTGGACACGGTTGTGCAAGAGTTACTTTGAGAATATTTCACTGGCTGCAACTTCAGAGTTGCAACCCTCAACAAACCACATTTTTAATCATAGACACCATTTTCCAACGGAGCTTTAAAGATATGCTAAAGGTCCCAGAAAAATTCAGAAATTTTGCAACAAGTTGAATAAATTAAGCTTAAATTTTAAACAAGACCGCATGTGGAAGGAAAGTGTAATCAAATGTTTCATATTGACATCTGAAATACTTCATAGGATCATCTATAGTATGGGGCGTACTGACTGCCATCCTATTCGAATATCCTTCACTCAGTTCCTGAACGCACTCCTTGTGGCTTCGTTCAAGCCAAAGTTCAAACTCTAAGCTGGTATTCTCCGACAACATTTACTTTTTGGAGTCTTTTTCTGTGTGGAGACGAGTACCCTACAGTGATTCATTGATTGCGAGCAATAGCACGACCAACACAGAATACCGTTGCAAACGTTTTTTTAGATTTTGGTCCCAGTGATGAACTACCTAGGTGGCGTGTAATTTCAGGCGCACACCACTCTTAGGATTTCTGACATTCGAGTTCCGCACTACTGTGGATTCGGAAGCGGGAAATTAATATGGCCAGCTTTCCCTCACTTTTTTCAACCTTCACTCCCTCAAAGCTGGATGAAACGCTGTCTGCGGCAATGATTAATCATTATGAAAATGTACAGGAATGATGATGGTTCACATCCGTTCAATGGTGTTCGATCAGGTGGCCGTTGTTCCGTTCGCTGACCTTGACGATCAGCCTACAAGCGTTTCTTCACCAGTCGTGGAGGCACCAACATTGCGCGGATCAGTGATGTCCCCAAGATTGGTGACGAAATGCCTGCGGGCTAACTGACAAGCGACGAACAGGTCAACAAACACCTGATCAACTACTAGTTTATGGTACTGCTTCAACAAAGACAAAACGCACAGGAGCCAGAAGTTTTTGAAACACGTGGATCAGTCGTGGCCTTTTGTCCAGCACCAGGCTCACTTGGAACCTGTCTAAATCACTAATGTTGAGCGGGCAACTCTTCACCTATCATTTCCAGAGTTGAAACAGATGAACCATAAGCCGTTTACGCAGTCTGGTTAACCATTTTAAAACCACTTCACTCACCTTAATCTTGCATGATGGCCGCTTGTCTGGTCACTTGTCTTCTCGAATTTTATGTGCACTTTAGACTTATGAACAAGCAATAGCTTTCCTCCGTGACACCAATCAAACATGGGAAATGGTCAAGCCATATTTCTGGATGATCCAGCGATTTCTACGAATGATTTTGAACTCTGTGCAACAGGGAGTCGGCGCATTATTGCGTAAGTATGATAGTAGCACCACAAGAACTGATTTTAGTACCAAGATACTTTAAGCCTTGTTGGTAATGTGCCAGAATATTGGGAACTCGGATGAGTCTGTTGGCTGTTCATCAATCTGTTCACTGAGTTGGAAATTGACTTGCAAGTCAACTACCAACAAGTCAGCAAACAATTTTACGTCTTATTGAGAACATTACTCTAGCTATATTACCGTTTTCAGGTCGTATAATACGGCTTTCCCAGTGAATAGAACTCATCAGACATAAGACCCATCTGTGGATTTGAATCAAACTGCTAAGAAGAGAAATGTAAACAGCACCAAAAATGTGCACTGCATACCGATAGAACCTACATACTAAATCTACGGAAACCAGTTATTCCACGCAGCTGTTGCAATATTGATTTAATCCACTGCAGGATCGCAAGCTAAGCTCGTCTTCCAAAGCCTGTGTCAAGCCACTGTTCCGGCCTAAAATGACATCTCAGCAGCTTGCAGTCGTTATGATGGTCTGGAATAGTCCCATTGCCAATAAGGCACGGAACCAGCAGGATAACGGTGACCCTTTCGATAGCTCTTTCTCCGGATCAAATATATATATATATATATATATATATATATACGCATATGTGGAAGGAACTAAACTGATCAAAATAGCTGATAAAGTTGGCAGGAATTCGGTTGGTCACAGGATATCGGTAAATTATTGTCCGGCCAATCAAGAGTTTTCCTGTACACAAGTAGCTTCTGTATACAAAGTGTGGACCAATTGCAACCACACTAGAGAAAAGTCATTTATTTGAAGCTGCGGTATCCTAATTTATGCTTTTCAAGGTGGTTTAAGCAAGGTTGGAACATCTGGTTTGTATCTTATGTCAAACAGACTGTCCAAAACAGGACTAGTTACCTTGCACCACTGTCGTGTCAATACTACGGAAGGTAGACGCTGGAATATATGGTTTGACAGCTGCCTCATGTTCGACCAGTGTGGCCAGCAGATAACTGAATGAATGCTTGTGATAGTAAACAAATCAATCACTCTAAATGTTTTTGCGCATGTACACTGGCCTGGTTTGATTTGATCAGCAGTACTTCTTTTATCGCCAGAACCCTCGGGTTTGTGTTGCGCAACATGATTGTAAAGAGATTGATTGGGTCAACCCAATGACCAATGTCTACATTTTGGAAATTTTTTCTGCTGAACGTTCTACTGTGTATTCTATCTATTCTACCAAGGTGTCTTCGCAGCTTCAGGAGAACTCGTGGGATGTGTGAAGGTAAATAGATTAGATTCTCCAAGCTCAGCAGGGAGCCATAGGTTTATATTATGTCGGGAGATAAAATCACATAAGAAGTCAACTGCCTCGCACATAGGTACATTGATGAATAACGAACCAACGTCTGTTCGGCATTGTATCTACTCTGTTTTTGCCGAAAACATCTCACTGTAGACAACAATCGTTGTGTCCTGCTGGCGAGAAATGTTCCCTCTCTGGCTTACTTTTTCAGCCCTATCTGGAGAAAACGAAACCATTCGTGCTTTCGTGTTTCCTCTTATGCGGTTGGTAGTCGATTTAACGTGCAGTCGGCCGAAGTCAATGGATGACGATTATAGTGTTGAGGTAAGTTCTTGTCAACTGAAAAACGACTTCATATGAACTTGTGGAATTTGGAAAGTGTCTGTAAACAATGGAGTATTGTAAGGCTTGCTTAGGTGAGTTAGTACCTGGCTAACCGAGCTGAAACTATTTGGTTAGTGGATGAAAACTCGATTTGTTTGGACAATCAAAATGTGCGTCTCCTCAGAAGCTGCACTGCAAGGCCATTGAGTTCGATACAGTAAGTTCCGAGGTCGTCTTAATCAACTGATAATAAATAGAGCTTGTCGCGTTCTCGATGCATATTAAGAGGTATTCGAATGACATCGTCAGATAACTGTTTTGCTACTATGTTGCTTAAAGGAAGCACTCACTCATCATTAATCAGAGGCATCGCAAGACTACCACTTCAGTAGGTTAAATCTTTAATTACAGGGTGTCATACATCAGATGTTGCTCCGTGTAGAAATGACAGTACTTGGACCTCTCCTCTGGTTCAGATGTAACACCCTTTCAGTGCAAGCTGTCATGTCACATGAGGAAACCACAGGGGTTGAGATCTGCTAGGTAGCCCAAACCTAGACAGGAGCAGTCTAGATGGTGGGGATAGGTTTGAAACACCAACCTTCCGGTCAGTAAGTTAGAGCTTCAACCACTGAGCTGCCTCTCAGGGTCTATCAAATCTCTCACTTCCTGGTAATGTGACTGCACATATGTGGACCTAGTAAAGCATCAATTCTCCCCACTAAATATATATATATATATATATATATAACTCTGTGCTATTTATAAGGCTAACACACCAAAGAAACTTTATCTATCAAAGTACGAACATTAGCTATCTGTTTTTGTGGTTTTGGGCCTCAGTGATTTGTTACTGGCTGAAACGTTCTAGAAACAAGTCCGAATTCTGCTAGAAACCGATAAATAACTGATGTGCAACAGTGAAAAATAATCTGGTGTAAAAGGGATGAAACGGTTTTGTTCAAGTGTGCACAATGGAATATCTCCTTGAGTCGTGACCCGAACCTGATAAGTGTTAATTCACACCGCGAAGCAAGCCTCTTTACCCGATCGCTACTGAAGGAGACAGTTGTAACCAGATTGGTTCCAACTAGTCACATGCAGCCTTTGCTGTTATTGTAGGTTGCAACGCTGTGCAGTTCAGCTCAGCGGATTTTATTAATTACGCTTTGTACTAGCGGCGTATTTTGTCTCCTCAAGTTCAACATAGTGAGCGTACGATGAGCAAGTACAGCAAACACAACTGAAACATCTGTTCTGAGCAACCAGCAGCGCTGAATTATATCAGCATGTGTACGTCACTTTATCCATGCCAATTATTCGCTCAACATGCAACTCAGACCATCCGTGATACTTCAGTGTGGAATATCTGTCCATCGAGTACCAGCAAAGCACCGGCAATTGGTGGTTTTGAAACAAAGGATGTCCACACCAGCGCTTAATCCGGTCGTTATGGAGCTCAGACATGTTGAATGAACCATTTGGAATGTTTTAGGTTCCCCATAGATTTCCCCCATACATTATTTTGTTCCGAAATCACGAAAAGTCACTGACTGCGAAAATCTGAGCGCTTCATTATATGACGGATGAACTTGTGGACTTTGCAGTGTAAAATGTCGCCAGGCCACTTGAAAATTTGTATCGGTTTGCTTTAAAACTAAAAGTTCAGAAGTCGCATGGAGTAAAAACTACGTAGTGCTCTCTGTGACCCACAAAATGCTTCTGCAGGAGTAACCCCAGAGGTTGTAAGCTGGTGAGGATGGACGCATGAACCTACATTAAGCAGTAAGAAAAGCAGACCGCCCATTTGCGTTATTTCTTTGCACTTAATCAACATATGTAGCCATTTTTTCTCAAATTTGTGCACAACATTCCTCGTGTTTGATACTTTCTACATCCCAGTAAAATGCTAAGTGGTGTTTGGAGATCCAGCGTTGACTGAGCAATCCATCAACCTGCCTCTGCAACGGGCTTTCAAGACCAGAACCAATGCCGCAGACTTTGATGCAGGACGCGTAATATGCTTCGAAACTTTATGTCACCGAGTCTTTCCAGTCGGATTTTGTAGCAAAGTGATTAGGGTGCCGTAGGACTATGTTGCTCTGCAATGTTCCAGCATTAGACAAGCCCTTTTTTTCTAACCAGTCGAATCTCAAAAGCTCAACATGTGTCAAGACAGTAAACAACCTTTGTTCATTTTTCATCAGCTTTTGGACACGATTATACAACTGACACAGGAAACCTTGGAGGTTTGGGAAGCGAAGAAACCGTGGGAAGACATGGAGGTCCTCGTGCTGCATTTACTATTGATGTGGATCAACGAAGGAACATCATTCAAGTGCATCAATATTCTCCCCAATGCCCTAACTCGACTACACTACATTATAGATCGATATCCTGATAGGATGACCTTCCAGAAGGTAATGAATCAACCTTCATTTTGTGAATACTGTGCATAAGCCGGGCACCTGGGTTCGAATTCAATCCTACCGAATGAGCCGATATTAATCTGTTTTTCCCTCGACTGTGCCGATAACATTGCGTGTGACATTAAACCTTGTAGTCTTGGTACCCATTGGATGTCAGCGCATGTGGTTTGACACTGTGGACGATGTGACTGCAACAGGAAACCTCAGGCCCTGACTGAAAATGGGTCACCTTCTGAACCCCATATCAAGCACGTAGCTGATTTTGCATCTGGCAACGGTAGTGACGCTGGATTACTCGAGTGTACTGAACTGCCATTCCGATCAACCGGCAACTTCGACTTACTTAAACATACACGAGTAAATCCTGCAGTATAACCGACCAGATCGTTGATAACTAGCTGTGACCTGGCTCGCCTCTTCAAACTGCCTAGCGTCGTTCCGTGTTGCTTTGCATTCAGAGACAGGAGAAATGAAGCTCATGAAATCCTAACAAAAATAGGAAACAGATATTTCCGACGAGTTTTCAGTAACTGTTTAATAGTTGTAGGCTGGACTGCAAGCAATGACAACCACACGCGAAATGCTCCCAACTTAGAACCACCTCAACAAAGGGTCCGTTCTTCTCACCGATCAGAGTAGATGGGAGACCCCCATAAAGCCTACCTTTAGATAAACGCCACCCGACATTATAGTTTGTACACTCTGATCACTCAAGGTGGAGGGTCTGTCCACTGGCTTTGGATAGGCAGGCAAAAATGGTGGTTATGTGGAGTGCATGAAGGTTTCCTTTCAAGTATTTCCCGTCCAGACGTGAAACGCAAAATCATTTCAAGGCTTACCTGGGTTATTAGCTAAGCAATCAATTTCAAGTGCGCCAATGCTGTGTAACATATTCTTGGAGTGCTTTATTGGAGAGAATAAAATCATCGTGTCTTGTGTGTGGATATCATCCTAAATTAGTTGACTGTAACAAGAATAAACTTGACGTGTAGCCCATTGGAAAATCAATAGTTTTTTAATTAGAGGAGATGAAACTCACCCAGCTTGCGACTAAGTATTGTGAAGCTCACCTACATTAGGGAATTGCGGAACTAGTTGGAAAGTGTCACCTAAAAGTGGCTGATTACTATAAAGTAGGTTGTCGCACACTTCCTGCAGTCAACTGCAGTGTCTTTATTTAATAGTTGTGCCTAGTCCTTGGTTGAGAAAGCTGTTCCAAACGATGGCATTCAAGTTCGACGTCAGACTCAGCTTTTAACCCCAAGACGAGTTTTATCACCCTCTGTGATTGAATATTTTGTAACAAGATGGGGTTCTATTGCGCTTTAGAGTATTTCAAAACAACACTCAGCAGCCTATGTCGAACTTTCTTCAGGATTTTAATTTTCATGTTAACCTTTCCACCTATCCTGGAAAAAACCTCTGTCGCACTCTGTGCTCTACGAGGTCTGTTGGTTTAGAAGCAGACTCCAAACAGTAATGATGGGGGATATATCAGATTTACCAGAAATATCAGTAATGAGGATATATCAGAACTATTGAATAAGTCGTGAGAAGAAGCCATTTTCAGGCTTTCGCAGGAAAATTCGTACAAATTTTTAAATTCGGTTTCACGGGCAGACTTTAAAACGGTGGAATCTATTTCATTCCATTCCACATTAATTGGATGAGGCGGGCCTGGTCGAATGTTCACGGCAGTTATTTAAACCTTTATATTCGTCTTGTATGCCGGTAAACCAAGAGTGTAGGTGCAGCTTTTTGGTCGCGTGCACAGACTCACTTACCCAGGCCTTTACTCCCGGTCCATTCATTATAGTGCCTCTATGAACTTCAGAAACAATAAATGGATGACCCCATCATTGCACCTATGAAGCCTTCATTGTGATGTAATCCGACGAATTCTTCATGAGAACTGCTAAAGTTAGAAGGACGGATTCTTCATTTTTGCGTCCCATTAATAACATGCCCTGCAACATCAAAAAGCCCAGTATATCAGGGGTCTTTCATCAAACCTGACTAGCTTCAACTCGGAAGCTCATACTACAGCTTGATTCTCTTATCCACAGAAACAACGTGACAAGTGGCCACCCGGCTGTCCAAACTCTTAGCTAGAATATCGTTACCCTGGACAATCTCATTTCGCAGAAGTTTTGCCTCTCAGGGAAAGAGGTGGAATTNAAGTCTCACCGAATTCTGCATTTGGTGATGCTCAGCTTTGAGTGCCAGTGTAGGAGTGGCACTAATCTGCTCCACATTCTTTGCGATTGTCTCGTCAGAAACTTCTCGGGATTTGCTAGGAATGGTTGGACTGTGGTAAAGCGCTGTGTAGACAAGTAAGATATGGAGGCATTCTATCTTGCTACGTCTAAAGAAAGGTACTAAACAGTACTGTGAAAATTCAAAAACCTGTTCTCATGTAATGTCGGATGTGCGACGGGTATTTTTCATTCTGAGGTCATATGCACCAAAGTAACTAACGTCATATTAGGTGTAATAATTCGTGTAGTACGTAGTTGTTCTGGTAACTATTTGGAAAATACTTCAGTTGCTTCCTCGTATTTCTCCGATTTAAACTACATCGGCAAATGCTAAGTATGCTACACTCAGCCCATATATATATAATTAATCAACGAGAACTGTCAATTTATACGTCCAGCATTTTTCTCCTTTTTCATGAAAAAATCTATCAGCTTGGATTCATCCTCTATCGCTTGAATCACACCATCGATTACTGGGCACGCCTGAGTGACTTGGAAGTACTGGTCAAAGCAGCAGCCAGAGAGGACTTGAAGAACAGTGGGCGTCAGTTAGAATCGGAAAATACTGAAGTAACACCTTCAGGTTGTCCGGATGACCTAACGCTCACAAGTGCGGCTCCAGTCTTATATACGTTGTTAAAAAATTTCGGAGAAGTTCTCTGTTTACCCGACGGATTTTGTCAGTATTGTATCGAAGGTTTTGACCTTTGTAACAGAATTCAATCTTATAAAAAAGAGCACGAAGAAGAATGGACGGAATACATTGAAAATCGGGTAAGAAGGTTAATCGAGTTTCGGTCACCGTATATTTATTTCGGCAAACTCCAGTAATTTTATCATGCGACTGGCAATTCTTAAATGCTTTTATTGGAAGGGATGAGAAAACATGACGTGTGTGATAAGTGCTAACATTTTCAAGACTAGGTACCATACAGATCAGATGATGTTCTGTTCCGTTAGGTTGATTCTAAACGGTTACTTTGAATGGAGATACCCGACTGCCCGAGATTATGGATTCTGGGATTGGAATGCAATCAGAGCTAAAGCCTATAGGTAATAACCGCTGCTCAGGTGGTGCCGCTGCTGATAGCAGCAGTAAATATGATATTAGTGATGCAGAATATATTCCCGCATATCGTCTACCTTGACTCTTCATGTTAAAAAGATAGAGGTGATGATTAACGAACTGCCGTTTCGGAAGGTTGCTACCGGAGATTTGAGAAACTTCTTCTTTGCTACCAAAATAAGAATCTTCCAGAACGTGGTAACCATAAAGGTTGTTGGTGTGGATCTTGATTTAACCGCGCAAAAATTCATCATAGAATAAGCTTAATCTGGAAAAACTGTAAGCAGACGGTAAGTTTCAATGGAGACTAACGTGATATATTCAACCGTAGTGCAGATTGCAACTCCTAATACAAAGACTGTGAATCTAAGACTTTCGTATACAACTCAACGGAACATACCATACGGTATGCGTAAAATGACAGTTTTATTTCTGAGACATAATTTATTCAGGTATTTTCAGGCGCAGTGTGGTGAGGCAGTAATTTGGCATACCTATGTACCGCTACTTCTACTGCATAAACAGACAAGTCATGCGAAAATGAGGACTTCGGCCAAAACTTTTTTTTATTTTATCCACTTTTTTATTTACCCAATTGAATGCAAGTTTCAGCATAGTGATGTTTTGGTGGAAACACCAAACCTCAGCGATTCTGAAGTACGTCGAATGATATTCGGGAGAAATAACTCACCATCGATAGATGAACTGACCACACTGCGTAGGTTGCGCTGGCTTGGCCACGTGTTGCGTATGCTAGTCGACCGACTTCCACGAAAGGCTCTTTCTGCAAAACCACTTGAAGGGTGGAAAAGAGCCAGAGGCGGTCAAACAGTTACTTGGGAACAAAGTATAAAAGCCAGTACCAGCAAACTCAGCTGCGCTGGTCATTGCCTTCTTCCTGGATGGGGACCCCGAGGCGGGCCGTATCAATGGTTAGAGATATTGTCAGACATGGCCTAGTCGCGCCCTCAATGGCGATCATGCATCCAAGCTATTGTCTTCAATGCATAGCTCTCTTCCCAATCCCCTCACTTAACAGTCCACATTCAGTGCCGTATTTACGCATTAATTTATCAACTCCCGCCTCCAATGCGCACCCCACCTCTCCGAATCATCGGTGAACGAAACAGTGGCAGCTACAACCATTGTACAACAAGTACGCGGTTATTACAGGTGACAATGATAGTGATGTGTTAGTTTGGTCCCATCGAGAAAAAGGCATCAACTGATCAGCTAAGGGTATGGGATTGAAATTCTTCTGAGTAAATATATTACAACGTCCAGATCGATGGCTTACAGTTAGGATTCCCATTTGAGAAGCCAATATGGTGGAAACATTGGTAGTTCGGGTGAGTATATTGGTTGGTTGATCAGGTGGCTGTTGACCTGTTCGCCGGGCTTGGCAAATGACTTGCAAACGTTTCGTCACCATACCAGGAGATATCATCGACTGCGTACTGGTGATGTCTTCTCCTATGGTAACGAAACATCTGCAGGCGAATTACCAAGCTAGGCTGAGCCAGAGCTTTCAAAGTCTCAGGTGAGGCCTAATCATTATGAGTAACTGATGCATTGCTTTGATTAACCACTACTTGCAAACTTTCGTCACCATACCAGGAGATATCATCGACTGCGTACTGGTGATGTCTTCTCCTATGGTAACGAAACATCTGCAGGCGAATTACCAAGCTAGGCTGAGCCAGAGCTTTCAAAGTCTCAGGTGAGGCCTAATCATTATGAGTAACTGATGCATTGCTTTGATTAACCACTGGTTCCTTCTCAAACTTAACTGATAATATGCTATTTTCAATCCCTCACAGCTTAGACCAGTTGTCGAAGCGTATACAACACAGTACATCATGAATATCATATCTGAACAGACCATTCTGTGTGCACTGGCAAACGATGAGCTCATTAAATCTCGGCGCTATCGACGCTTCAGCGAAGACAAGTTAGCAATGGAATTGTCACAAAATTTGCCCGTGGTTTGTGAATACAAAACCCAAACACCTGACTCGCGGTACAAGTCCGAGAATGCCAGTGCGTCAACTACAGAAAGTTCTCTGGGTGATCAAACTGATTCTGTCTCGCCTGGATTCAGACACAAGCTAGTGGCTTTGTCTGGAAGATGGGGAGAAAGGAGCTCATCTTTGTGGGAAATCGAATCACTCAAAGAGCAGACGTATAACCTGCCTTCTGACGACTGTCGAGTGAACTATTCGAAATGGCTATCAATTCTCTATCAGCTTACTTGCGTTTCTCCTTATTCACCATGGTTCACAGGGTGAGTTCATAAACATGTGGGATGGTGAAGTTTAGGAATAAAAGGAACCTAACAAACGAGCCTCACATGCCTGTAATTAACTATTAATTATCTCAAACTTAGCATACTCTAGGTCGTCCTCTTTGGTGATTCTCTTTAGATCCGCATAACTATCACTTCATTCTCCATCCTAACACATTCAATTGTCTGATGAGTCCCAGAGAGATGAGATCCGTAGTAGACTGTAAAACAGACTCCTCCAAACTTAAAAGATGTTTGGCATCGGGAGAAAATACTTTGCTTACATATGCCGTCACAAATAGACTGGACCTATGCTGATGTGATGTCTTACGTGTATTCGCGATCCACTGAGCTGTATCAGGGCTATTCCGTGTGACATCCACTGAGTCTCTCATAGCAGGTTAGTTAATGGTTAAAAGTCTAGTGAACACAGTTTCCCGGCCCCGCAGGCTTGGGATTGAAAAATGGATGCCGAATCGTTCTGTGAATAATTGCAATGGACGTCTGTTTTCCGCCACATTTTTGCAGCCCTGCGGTCAGGCTTCTGTCCCAAAGCTTTGGTCGAGTACCTTAATTGTCCCCATGTCTATATCTGGATGCCCTGGTAGTATCCCAGCCCAAGTACAACCATGACACCTTCAACCAAAAGTTCTTCCATACAATATCGGCTGTCGCATGGGCTACCTTACTTGTTGCATACAGCAGGGATGGTAGGCGAAAACATGCTACTGTTAATGCCTCCCCTTTCACAAGTTTACGCATTCCAACTTTTACGGTAGCCCACACAAATATGAACTCTCCCTGCAGATTCTAGCACAAGGACTGACCGCCTTATTCGCCATGCGTTTCGCTTAGCTGAAGCATCTGTGTTCAGCTTCAGTAACAATCCTAAGCGATTTGAATGTGTTTTTTTAGACTGTCCTTAATTTTTGCAGAATGAAGCACACAGGACAAAAAGTGGCTCTTGCTCTTAAGCCGGATTCCATCTGCATTTATCCATACTGTCCGTTAGAAACAAGGATAGAGGGCGTAAGTACTGTGAGTGAACTCATTGGCCCCTTGCTCTCTTCCAGGTTTCGGCTGCGCACCTCTGGTGATGCGGCATCTCTACTTGATAGGATTTCCGTTGGTATTGGCCTCTAAGAGGTTCGTTTTGTAACGTCTGTGAGAGTCTGTGAGGTTTGTGTCGTCTGTGTGAGGTCCATCGCCCCAAACGAACGTAGGTCTGAATCTGTTCAATTTCCTATGACGTCCTAGATGCTATTTTACGTCGAGCTAAAAGCTCGAACATCGCTGTGGTTGGTGGGGGAACGGACACCCAGACGCTGCTGAGGCCCAATCGGATGATCGTCTTTGGTTGGATACGAGACATACGGACAACGGAAATTGTCCACTTTAGATGTGTGCCGTTGCAGTGCCGATTTCGATCACGCGATGGCCACAGACGAACTATCCCGAATCCAAACAGACCACATCACCGTCAGTTAGCGGTGGCGAGGATTGATCACTGCCTGTCGCTCCTTCGGAATGTCATCATGGATTCCGATAATGAACTTGTGTGATGCTATTTTTCATTACGCTTTTCAGACCTAGGCAGAACGCACACACCTCGCTTAGACATCAAGAAGCAGGTGAACCCAGAAATCAAAGGAACCTGTTAGAAATGACTCCTCAAACGCTTGACAAATTGATGGTAACTGCTACAGTACTACTCAAAGCCGCAACTTCCGTCTGCGGTACAACTCGGCAACCCTCATCCAGACATTGAATCTCTGATAGAACTGTGACTCTTCTAGAGCCCCTGCGATAGAATCCTCTAGGGCGTAACCAAAACTAAACTAGGCCTATCATCTGACACAAGATAAAACTGAGTGGCCGTGCAGACCGAGAAGCTTAGTGAACCAGAAGAGTCGAAGAAATGGAGTGTGTGAAAAACACTTGAAACGTCCGCAGACTGTTCCACTTGATTCATTCGGCTGGTCCTTCAAAGCTATTGTCAGCAAAACTCTCAGGGGCTGGAATAGCTCTCTGATTTCCAGCATCAAAGAACGTCTGAACTGCTGAGCACAGTCTTCTGAACATCAGTTCATCACTTGCCACCTTCAATCCACAATCCTCACCTTCAACAGAAGGGTGAGTGCGAACATGGAACCCCTGCAAGACAATGTGTTCTTCTTGGGCCACACCAACTGATTTACTCACAATGGCTATTCTAACCAGTTGCGTCATTCGCCTTACGTGACCGAACTTTTTGGTTTTTGTGAATCCGCTTGCTTCTAAGCGACCTAGTCAAACCATATCGCATGGACACCTGTTGAAGTGTGACTGAAACTTTATGCGTACAGAGTTTTATGCAGTTCTACATTTCCGTTTAGTGCTAAGATCATTTTATACATTATTCATTATCATTTGAGGTCTCAAGATATCTCCCTTTGCTTTAGTCTTGGTGTCGTTTCGATCGATGAAGTGAAAGATAAAACACCACTCCGGAAGAAAATAATTAACATGTGAAGATCTAGCATTATCATCGGAATTGTATGCGCTGTATGTATTTACAGATTCGGTACAATAAGCCATTGGCGCTTGGCCCAACTGGAAACCTCGTGTCGTGTTCGCCCGAAATTGGAACCAAATGTTTACTTCGACCCACATCTTAGCGCTAGCTCAGCACGCGACGGGTTGAGCATAGAAGAACTGTTGACACGTGGAAAACGACTATCCAGAACCTCTATTGTGGCCGTGGAAATAAGTTGCGATGATTCCGAATTAATTAATTCGTCAACAACAGGAGCGGTGGACGAGCTGTGTGAGAAGCATTTACATTCTCCAGATCAGTGGAACAAAGTGATGCGTGCCATTTCAGTTCAACGACGGCTGAACCACATTTTGGCTCAGTATGCTTCTAAGGTCTCTAGAGGGGACGACGAAGTTGGTGAAGAAGACTGGGAAGCACTTAGCACTACAAGACTGTCCGAAGATTACACTCCAGGCTCGGAACTACAGTCAGTCGAGTCTGTTACGAATCGTGCAAAAGTGTCCGAAGATTTTCAAGCGCAAGCAATTCGTAAAGAGTAAGCTATATGGGATACAAGTTGGTTTTCATTTGATCATTTAGAGTTTGTTTATCGCTGATCAGTCATTTCAACAAGTCACACTACCACTCGATCTTGGAAGGCCCTGAAAAGGTTGCTCATGGTAACCAAAGCGTTGATCGGATCTTGTTATTCCACTACGGTGTGCTTTGACCTTAAAAATTCCGAATTATACACCATATCCAATCCTAGTTTGACTGCAAATCTTTAAGTCAAACACTAATTGTGGACATTGCAATCGACAATTCAGAAGCAAATGCATTTAACTGAGACATTCGATCAGGCGGAAGGTGATTTTACTATAGACGAATCCTCAACGGAATTAGTTGTAAACTGCTACATCCCCTGATCGAGTTAAAAATGATTGGCACAAAATATCCCCATGCAGCAAAACTCCAAGTAACTCGTTAGCCTAGCATGGCATTCACATCGAAATTCGTAATCGAATTCTCAGCGTGCAGTGCAACTGAAGCGGAGTACCTTGAAATAATTCCATAATCATAAAAGTAGAATGGGTCTTTAATCCGGGAAAAGCAGTCCAGTGCATGTTTCATTCTGGCTGATCAGACGGATGATGTATAACCCACCGTGTCACTTTGCTAAACAATTTTCTCCTCTTATCCAAGCACCACGCCGCTCCCAATTATAACTGCATGCATGGCGTACCCGAACCATAAAGACATATTTTTTCAGCCTGTACCTTAAACCTGACTAGTTGGTAGCAGAGAAGTGAATTTCCCCAAATTTTTACGATATTCGTGGAGAACCTGGTGAGCACCGAGCCGCTACGTCACGGATTTGAAGGTCACAATGTTGTTGGTCCTGAAAAGTAATCCACCACTTATCCTGTCTTGCTTGGAAGCAGACAACTGGATGTGGCAGGATCAATCGTGATTCAGTGAAGCTGAAAAGCTTAGAGGATTGCTCTTTAGGACTAAATGCATACTGTTTCTATATTTACTATCTCCATATCCAAGTTTTCTTGGTCTGATCTTTATCAGTTCCCGCCTGGGAACTCCCAAATGCTAGGAATGTCTATCTTACCAATTTCAATTTCCAGCTTCCTAAGAAAATTTTTCGGATGAGATGGAGGAAAAAAGTACTCCGAGGTTTCAGTAACTTTGCATTTGGTACACTTTACGTATTTATGATTCGAAGAAACCAGGTCAATAGAGCCTCCACTGCACATGGAATAATCGACAAGAAAATCCTTAATTTCCTGTGTGTTTGCTTCATACCTAGGACTCGCAGGCATGCTGTCTTCGAGTTGCCACCCGACTTGTTAGACTCTGAACGCCTCAAACGGGATTCAGACGTAAGCTCGGAGTCAGGTATCTCTTCTTTGCACAAACCCTCGCTGTCACTTTATACTCCAAGAGGGTCGACAACGCTCACATCAGGTGCCCGAGTCCCATCACAGCCACATTTTGCAGCACCTCAAGGATCCCCATCTCTGCTTCCATCCAAGAAGGATATAGTAATTGGTGTGGAAGCCCAGTTGGTTACTGCCCTGGATGTGATTGCTGGGAAATTTATAGCTACGAAAACGTACGTGCTGTTTGAGGGATTCGCAACTTATCAAGGTCAACCCCAAGTCCTATGGCAGCTGAACAACCCCAACGGCCAGACGTTTGTTGCCATAGCATCGCAACCTACAAATGACAAATATCTTCCCAGTCCACAGTCGGAAGGGGGTAAGCTTCTAATTTCGACTGGGATGGCCTTTCATTCTTTGCTGTTGTGATCTATGGTGAACGTTTACGAGGTTGTCCTGTGGTTTTCTGTAAGTTACCAAATGACTGACATTTTTAGCATATATCCACATCCGGAGCACTGACCAAAACCCAACTTCGTTTCTATCACTACTTTTTGAAAACCAAGCAATTTATTGTTTATTATTGTTTGCTATAGTCTTGTGTGACAGACAGACAGACAGATAGACAGACAGACAGACAGACAGACAGACAGACAGACAGACAGACAGACAGACAGACAGACAGACAGACAAACAAATAAACAAACAAACAAACAGACAGACAGACAGGCAGAAAGACAGACAGACAGGCAGACAGACAGATATACAGACGGACAGACAAAATTCCTACTCTTTTACTGTCCTAATATAATTAGCATCGTCATACGGAGGATGTAGTGTGCTTATGTTAGGTTGTAGAAACTACTTAGTTTAACAGTAGTCTGGGTTTTAGCAAAATGAATTTTGAGTTTCCGGTACCTATCTTAGCAGAGTCAAAGTAAGCAGGAAACGACAGGTAGGGTTACAAAGACTTCGTGCAGTATGTCGACAATCCCACACTAGAATGATTCTAGAACATGATGCACTTTCTCATATCACACCATTATTCACTAAGCTTCTCTGTCAGATTAGCAACTCATCCAGGGGTTTTGGTGCTCGACCTCTTCATTTGATTCACTTTGGTGACCAAAGTCAACAACAATACCGGGTTTGTTTCGAAATACCCTGACAAATTCCGTGAAATCAAGGACATGCATTCATGCTGTAGTTTTGCGCTGCTGTCACACAGCTAGAAGAGGACAGTCACAAGAAATGGTACGAATCGGGTGCTAAATGTGGCTGATAATACCACAGCATCTAAACCAGTGGGCTGATGTGGCTGAACTTCAGGAAACCAAGACATGACAGATCATTGGATAGATTGACATGCTGTGCGCATGAAGAAGAACTAATGCGTAAGCACTAAAGGTGGCAATAGCGTACATGGGACTGGTGGAGTTCAGCATAAACTTCTAGCAGTTCTGTCAGAGGTATATGATAAAAACAGCAAATGCGTGTACTGATGCTGGCCCCCTATTTCAGGGTTTGCGCGCGAAACAAAAGTACAGGTGAACAGGACAGCACCATTTTCATCGGCAAATTATTTCACAACGTTCTTGGTTGCTGTCCCCAATGATTACACCTATCGTAAAAACATTGCAAAAACGAACATTTTTAGCGGTTCACTACGTGCTCGGTTTCTCATACAGGAGGAACACTATAGCGGGAGTGCGCTTTCAGAAATGATGTGCAAAGATTGTTTGAGTATAGCACACAAAAAATGGCTTACCGAAAATGTCGGATGAATGTCTAAAATGGGGAACTGACCGCAGGCTGGCACTAGTTTAAAGGTCACACAAGAGGTGTCTCGAACACAGAGGATGTGAGAGGAGCTATGATGACCTCGGTCATTAACGACAACACAGATCAAACGGTCAGTGACCGAGTTTTGAGTATCTAGTATCTACTTCGGTTTGATGCATTACAAGAACTTTTGTACTGACTCTGCAATTTTCCTAAATCCAGGTAGAGGTGTAGAGTGTAAACGTAGTCTGCACCCAGAGAGACAGTTGAAAACTTGTGTTCTAGTTGCAGTTTGAGGATAACCGGAGAAGTGAAAAGCCACAAATGGTGACTTATCACAGCTCTCTAGGTTTCTGCGTGAGATTTATGTATTCTACTCACTTTTAGTTGAAAAATTGAGACAGAATTTGATCAATAAAAACTTTGCTCCAAATAATTTTGTATTCCACCATCAGCCATGTGCACACAACATCTGGTTTATTCGAGTACGTCCTTATTGTATACGGTGCAAAAAACTTCGGATGCGATCCTTCGCTTCAGGATGCTAATTATTGTCTGATTTACAACTTTCGCTTTGCCAGTCAAGTTATTTCGCGTGGACATGTGATTTAGAAACTCTAAGTATTCTTGTAGATAGTCGGTTAAACAAGTCACCATCGCTGTTTCAGCTACCTAGTACCCGTCGTGATTTCGGTCGTGTCTTGAGGTGGAAATACCCACAAAATGTGCATAAGGATGGGCCAAAATATACTTCACGTGTCTTGTTATGGCTCAACAAATCACAGGCATCTAAGAAGCTAAGTCTCATACGAGACTGCATAGAGAACCCATTAGCACCCATCCTTCAAGTCATTCTTTGAGATGACAGATATGGAGTTAATTTATCGCATGTGGGTGGTAAGTTGCCCCATATCTGTGATAAGTGTATGATCTTTCAGTTTATTCAAGATCAGGATGTAGAGCAGCCCCCACATTTACTCTCTCTTTTATTGGTAGACTTCTCTGTCAAAGTTAAATGATACACCTAATGCATGGGTGGGTTAGGTGTGTTATGCAGATTCGGTGTCCAGCTGTGGAAGACACACAGAGGTGCATAAAAACTAGTCTTTCTTGTTTGCCAAATCGGAGAAGACAGATTTGTGGAATTGTTGTCCAGAAGGAGCTGTCTTGCATACATCTTTTCAGCTTTCGAGGTTTGTTGGACTCCATTCTCCTCACTGAACAAAGACAAACCGCCGAAGGCAACCACTAGCAAATGCAAATACTTCTTTTCGAACTAATACCGAACAATTTATTTAGATCATAAAACAAGATGTTTGTCGGACTTTGTGAGTAAACATATCTTTTCTTCTTCAACCAGGGGAAAATACCAAATCAGTTCAGGTGCCACTGTAATAAACTCACTCATTACCACGCACGTCAAAAATAAGGTTTTTCCCATAATCAGCCAGATACCTGCCGTTTGTCAGCGGTCTGTGAGAGATCCAGTGTCATCAGTTGTTGAATCCATCAGGAAGCGTCTACTCAATCCTAATTTCTGTGTTCAAGCTGTGAGACTGCAGTCAGATGATCAGTTCTACAAAACAGTCCGTGATTGTTGCAGCACATTCACTAACTTTTGTTAAGAAATTTGGTTTTTCGATCCAGGGATATTCAACCGTTTTGTCTTCCTCGTCTCAGCGTACTTTTTATTTCTACTGCTGTGTCAACTCATAGATAATTTACTTCATTGCAAGAATAAAAGAGTTTAAGTGAGAGAATGCGCACAGGTCACACTTACGGATGGAAGGATAAAGGAACTTTACGGCAAGGCAGATGAAGGCATGAGCTCGGTGTCTTTGCATCTATCCACGTCACCACAAGTGCAAGTAGACTTGCAAACGGTCCATGAGAGACAACGGTGGTACCCACTTTTAGTCCAAAATGCAAACTTAAATTTCATCATGCACAACTAGCTAGATTTTTACCTGTCGCAGGCCTGCCACACAACCACCCATATATATACATATAGATATTTTAATTTTAAAATCTTTCAGATTAAGTGCGTTGTTAGCATCTCGCAACTTGTGTATGCTTATTATCCTGATAAAATGGCGTCGAGTTATGAACTTGCCACGTAGATCCTTCAACTCGAAAATAGTCGTTCCAGTCTCGCCTCTGCATTCTATACTACTGTACGGTTTTTGGCTTGGAACTTTAGTTTTATTGAACCCTGGTCGATGAAATCTCCCACGAACCTGTCCTGTTGCCTAAATACACATTTTATTTGGACAAGCTGCTTCCGGCACGCACATAAATATACTTGGATAGTTTAGTATATTACACTAGTTATAAGTATCGCTTTTAACACATAAAAACAATGAGTGAGCTGTCACCGAGCAACCATAATTGTAGGTCCCATCACTCTTCTCCTCGGACAAACGCAACTTTTCCACACTTCTGCTTAACCACATTCTCATCTCTTCCAGGTTCAAAACTCGTAAGATGTGCGTTTCCAATTTCCAAAGTACGGGAAATTCACTTGCGTCGATACAACCTACGTCGATCAGCGATCGAGATATTTCTTCTGACCAACCTGAATTATATGTTCAACTTTGATGTGAAGGTATATATTTTATTTTGTGTCTGGACATGTTACACCGTGTGTATTTTTCAATCGCAAAGATACGAGCATTTTTTCGGAAATTTTACTTTGTAAGTGAAACCAATCTATGCTGGAAAGCTAAGAAGCATTGTACAGCTGTTTACTCCTTACTGGAATGTACATCTCACAAAACTTCAGGGAGTTTCGAATCTGCGCCATCCTGGCTAGTATTGTGACGCCTAATGGTTCGGTTGTGGGTTCTAGACTCCCTGGAGCTACATGAGGTACGCACTGCTGGTGAGTCCCACTAAGAAAAAAACTTCACAGTGCTTCTCAGTTTTTCAGCAGAGGTTTGCCTCATATACTAAGCGAGATTTCTCATGGAATCCCCAACTCTCCTCACACTATCAACAATATGAGCACTCGCTTTTTCTCCAGTGAAAAATTTAACCTCATTCGTTTTAGTTAGACGTCTACTCTTGAGAGGAAAAGCAAGGACCTCAAAACTGATTGCCGAATTTAAACAAACACGCTATTTTTATCATGAACAATCGACCAAAATAGATTATTTTTGCTTCATCTCTTACTTGAGGGCACTCGCGCTTTGCAATTCATAAAAACGTGCTATATCTTTACAGGGAAGCAAGTTTCTTAATCCGTACTGCTATCGCCCGGAAAGTACACCCTCAATTCACTGAATAGCTGGTATAATTTTTGGGCATTGGTTCTTATGCTAGCAAGACTGTTTTGATTCACATTTTGTCAATGCTGAGGAACGCAGCTGCTTCGATCTCTGCATTTTGTATTTGCAGTAGGAAACAGAAAGCGTCCAAGAGCGACGTGATTTTCTTTGGTTCGACGCTTCAAGCTAGAACCTTCACAATGGTAGGTTTGGTTAAACACCTAAACTGATGGATAAGCGAAACCAATCAGTAAAGTAGCCGAATAGTCGTGGCCAACGGCATGCGGCGGGCGCACAGGACTTTTCACATTTTGTAACTAGCCCAGAGGAAGTAGTTGTTCGTGATTCTCGGACACCTTCCATCTATGAACTCCTCAGCAGTGCAACCAGCCAACATGTGACCAAGCATTGTGAATTTCGTGAGTGAAGGACGAGGATGGCTACATTCTCACTGTGGATTAACCGCACTCCTGATCCGCCAGTCGTGGCCGAACGGTTATGTTCAACCACTCGTCGAGAGATCTTAGATTCCAATCCCCCTTAATGGGAGGCGCACTTCTGAATGACGAAACAGCTGTGAAGTGCTTCATATTTTCCAGTATGGACTAACCGTACTTCCAAGACAAAAACTCAATTGGAAACGCTCCGCTTGTGCTTAAAAAGTTCCTTTCTTGGCACTGGAATCCAGATTCCTTCCTAACGGGACAAATCAGAAGTAAATATCCTTGATCATGCCTGAGTTTGGACCTCTGAGCACACTGGGAGCACATAATATTTACAGCTGAATGAACGGACTAAATTTACTGTTCCAAAAAAAGCGAAATGCTTGTCCTCCACTATACAGATAAAGTGAACCATTCGGAATACGCATACCAGGACAACAGAAAAACTGGCTGGTTCGACAGTGAAGGTTCACTCTTCCCATCCAGTGGTGTGAGCACATGAGGAGATTTTGTAGGCAAATTTACGAAGAAAGCATGCCTCGAACTGAGTTCTTCTGTAGCAGCAATAGTGTCACCAGACACCATTGTGGAATGTGATTATCTGGTATGGTAGTCGGATATGACCTTGAGTCGTGTTTAGATCATGATTTCAATATTGATTGCGGAGATTATGGTACGCCGTTAATTTACATCAAATTCAGGTAATCGTTAATGAGGCGACCAAAAGAGTAGGTTTCAGCTGATCGAGCCTTAGATCATGGATTAATGAATCGGTTCCAACTTACAATCTTGGGAGAATCTTCAGTAATTGAAATACTGATTTAAATATTTACAAGATCAGTATTAGAAGAGACTGCACAGAACATTTGACGTGCAAATGTGAGAGAAAATATTTAGCAGGGAGAAAATATTAGCAGTAATTTACTGCTATAATTTTGGCGGAGATTAGCAGCAAGTACAGCTTCGACAGCAGCTTCGACACAATCAAACAGGTATCAGTCAGCAAACATCACCCTGAAGGCTATCCTAGTTGAGATGTGTATCGGAATTCTAGAGTTCAAAGGTCGATGTGATATGGACGAATAAAATTAAATGTATTTCCGAAATTTCGGTGCAAACGGTCTGCAGGCAACGAGAAAGCACGCAAATCAAACATTTCTTGTTGGTAGTGGAAGAGATCCTTGAGATTCCAATAGAAATTTTGACATTTTAGTGAAGTCAATCTACGGGTAAAAGCCGAGAAAGACGAGATTCTTACTACAAACTTTAAAATTCCCTCGCATTTCCAAAAATGTGTGAATAGTTCCGGGGAAAATCAAAATCCGCCACAAATTAAGTTTTAATCATTGTTCGAAAAGCCAGTCAACATATGGGATCATGTGATGCTTATCCTGTGATTCGAAGACGAGCGGTGTTACATATTACTAAAGTGCGAGGTAGCCACACTGTTGATCAGCGGCTCGTTATTGAATGGTTAGGTGTTCAAACAGAAATCCAGAATGTCCTGGGTTCGAGGCATCCTCTAGTTTTGCGAGATACGCGCTGCAATGATTCTAAATGAGGATGAAACAACTGTACATTGCCACTGCTTGCTGCTACGGAATAGCTTCACTCACACAACAAACTCTCCATTGAAAATATTTATTTGTTTTATCAGGCAAAGTAATTCCGTCTGTTATGCATTTGTGACTTCCACTCTCAGGTAAAATGTTGCGAGAATTTCTAATGCATTATGGTGGGAAACCTAGTACCAGTATAATGTTGGTGATTACTCGTGTACGGCTTCATAACATTTACATACATTATTTTTGGCAGGCGTCAACTAATCCCTGGAAACACGCACTAGCCGATTTGTGCACAGTCATTTGAATTCCTCATCCACGTTATTCTGAATATTTTCAGGTACGAAACAAAGTATTTTGTGGCTTGGTCAAGCTTTGCTCACCAAAGCAAAATGTGTCAAGTGGTCGATCACCTCGTGAAGTGTTCGAATCTTCTGGACTGGCTCAAGTAAGTCAGAATCGCTTTTGTGTGATAATTCGCTAAGCTCACATTCTATGCAGCCACTCATCCGTTTACTACCTCAAAAGGGATGGTCTTGAAGCCAGTTGATCAACCACTTTTTGCTTTCAGCGATCAAAGGGGTGTGTCAGTCTCAGTCTATCCTAACCATTTTTCTTGCTTACTTCTTGTCTTTGTTGTTCTTATCCACATTAAGAAGGCGCAAAATAAACGAGGGTGAGGTCCCTGTGTTCCTCATTTTTCCATCAGCCTATCGGTTGACAATGAGGCCGGAAGCATCCTCTGAGCGAAGGCTTGAAGGTGATCGTTCGTTTAAATTTACTAAAATCCACAAATTTTGGTGGTACCATGGCAAGCGAAACACTTCTTTGCGGGAGTATACACGATGGTAGTGACGTCCTTAAAAATACCGCGCTGTACGGGCTTGTAATCGCCGTGCTTGTCTGGTTACCTCGGGGATACTAAGAGGCCAAGAGTACCGAATACTGTAAGCAGGTGTCATCTGATTTAGCTGCAAAAAGACTGGTGGGATCTACTTGTCCGTGAATCTTCGAATCCATCCGGAAAATATTTGCGGCGCAATGCGGAAGCCACGATGGCGGCATAAACAGCCAATAGCAATGGGATTACTTAGCGCATCACCTACCGACCATTCATCGAAGCACCCAGTGCCTGAGAAGGAGTGGACACAGTCGCACTTGTCCAGACAGCGCGGTTCGTTTGACTTGGTCAGAAGATCAGGCAAAACAATGCAAACACTCCAAACAAACAACATTCGACCGAAGCAAGCAGCTTTTAGTACGTTTACTTCTGTGTGCGAGTCAGAAGGTGAATCACCGAAGTCACGTGTTCACTGGGTGTTCTCATTTCCAGCATCACAGATATATTTGCATCAAATGCGGTTAGCAGTTGGAGATCTTTAATCATGCCTCCCAGATAACCATTATCCGTAGTCGCTGCCAGTAGAGTATACCTTGGGCGTATGACCGACACCACTCAGACACAAATTGAAAAGCATACAATCATGTAGCTCACAGTCAGTTCTCGTTTGAACCGACTGGCCACGACGTAGCGTTGTAGCGCATTTTCTCAAACCGAAAATAGGACTACTTCAGGTATACCATCAGTCACATCAGAAAAGTTTGGTCAGGCTCGCCTATTCACTGCTTGCCTAATAGTACCAAATGGTGTAATAATTGTAGTGTCCTAGCTAATGAGATGGCGGAAATATCCAGGTTGGTCGACCTGACCACACTGAGCTGTGGCATAAGTGGTTTGATTCGCTTTGATCCATACGCATCCTCATACTTTGCTGACCGTTTGAGGGAGAAATAAGCCCGTGTTGATAAACATAGTTACCAAATCTAGGTCCAACCACTAAAAAATTGAACAATAAGCAGGAGTTCATTTAATTGACCCTTCTTTCTAAGCTTACCTGGTGACGAGCGACTTAGGTCTTTCAAAACTGACTGCATTTGGATAACCTATTTGGAATTCCCTCCACACTTCCAGAATGTTTGGGTTCACAATATTGACAAGTAATACAATGTTTACCGGCGGAAACTGTCGTTCAAAGAAAATACCTTCTTTAGGAAAATATTCCTTTCAGCACGTACCCTTGCACTGCAGTCTTGTTTGCCAACAAAACCTCAGGAGGCCCAAAGCAAATATCTTTACTTTTTTCACGCTAGCTGTTTCAACTTCACCCCTAGGTATATCAGTCGATTTTCGGCCTAGAACTATTCTTCCCGTTGTACAAAACAATACGCTATGCTTGAGCATCAGCGTCTTCTCTTCGCGTTATTCGTTCGCTTCAGCTAGGGATTTTACAATCGGGTCGATTTTAAAAGAAAATTACGAAAATCTCTGTTGGTTTCAGACGTGAATAAGCCCTTACACAGTGTGCGATCCTGTGCTAAGGCCGTCAAAGCAAGGATTAGGTTACTTAGCCTAAACGCACGATCTAGGTGTCCTATCTGACAGGTAACGTGTAGTCTAATTCATCTCATCAAGGTCAGTAATAATTGCGGCGAAACCGAATTCTACGAACTTCACCTGCGTTTGTTCAGTAGTCGCAATTGGGCAGTGAACAATATATTGAATTGGAGTTGGGCAGACAGTATAGATAGGTAGGCCGTGTTTCTATAGGAAATTAACAGTAAACTGTGAGGAGAAATAAGGGAAGGCTTACGGCTAGATTGAACCTTGGGCAGTTAGCAACACAGGATGGCACACGAAGGGCAGTTTGCTATCGGACAAATTAAGCGGGAAAATTGTTGTTCAGTTCAAAGTGGGACAAAATTTCAACAACAAGTCCAGAAATAAATGTAAACAAATCGTCTATAGAAAACGGTTGAGGTAGAGTCAGCGTTGTATAAAATAGAACGGTTCAGTCTTGAAACTTGAGTAGTCACGGAAGGGTGATGAACTAGCCTGAGGAATAGGGAAACAAATAATTACGTCACGTAATTAACACACAGTATGATCGGACTCAGATGCAAAACTAGAGATTGGATACACTGACCGAGTGTTTAGCTTTCACGGTACTGTTGGTATGATAGATATTCAACATCGATATTCATCCGTAACACGAGTTTTTCCTGAAGAGTTTACGTAAAAATGATTAATCCAATTTATCGGATATCTTCGCAGCCTGAATACAAGGAATTCAAAGTTAATACGATGTCAGAATACCCTCGCATATGCTCATGGCGTGTGAATCACTATGCAATNTTCAGACGTGAATAAGCCCTTACACAGTGTGCGATCCTGTGCTAAGGCCGTGATCTCAAAGCAAGGATTAGGTTACTTAGCCTAAACGCACGATCTAGGTGTCCTATCTGACAGGTAACGTGTAGTCTAATTCATCAACGGACGGTCAGTAATAATTGCGGCGAAACCGAATTCTACGAACTTCACCTGCGTTTGTTCAGTAGTCGCAATTGGGCAGTGAACAATATATTGAATTGGAGTTGGGCAGACAGTATAGATAGGTAGGCCGTGTTTCTATAGGAAATTAACAGTAAACTGTGAGGAGAAATAAGGGAAGGCTTACGGCTAGATTGAACCTTGGGCAGTTAGCAACACAGGATGGCACACGAAGGGCAGTTTGCTATCGGACAAATTAAGCGGGAAAATTGTTCAGTTCAAAGTGGAACAAAATTTCAACAAGTCCATGGATAAATGTAAACAAATCGTCTATAGAAATGGTTGTGGTAGAGTCGGCTTTGTATAAAATAGAACGGTTCAGTCTTGAAACTTGAGTAGTCACGGAAGGGTGATGAACTAGCCTGAGGAATAGGGAAACAAATAATTACGTCACGTAATTAACACACAGTATGATCGGACTCAGATGCAAAACTAGAGATTGGATACACTGACCGAGTGTTTAGCTTTCACGGTACTGTTGGTATGATAGATATTCAACATCGATATTCATCCGTAACACGAGTTTTTCCTGAAGAGTTTACGTAAAAATGATTAATCCAATTTATCGGATATCTTCGCAGCCTGAATACAAGGAATTCAAAGTTAATACGATGTCAGAATACCCTCGCATATGCTCATGGCGTGTGAATCACTATGCAATCACGATCGAAAGTTTGTCCACCAAAGTGGACAGATAATTGATAGATCAAGAATGACCTTTCGCAGTAGATACTGTATACACCGTATCCCAGTCCACAGTCCGGAAGACAAGGCGAATTCAGATGAGGACTAGCATGCAAGGAACGGAAATTGCGAAAAAAATGCTGCCTCTACAAAATGAGCAGGAACAGTGCATTCCTGTAGTTTGACTTAATCCCCAACCTATTTGCGTGAACAAACAAATTCCGGTAATGATCGTGATTTCCCAGTTAGCCCATGACATCTGAAGGATAGCGATGAAAACATCCGTCGGGTAACTAGCCGACAAGTTCAAACTTGGTTTATGCGGGTAAAGGGAGCGTAAATAATTTGTTGTTTCATCGGAAAACATTTTTCTATCCCAGTCAGTAGAGCTATGCGTGTAGAATGTTCTAATAAGCCGTTTCATAACAAACTGATAAATTGCTGATGAGGAAGGTATGTGCATAGGTCTCTCCATCAAAACACCATGGTGTATAGGCGACTACCGACAGGTCCGGTCTCAAGAACAATTGGTCATACAGTCATGTAGACATTTTAATACTTAAAAAGATTGCGTAAATTTTAGTGCATAATACTCATATTGCGCTTGTCTGAACTACCCCTTTCCTTTGTTAACTTAATTATTCGGGTTAGTCTACTCCTCTTGCCTCTATTTTGGGCTACCTGAGGTACGTAGCCTAAGCCACCCATGCTTGGAACTACGATCATCTGACACTCAAGCTGAGTGTATAACAGTTAAACTGCTATCTTAACCTGGGTACCCTTTTTCGCAGGAAAGACCGCATTAGCCTTCTTTTGGTTTTCGCTTGCACCTCGAACAACAACCGGAGCTCGAATACAAATGAGCCATGGATATGCATTGCTGTTTGGCACTAACAGGAGAAATCTAGTTCGGCGCTTTTCCTCCTCTGTATGTACCAGTAATAAAAACAAACCCAAAATTGTTGGTGATCAGAACAGTATAAATATCGCAACTACAGTGGTTGGTTATTAAAAACCAGGGCAATATACTTTTAAATTTTTTTTGAATTCACTACAAGTTCTGGACCGAATCCGACGAGGGTTCTTACAGAGGGTGCGGATATGTAAAAGACTGAAAACCGCTGCTTGCTAGCCCAACCAGCTAAAGTTTCATCCATCCTCAAGTGGGCAAACGGAAAAAGAATAGCCAGACAACAAAGAAAAAAGTGAAACATTACACGTTGAACCATAAGTTGCAATGGTTGCATTTATTCCTATCATAACACCAAAACAAATTTTGATATTGTTATCCCCATTAACAGTATTTTTCACTTGAAAGCGCAGACTTAGCAGACATTGGGATTAGTTACAGTAATCTGGATAAACGTAGCTGACGATCAGCTACTTTTGAGCTGTAAAACGCAACTGCTGACAGTTAGTCAATGGTGTTGCGTATTCGGGAAGTGCATTCTGACTGCGATGCTAGGTTCCGTTGGATCATATCGTAAGCGGTTTATTTTGTCCGTTCTCCTGAAAATGAAGTACTAACTATGAGTGATAAGACCATCATAGAAGAAAGAGATCGGATTGATTGGAAAAGCAGCAAACTAGCTTTGATTTTAATAGCCCAGTTATAAGGCGAAGCTCGAAATACAACCTAAGTAGTAACTCATGGTAAACGTGTTCATTGAACTTGCCATAGCTACCAACGACTGTCCAAATGGCCGTTGCTTTCAGTGAGCTATTACGAGAGTGTTACTGCTCCCATAATTGTCATCATCGTTACCATTATCTTCACCATCACCGTCACACTCATTTCAGGGAACACTAAGATGAACTCAGTGACTCACCTTTCCACCCGTCCGTTAATCACTGTGTCCTAATGTTTGAGGGGTACGGATTTTTCTATTCACAAAATTAGGATAATTGTATTATCAAGTCCAGTGAATGTGCTATGACCTTCGGCTATAACTTTCGGCTTACTAGCTTCGCTGTTTTCAATTTTAAGAGATGGATACAACGAGAAATTTCCAACTACGAGTACCTGATGTGCCTGAACACCATTGCCGGTCGAACCTTCAACGATCTAAATCAGTATCCCGTTGTAAGTCAATGTTTTGGCTTTTACTTTCTCACCTCCCTCTGTATACCATATTTCACTGCGTATCACAAATCACTCGTGTGTCTAGTAATTGTTGAAATTATTATGGCGCCCCAAACGTGTAGTTCTTTGGGGGTCAACCCACTCCGAGTCGTCAACTATAGATATCTAACCAACCAGCCGGAAACGAGTCTTTTACTTACAAATACTTGATCAGCTGTGCGATTAACTCACGTTTAAATGATAATCTAGCACCACTCATTCTTCAAACACAGACCATTTAGCGTGACTTGACGTTAATTCACGTCTCCATTGCAGACGTCTCTATCAAATGACTGGTCATCGCTCCCACTTTTGAGCAGATTACGTACATTTTGACCTGAAGAGATTTCAGGGTGACATGCTCGAGCTAGATCTGCGATGGCCACATCTGAAGGCTAATTAGTCATATCAGTAAGCCACGCCCTTGTACAGAACTCATATAATCATGTTTCGTGCCGAAAGGTATGAAGCATTTTTACGGCCATCCTATCAATCCAATCACTAGCTATTTCCGAGCCATACCCAACATTTGTGATACCCAGTAGTACTTTCAGTGCCAGTTTAGTATCACAGTGGCCGCGTTCTCGATCGTTACGGACACTGATTAATCGTGCTCTCAAAGCGAGTATTAAGATGGTTTATTTAGGTCAATTAAAAGAACATGCGAATTCTCACTACTTTTGAATAACTGTAAAAATATGCATGAATTTACGTGGTTACTGGAAGAAGAAACAAAGTGTGACTCCTTAGAAAAGTTTTTACGCTCTTTCCAACTTATCTTATTTGAAATTCATGTGTTCCAAGGAAGTGCCTCGAGTTCTGCGGTTGTTGATTCACAAACATGAACATTTCTCCACTGACCAAGACCGCGATGATCATACTTAAGCTATGGCGAACTTTCTGACAGAAGTGGTGTTCAGTAATGACAAAAATACGCTTTGCGAGGTCTCGGAAGCCTGATTTGTTTTTGTTGTGTCTTAGGAGAGCTGGTGGAATTTACGATAGTCGAAGCAAAATTCAAAGACCTCCAGCGGTTCTTGGTCTGTTCCCTGTGCTAGATGGATATCATGTTGGTAAACCGGGATTCCAGTGCTTCACTCCTGTTTAAGGATGCCCAAAGATCCTCCTCTTCCGGTCTCGCATGAGAAACAAGTAGGAAGGCTGCTACACCAACAACGTAAAGCTCTGATCCTGTTGCTTTAGTACTAAGCTTACTGTTCAGCTCCCGGTTGTCCCACGCATAGATACGGACATGAACCCGATCCTGAACATGTGGAGCCCGTATACAATTTAAACGGATTCTTCAACACCACGGCTGATCCCGATAGACCTTTTGTGGTGTGTAGTGCAGTCTGAGAATCTTAATAGAACCTAAATGGAATTATGCAAAAATACTGTATCAATAAAATAAAACCTCACATACCTTGAAATTCGATTATTTCCCCACTCAGTTGGAACGGAGAAAATTATAAAGTACCTTTTACACACTTTACTGAACGACGAATCTACTATTCAGTAAACTTAGTCCGTTTAACGGTTCAGTCAACTTACTGTTGCAATTTCATTCTGAAAACCAAGTTAGTCTGTCTCTGAAGCAAGTTTGAGGGAGTTGAGGGAGTTCCACTGCGGGTCATTGATCCCCAATAAACATATTACTGACTACATAGCGGAGATAGCTCCGAAATTTTCCACGGTGTAGACGTCAGTAGTTTTACTACAAGTCAGTCTACGTTGAAAGGGCGAAAACCGCGGACATTTGTTTCACACTCGACTGGAATCAGTAACACTGAATGCCTTAGGTTCTTCTCAAGCTCACTGTGATAGAATAAGCATTTATTTTAGTCTAAATGACTCCGAGCGGAGTACAATGACTTGCGAGTTAGTGCATGCTACACCTCTCGTCAAGAAGACCGCCTTAAAAGATAAGATCTACAAGAATATGACTTACAGCCATTTATATTGACCTTGAAACCACAGGTGGACGACGTGACAAGGACGACGAAGCAGAAGAAAGGGGAATGGTTATTCGTGTTATTCTTTCGCAAATCTGCTCCCTTTTCAAAAATCAAAAGAAATCTACATACACAGATGGCTAGAACAAAGTATTTCTTAGAGAAACAAAACTTTCTGAGTCCAGTGACATGCTGATCATGGGCTTAATTAACCAAAGTAAATCATTTTAAACCAAAAGGACTGTGAGTCACAGTCTGCATTGGCCAATAATACACTCCAAACGTTTCTGTTTCGAATGATGATCCTGCATGCTTATCATTAGTTAAGTACATTGGTGCGTCAGCAGAAAAAAAAATCGATCGTTCGAAACCAAACTTGCGAGAATTGCATGACGCAGCTGTGCAGAAAAGTCAGTTGAAAAGGGGGAAGCTTAAGGAGCATCGAGTTTGTGACAGATTACAGATTCAGTACAGCATTACTGACAGCAATAAGCAGAAAAAGAAGCATTTTGTTGATTTTTTTTCAAGTGTATCACATAGTCATAAAACTTTCACACAAGATTTCAGTGGCCTTGGTTTTTCGGGTTTGGTGCGAAATACATATATGTAAAGAACAGTTTGCACAATTCATGTCGTTTACTTTTGTTTTACTCCTCAGTTCCCCTGGATCCTCGCGGATTATACGTCATCGGAACTAGATCTGAGTGACCCCAATGTGTTCCGCGATCTATCGCGTCCAATCGCACTGGCAAATCCACGGTTTATCGATCAAGTGCGGATGAAGTAAGATCACTAATGGTTGATACTGTGGTTACATATACCTATGTGAGCCAGCTGTAGTCCCAAGTTACCTTTATCCATTGGAGACATTTAGAACAGGTTTAGAACGGTTCAGTTTTGGAGATCTTTATGAACCAAGCCCAGAAAGGTCATTCATGTGAACTGGTGAAGCGTAGTTCTGCCTTCGAAATTCAAGGTGATATTTGGCTCCCAATAACGGGCAATCATTTGTGGGGACAAAACAAATGGGCATGTGCTTCTGTTGAGGATCGGTTTACGAACAACAGTATTTGGATTTTGATGTGGGGTTAGCTTAAGGACTGTCGGAATGCTACTTCATCAGGGGCAATAGGGGGGACTCATTGCCAAACCCTCCGCTTGGCAACTTTCCTCGCTTGAGTTCAGCTCAAGTGTCTTGCTTCATCATCCATCCATCCATCATTTATGATGGATAGCGGCGTTGCACCTGGATATACTAGCGAGCATTTAATTTCGGTCGAAGCTATTGCTTTACATATCTCTGAACTCAAAAACCGGATGCATTCAACCGTGTTTCACCTAAAACAACTCATTCTCCCTGTGTAGGTACGAATCGTTTGAGGATCCAGGAGGAACAATCCCGAAGTTTCATCACGGCACACATTACTCCAGCGCTGCTGGAGTACTTCACTATTTGTTTCGACTGGAACCGTACACTTCCTTCCATGTGGATCTACATGGGGGTCGGTAAGTCAATCAGACCGCTTGGCTTGACTTCAGTCTGACTATAATATAACACTTCTAATTAGAGCTGACTCTATCATATTCAATCAGACGGAAAAATACTTGGAGCCAACTGATAGGACACCGTCTCAGAAAGTTTGGAAATCCATCAGCAGATCTATTGCTGAGCAAGCTTCGCTCTTGGGATGGGATGGTTTCATTGCAGGAGTGGGACTAATCAGGAAGTCCCATTTGTACCAGCAGTCCAAGCGTCAGGTATCGGCTAGGAGTTCCTTTTTGCTACTAAAACTGAATTGACGTTAAGACGGATGGTCTGGGGAAGGACTTACGTGAACTTAGACGGGGTTTATAGTCTAGTTCCGGTTCGCTCCAAACTGAGAGTCCCCTCAAGTTTTGTTTGCAATTTTTTGCATGTGATCGAGTTATGGCTACGATAATTGGTCTAACGAGAGTGAATAAATGAATTTAAGTGAGGTTCAGCTTTCCACTTCAGACCGAAACCGCTTCTATTAATAACCCGCTTATCCTGATAACAGGGGCAGATCTCGCAAACATTTGGTCTTTCAGGCCCGTAGACTAACCACTATTCCTAACGAGGCTTTCAGCAAAACATAGTTTAACCTTTGTTGAAATGATAATTCCAGTATAATTACTGCTTGACTTGACCTGACTGACTGGATTCGTTCACGATCGACTTGTGCATTTGGAATATGACTCTCTGTTATCATGTACCAAGTGCATTCATACTGATATTTAGAAGGTGAAAATCTACTCGAAGCTTGGGCAGGCATCTGATTTTAAACATCGCGCTGCGATTAATGGTTTGGGGTTTGAGGCTGTGGCACATACAGACACATATATGATTCTAATTTTCAAGCACACCGGAGCTTCGGTAATGAAAAAAACACTTAATAAGTTGAAAAGACTTGTAGCTTCCAACATAATGTACTAATAAATTCTTTTTCACTCAGGTTTGATCTCCCGGATCGTCAGTTTCATTCAATACCCAAGTGCTGGCGCTTTATCATGAGCAGCCCGAACGACAACAAAGAGTTGATCCCTGAATTCTTTACGCTGCCTGACTTTTTACGAAATAATGATGGTAAGTTGGCGGTACTAAAGGTTCTCTCTGATAAGCTGCTGTATTTTTACAACTTGAGCAGCAAACAGAAATAGTTTGGAGAGGTTTGGGGTAAGACTAGCAATCTTTATGAATTTGCAAAACTCACCAATACTTCACCAAGGATTTATCCATCTGGAAGAAGGCTCTAGTTGAATTTGATTTACACTAATAGATTCGGGGTAGAGAAGTGCCGGCACGGCATTCTTTGTAGCAGCATCTGAAGACGTTTATCGTACTATCACCAGTCATTTCGTATGCTGTCTAACAAATACCGATAATCTTTCAGATGTGAGGCCCCTTCGGTGTGTGCCTACTGCATGCAATATTTTTAGCTCACTGACTGTCATATCGAGCGTTACCACCTCGACTCTTTGAAAAGATGGCTTTACTCGTACATGGGACCCGTCTCAGGATCTGATTAATTCAGCAGCCGAACTTTTTCATACTGTTATCCTCACTCAAAACGCGATTCAGTTTATGTCGAATGCTGAGGAAGATTGCGCAACTTTGATGAGAACATCATTGTGGGCATTACAGTCATGGGCACACTGTATTTGTGCGCTTTGGCACAAGCATCGAACGCTTACCACAAACATATAGTTTTCCCCATTTTTTCTAGCGAAAGTCTGCTTATTTGTTTGAGAAACCGTGCAAAGTTCATCTCCCAGATGTGTTTTCCTCGTATGTATATCATATGGCAATGACCTAACAGTTGCTGGTCGTGTGACTCATAAGTGTTCTGAGGCCGCTCTTACACGTCTGATGCTTGTTTTCAACATCACATTCGTATGGAGCAGTTGCGCATTTGGTTACATTGGATAACTGTAGCAGGGACAAGTATCCTATGCGCTAGCCATATTCCTGGGACATATTCTAAAAAAACTCATACCGGAAAATGGAGTACTTGCATTGGAAATCCATACATGACTTTGCCAACAACATTGCGGTTTCCCCCGTCGAACCACATTCTTGTGAATTTCAACTTCCGCTCTTAGTATGGGAAATTGCGGAGGAAGTAGGCGAAGAATTGCTGTTGACAGAAATCAAGCCTTTGTAATGGATACAGATGACCGCAGATAAAATAACGGAAGGCATAAAAGCATGCCCGAACCCCACTACCTTTGTCTTTTACTCCTTGGAATTCCAGCATCCCAAGTCTTGGCAAATGTCTCTATGGTCGATGTTGAATAGACAGCTTTGATCGTTTTTACCTTAAAACATTTAGTGACAATTTGTCATGACTCAACGAGACGAGGTCGGTGAATCTTACAACTACTTGAATGACCTCCGGAACCGCACATCAAATTCAGCCTGGAGATAGAGCCAACTCCGGGATTACTACCTCTCCTAGACAGTAGGATACAAAATTGGCGAGAAACTAAAAACCTCACTGTTGAGATTTTGGACTATTCGTTCACGCATTCTAAGTCTGTATTCGCGAGCATTTTTTCGTCAGTGTTTATCGGAACAAACGTTTATTGGACAGTAATGCAAATGCATGTAAGGAACAGACTTTGAGATGGTGGATGCCCAATGAACGAGCATCAGATAAAAAGGGTGTCAGTGTATGAGGTGGAACCCAACGAGTTGGGAGTGCTGTTATTCCGTATAAACCGGGGATGTCCGAAATCATTCAAGGGATCCTAAATACGATTAACATAAGAGTAGAATTCCATAAGGAAAACACTGTGCACTGATGCAACTAAAGGAGCGTGTCTTACGAGACTGCGCCTACAAAATAAAACACAACGACTGCACTGAATTCCACGTTGAACAGACAGCCGGAGAAACTCACACCAGAATCGGTGACCACAAGAAAAGAATAAACAGGTCGTCAAGATAAGTTGATGCCTGTATAGTACTGGTAAGACTCAGCACCTGTGACATGCACTAGACACGGGACATAAAATGTTGAGAAACGGACAACGATTCACATCAGATGGACAAGTTAGTGGAAATGGCGCAACAGCTCAACGGAGGTTGTAGATCAGTCGAGCTGACACGTGGCAGTTTGTCCATCTGAGGTGGCCTAGATATGAGTTTCATTAAAGAAACCGATCACTTAATACATGTAACCTCCTCCGGTAAGCAAATTGTCGTAAAAATTACGAACCCCAACAGGTGAACGAAATTTACTATTGCTACTCAAAAAGAAACTTTCATCTAAAATACCGTGAATTGTTAGGTCAGGGACCCAAAACCAACTAATGTTAAGTCCGCTGCGAACCAATCGACCTTTGCGCCCTAGTAACTGACAAGAACTTTTAATAAACAATCAAAACTGATCTAGCGTGCTAGTCGGGAGAAATTTGGTCGATTTTTCTTCACCTACTTTGAAACCAGACCAACCTAGCAACCTGCTTATTTGACCCGGCGAAGCTCCCATATTGAGCCTACCGACTTTGCTGAAATGTGGCTTTCATCCATTTTTGAATACCTGTGCACCTCAGATTTCACTCCAGATGCATGAATATAGTGATGAGCTCGATTTCCGCTTCTATACGTGGAATCCGTACTCCCATCCTTGTTCCTCATGTACCACGCATGATGAAGTCTTTTCAGACCCGTATTGAATTTGCAATCTTACTGAGGTGTAATAACTAATTCTTCGCCTGACTGACACATGTTTATTCTCCAGCTTTGGATTTTGGAGCTTCTCAAAACCACAGCCACAACATTGGTGACGTTGAACTGCCAGCTTGGGCTTCAGATCCTGAAGAATTTATTCGGAAACATCGCGCGGCTTTGGAGTCAGACTACGTCTCATCCCATTTGCACGAATGGATTGATCTTATATTTGGGTGAGTATGAAATGCATCCATAATTCGTTTAATCGGCTTTCGGGGTATCGACGCCAAGGGGAGGTCGCTTTTGCAACCAGCTGAGTTTAGGTGAACCGACCCTTGTTGTATGAAGAGCTTCAGTCTAAATGCCATTCATTCCAGTATCCTTTGGAAGGGGTTCTAGAAGACCGAACAGCAGCGCATTCTTTCCGTACTAGGTGGCACGCTTATTAAATAAGAGTGGTTGCACGAAACACATTTCTGCAGCTGTCGAATGAGTGGCACTACGGATCGACCAGGCGGTATTGCATATCTTTGATAATTTTCAGCTGCGTCCAAAGTGAGCATTCACATGTAAAACATGTTCACTTTCGTTATTACTGGCTCTCGTTAATTTTGTCACCGTACAGTTCATTACCAACACCAGTGGTTTGTGTAGGTTGAATGTAAGAAACGTGGTCTATTCGCTAAAATATTATGATTTCTCGGATGCAAAAAAATTGTTTCCTACATAAAAGGGGTTTTACAAGATGCCTTGGGAACCACCATCTTCACCCGTATACGATATATTCACTATCACTAACAAACCAACACACCTAATGCAGATTTTCAAACACATCCAGAGATTTATTTACTTCCGAAGAGGAAAATAACGGTCTCTTCCGCTTCCTAGACCTACATCTGCTAACATATGGTGACTTGGTTACACGATCAGCTTGCCGGAAACCAACCCGGACAGGATAGTACACCAAGATTCGTTCATTATTAGCATCTGGCCCCGGCTGAAGCAACTGCGACTTGCTTACGCACATAGAGAACGTCCGCATACGCACTGAAACTTCAGTGGTCTGATCACGTGACCGTTGACCAGCCAGGCCAATTGATCTTAACGTAATAAAATATTTCGCACGCTTACTCTTAGACCCCGCTTTATCTTTGTTTTGCTTGTGTCGTTCTCATCGAGTTCTATAAACCCTCCATCCGTACCAACCAGAAGGAGAAAGCACTACAATTCATGAGTTTGTATCCTTTCGGGGACTAGGCCCATCTGATCAATTTCGAGGAGAGCGGAATAGGTAATGGGCTGTCGCAGTCTCCTTCAAACTTATAAGTAGTGTTTTGTCAAGAAAAACACCTCGGTAACTTGAATATCGTTTCAAATGATACGCGAAGTTATTTTTATACAGCATTTCCAGTTGTGGAATATGATAACTGGGGACTTAGTGGAAAACCACACAACCGTACTGTTGACACCGACCAGATTTGCAAATGATGGTGTAACTCCAAAAGCTGTAGTCATCGAGATAAATCAATTGCGGTCACAAATGTTTATCTCGCTCCTTAACCCAGCTGGACTGTTTGTGAGTCAGTCGCGAGATTGTGAGTTGATTGCAACCGTGCAACGAGTTAGTATTGATAAAGTATGCAGAAATGTTGAACCGACTCTTGCGTTTGCTTATCGCCTTTTGCAAGCAAACCACGTCGATTTCTACGAATGTCTTTTTATCCCCTCAGTTACAAGCAAAACGGTCCTGATGCTGTTGATGCGTTGAACGTGTTTTACTATGCAACGTATGAAGGGGCGGTCGATTTGGACCAGATACCAGACCCACTGGAACGTCAAGCCATGGAAAGTATGATAAACAATTTCGGTCAAACACCTTGTCAGCTGCTCAAAGTACGTTAATCATTTCATATCGTTATCCGCCTTGAGGCATCAAAACAATTTGAGTTATTTGGAATAGAATACTCAGCTCCTCCTAGAATAGGTTTTGCTCACATGTTTGTGATTCGAATGTGATAACTGTTGCACTTCGAAGTGCTCACGAAACTTTATAAGAGGGACTGTTAAAAGACATGTTTCTGGTTGGTGATGTCTCATCAACTGTCGTGTGTTGTGTTCACAGTAGTTGCTGTTTCAAACCATTCGACAATCCCGGAACCGATCCTACCAACTCACAGTATTTTTGAGCGTAAATCACTGTTTCACTGCCGGCTCCACGTCTTGTACACCCATAAAAATCGGACATCTTGAGTTTGTGGCCCATAAATATAATAAAAATGCTACAATTTCAAAACCCTACTTTTCTGTCTGCTCTCACTAAATGGAGTTAGAGTACTTGGGGTTACACAGTTTGAACCAAATTTCCCCTGTTTTGTTGTGTTTGACGTGGGGTTTATCCTTTGATCCGAACGCACAGCCCCTCATTGGTTAACCTTCAACAGTGTGACTGAAAATCGAACCCTGGTAAAAGACCCGTGGTAGTTCTGTCACAGGTGCACAGAGACGGGGTGTTCACTCAATTCTAGTAGACCCGCGTTAACTTTTTTAACCTCTCTGTCTGTATTAAACCTGAAAGTCACGAGAGTGTGCATGAAAGTGACTTCGCTCAGCAGCAAAATGTGGAGATGAAATTCAACATAAATTGGACTACTTTATCTATGTTCGCTAACCCTAGATGGAGCACACAACTTGCGTGCACTACACAAAGGTACATATTCCGGTTACTTTTAATTTTCTTTCTCACACTGGCCTAAACTATAGTCCAAAACACCGTATCAGTGAACAATAGTGCTGCGATAATGCCTTTTTTCTGACGAAGCCCAGTAGTCATAAGGTTGCTGAAGACACTTTGATGACCAACTATCATTTTCGCCCTTCTTGGGGTGAAAAATGGTACGCGCAGTCCACAGGTTTCTATTGACCTTATGTTCTTTTTTAATACTAAATTGTACGCAATTGGCGAAGAGCACTCAATTAAAAATCGAGATGATTGCTAACGGCGGACAAAGCTAAATCTTAACTGAACCTCTCGTTCATGATGTTCGCCGCACCAGACGGTATAGTGTTTCAGTCAATAAGATGTTAGAGATATCGCCGGGATTCAGGTGAATCTTCCGTGAAAACCACATTGGTATTCAAATGGGAGTATTTGTCGAAGTTCGTGCAAGTCAGGTTCAGTTGCAACATAGAGTTGACAGAAAATCGGTGATCAGTCCTACTAGATGGGCCCCAAGAAAAGCGAAAATGGTCCTGAGCTGCCGAAAATTTCTCAGCAACCTCATAAATAGTGCGTTTATCTCATGTTATTATACCCCATGCACCAAGAAGAAATGAAGAAAGCTTGTTACATCCTGGCTAGAGTACTTTGATCAACCCAGCTTCCGTAGTACAGGAGTCCAAGAAAGGAGAGAATACTCAAATACATGAGGCTTTAAAAGTATAACATAGCCATCCTTGGCGTTTTTGTCCTCGGTTGTTTTGTTCACAGATAACAACACTAACTTTTTTGAAAATATGCACGACAAGCCCGTGTTATTTTTGGTCGACTGAATGGGGACAAAATAGTGGGGCTGCAATCGGGAGCAGAAGGTTCTACTGAAGATCCTTTTAGGATCTTGAGTTTATCCATGTGTAAGAGTAAAGAGAGAGTATGTAAAGAGTACTTATCAAAGTGTTTTATTTGTCTGGAAGTAGGGTATCACGTTACAACTTGGTGTAAATAATCATTTTGCCGTTCTTTATTGTTTATTATTATTGCTATTATTAATAACGTGCTCCAGTCGCTTGATTACTTTCAATTAGTCCACGCGTACTTGCCAGTTGGCACCGTATGTTTGGCTGGTGCATCCGGCTGAGCTTAAATATTCTTCTGGTTGGCCAGGTATGTTAGGGTCGCCAGTGGTTTTTAACTACCATCGGCAGGCATGCTCATTTCGGTAGGCATACTTTGGGTACAGTGATGCATCTAGAAGATACTATCGCGGAGGGAGTAAACCATCTCTTTTCTCATGGTGATCTCACTTCAATTATATTATCAGAGTCATAGAAAACTGAATGTGCGCAGGAAACAGAGATCGGGTCTTTATCGGCTGTTAGCCATTCAAACGAAACCATCTGATGACCCCATCCACAGCTGTTACTAGTCTTCAACTGCCACAGACTAGTTTTGTGGAACACGTGGTTAGCGACATGAGATGATACCGTCAGTCTGCAATTTCATATTTACGGCATAAAGCAACTTACTGTTCATGTATAATTTACTAGATTGGCTGTGCCCTAACTACATTATTGGAGGATAATCCTTAATTTTATTTCGGAAATATCTTGTGATTGTATTTTTGTGCCGCAGAATCCACACCCCAAACGACTTACCTACAACGCTTGGCTTCAAGTTGTATTGGACGAACAAAGGATTCCCCTTACCAGTCTGCTAGCAGCCAACTACAACGACTCACAGCAAAGATTCACCGGTGATCGGCACGTGAGTGCTGTAAACTTTGATCAGACCAACCAGAATGAAGGACCTGAAGATACTGCCGAGGGTGAGTTCGGAGGTAGAACACTTTCAGCAATATCAGGAGGGGCAACTGTGGCTACTGAGGAAGAGACATCTCAGACGCTGGGGGTTCGAAAAAGTGACATCCCCCTTTCCAACAAGTTATGGAGCTTTCCATGTGATCCAGACTCACGATGGAGCAATGTAAAATTTGGCATATTTTGTCGTCTATATCCACTGGGTCACAGGAAGAAGTCCGATGCGAAACCTGAAAGTCTTATCGTGTGTTTGGCTGTAATTCCAGCGGCACGGATTCCTTCAGATTATAACCCCAACGAAGAAAACCGAGACCGGATAACAAGGTCGATACCTCGCCTGCCAGATGCGATACCCATTCCGCTTTCCACACGACGCCTAACTAGCTTCGGAAGTCAAACACTGATGGTAGAGGATGACGAGGTTCTAAATACACCGAACAGATGGGATCGCCTGGTATCTTTATTGCTAGCAATCGATGAATGCGGCATCATCAGCAGGTACTTGTGGCGCCCTAGTCGGCTGAGAAACCTACCGCCTACTACAAGGTGTTCACTCCAACCACTGGACTTATTCCAGTTGCAGCTTAGCAGTAAAAACCTACTACAGTGAGTTTCCTCATCGTATATGTGAATAATCTCAAGTAATGAGATAAACTAAAAAACAGAATAGATAGATTAGAATATATGCTTTCAGAAAAATGCCAGCAGCTAGTTGGCGGTGTCCAATGTGACAACACAGTTCAAAATGAATGGTCCTCCACAGACAGGTAAGTTTTACGACAATCCGCCCAGTCTGCATACTCTGTTTATTTTCCAGCAGCGTTGCTGATGCAGCTTCAAATGAAATCAATGTGTCAACGTTTAATAAGATGTTCATTGTAGCCTAAGGTCTTGGAACCGTCTGACTGTGGGCATTCTGATTAGAAAGCAACCTTACGAGTGGGATGACCGTTCCATTCCATAAATAGACACTGGCCAATATGTAGTCACGTGCCTGAATGGTTGAAGGATAAGCTTGATTTACACCGCTGTCAGTAAGTCACGATCGAATGCATTAGGTCCCGGAGATGCGAATGATGCTGAAGTCCCGAAAAAGGATATGGATCATCTGCATGGCTGCACTGAGATGCACGATCTTCTGTTCAACATAAATACCTGCCGGTATAAAACTGAATCGAGGTTAAACGCCATGCTAATGCAGAGCATATTATGCCTTACGAAGTGGTCATGAGACACCCGGGGTTCTTTGGGATCCATAAACGCCCACAAATAGGGCGTAGTAGTTAGAAGACACCAAATGCCATGGATATTGCAGCAAACGTTATCATCATGTAGTTTCCAAACAGCTTGGCTTGCTGTTTTTTGCGCGCTTGCCTTTGCATCTGATAACTCCATGTGTATGCTTAAGGCGGAGTATTTTCACTTGGAAAAAATTTCCTGTGATCTATTTCGAGCGGCGGGTGAACAACGCTCCCCAGGCGTGCGCTTTTTGTTCGGTTTCGTAAGGACAACAGACCAGAGAAGGTACTCGTTTTCATCATTTATGGAAGTACACAAGTCACATATATACAAACTTAACTGTCATTCAGCATCTAGAAGGACGACAGCAAAGTACGGAAATGCAGGGGTAAGGTTTGAGTAAGTGGAAAAAGGTCCCGTGTTCTCAGAGAAAACAGTCAAGGATACATCATCTGCAACCCTAAGAAGCACTGAAATAGACACGCCTCAGTATCCTACTGAAGTTAGGCGCCATGAGCGGGAGTGACTCGGTGTTCTTCGCGAGCTTCATCCTAACATACCCAGCTCAGATGACAGGTAAACTTTAGCTCCCCAGTTTGGCTTGAAAGTGACAGCACGCCCGCCAATATGGTCAGGGAGGGCCACGTGAGCATCGAACAGAAATGGCGAAAATGCCACAGCACTCGGTAGTCACGTTCATTCTACATTGGCATGCCTTGGCTTATCCCAGTGAATCGTCCGTCAACAATAGCTTAGAAATAAAAAGAAAGCCTTATTCTATAAACACTGATAGGGAATCCATGGAACATGCTTTAATCACCTCAATTTTATAAGTTTCACTTATCGCTCTGGCGATTCCAATCGGTTACTATATGCCCAGTTAAGCTTCTATTCATTGCGTACACTTTGTCATCAGTTAAGACATACTGTGCTGCAACATCGTTGATCGGACATTCGGAGATGTTTAAATTTCTCGAATCGGAGGAGTCCGGTTTCTAGAGCACAAAGTCGAACCACCCTTACGGTAGCCTTATATGCATGGCCCTTCAGCTTCAGCGAAATTCGATTATGACTTCACAGGTGATACAAGTTACTGGGCGGTGCTTGTGGCTCGATGATGCACGCATTGACAATCATGGCTTATGCAGCTGGTGATATGAGTGAGCCGATAAATAAAACTAAGCTCCCTATTGGAAGTCCAAGAGAGAAGTGGATGCGAAGTTCTACACTTTGAAGGTGCAAGACGGATGTCGAAAAAGGGGCCCACAGTCTGTTTACAGTAGTTTGTGCGGACAGGTGATTACAAGATAATTGAAAGATGCCTTCCGCGTAATACAATCCTGTTGGTATTTCTATACTGACTTAATAATTAGCTTCCTGGTATCCACGGCAGTGTCGGCGACAAAACTGAACAAAAAGAGAGCGAGAAGTTGGTCTTGATGAATTACAAAAGTCTTTTCACCGCTAAGCGGGAAGCCGAAGAAGGGGTCTCGCTGAGGTACCCCATCTTGAGCCTTTGACTCAAAAGTCTGACCCACAATGCAGTGGTAATATGTAGGGTTTTGTTCGGAGACCGCCCCCTAAGTCTCTGATCCAAAGTCTGAACCGCGTGGTAGCGGTTGTTGGGGTTTTCCTGTGGAATACTTCCCGGAGCCGATGCCTCAACGTCCCTGACGTACTTGGTTGCAGGGAGGCCGGCCGGGTCCAAGGACGCATGGAATAAGACATTACTCTCTCACTCCTAGTGCGGCTGTGCACAGTAGGTGCCTTCTGAGTAGCACCGGCCTCTGGTTTTAAAAGGATTTCGACCGTGCAGAATAATGCACCGACGGTCGTGGTCAACCACTGGGCGATCAGAATGTGCGATTTTCAATGCGCGATTTTCGACCTTTTCCAGCCCCTCCCTCCTCGATGGAAGGCAGCTTCCATAAGTATGGAGATGCTGGTTGCCTGAAAGAAACGCCCTACTACCCCTGCACTGAGTGAGCTAACAGCGGGCTTACCATGTCTCAGCCATGTAGAATAAGTGCTGCGGTGCGGTAGATGGGACTGACATACAGGGTCAACATCTCACGCTCTCATCCAAACAAAACTGAATCACATTAAGAAAAGAAAGTTTGATATGTATAACACCCTTAGATACAGCTCGTTTAGATGAGAGGTCTTAGATGAGAGGACGATACTTTAGCGCACGCACGGTCATAACAATGAAGCGCACGAAAAGTGATTGGGAACATTGACAGCTTCACTAGCATTTTGCCAATATATCATATTATGGCAATGATGTCATGTGGACCCCAAAATTTTAGAGCAAGTGTAGAACTGTTATCCATTCACGCTTTCACTGAGATACGCTTTACGAATTGTGTATTCACTTCAGTCTCGCGTCATTTTTTTATTGCAGTCGATCACTATGCGGTGTTGGACCGATAGATCGCAATCTTCTTTGGGTCAAACACAAACAGACTGCGGATTGCTGCGTGTCAACCGCAAACCAAGCTTCGTCAATGATTTCCCCTCTAGTTGGATCCAAGCTGTTTGTCACGAGCGCTGACGGGTGTTGGTTGTTCGCTGCAGGGAGGTGGGATAATCGGCTCGCAGTATACAACGTCAAAAAATCCCGCCTCGAAACTTTGCTTGTTAGTCCACACACGAACACAATCAGCTGTCTGGCAATCGATACAGTGGATGGCCTGGCAGATGTCAGTAGCTTTGTTGTCCGCCCTGATCCCGCATTCGGAAGAGCTTCTACGACTGCAAGCTCAGCACAGAACGCTTCTGCCACATCAACAGGCCAGACGTTCAGCTCATGTGTGGTGGATCGACAAATGTCCACACGATTTTTGATAACGGGAAGTAAAGATGGAACTTGTGCCGTCTGGCTCTTTTGCCCTCCCAACGACATCGATACCGAGGCAGCACAGGAAGAGCTGTTAGCAGATTTCGACAGCACCGAGCTTTCTTATCCACAGGATCTTTTAGCCTGCAATGAGGAAGAAGATATGAGGGCTTTCAAATTGCATAAAGCTACAGCCGAAGGTCCGCTGGATCCGCTATTAAACTTGAATCTATTTCCTATGCCGGAAGGAGTTGAAGAACATCAAATACACTCTGAAGAAACCTTTGGGTGCACAACAGCTGACAAACAGCCGTTCGCTCAGGCAAACCTACCATCCTTCTGGCGCTCGCATCGAGAGTTCGTACAATTACAAGCTGCACGATCACTTCCGGGCGACATGACATCCGTATATCATAGAGTTGGGCTCCCCTACTTCCCTACCCTCTTGGGATTACCGCAAACCAAACCTCTGGCGAAGTTGGTTCGGCTGTTCTACACTGATTTCACCGGAGCCGCGGTAACTGCAGTCGCGCTGTGCATGAATTTGGACGTAGCCTTGGCAGCAACACGTCGTGGTCAATTAGTCTACCTGTATTCCGTACGACGCTCCAGCTGGTCAAGGGTTGTGTCGTTTGACCCAGCTGACACAGTCTCAGATTTATTTGACACCTCGGCAGAAGAATGGGAGAAGAAAACACAGAAATTTTCCTCCGGAAACTATCGGGCGGAACACATGTTGATCTCAGCCCAGACCGGCTACATCTATCTACAATGGAACCAAACCTCGTTTGATCGAAATTTGGCTAAAGCTGGTGAGGCTACAGCAGGACAACTAGGTCCTTGGGTAGGACTTTTCAGAACTCACGGTGAACTGATAACTCGTCAGTACGTTCTGTCCGCGTCTTCCGATTTCAGTGAATTACCAGATAAGAAAAAGGTTAACACTATAGTGACGCGAATCATGCTTACTTCGAACTTAACTCCGACACAAATGAAGGGTGACTCAGACTTCGCCTCCTGCCCAACTCAACACTTAATCGTAGGGACAAGTAGTGGTCACCTAGTTATTATGTCAGCCACTAGCCTGGCTCCGATTCGGTGCTTAGATATGAAGAGTTCCGTGTTGGATTTCCGCTTTAGTTGCACTTTCACGCGGAGCGGAAATCTGTTTGACGGCATACATTTGTTTGTATCGCTGGCAGATGGGCGTTTGATCACATGCCAGCCAGGGTTTGTGAACATACAGGAAGAGAAAGAGGTAGAACACGACAGTATTGTGGTGGTTACCTTTCAAGGACCAGAAATGTAATGCACGTTTTTATCCTAACTTTTTCCGCACCATTTTTGATACAAAAATTGTGATACGGTTTTCGTATGGTCTCCTGACTCGTGAAATACGATTATTTCCTATGTCGGTGTTGTAGTTAACATGCCAATCTGTCGGAAACTTTGTACAGAATCCTATTTCAACATGTCTTCCGTCTATTGTGCCACAAAATACAGCACTTTCAAGAGCAGTCAAGCTTTTCATAAGCAGAACCAGAAAGGCGTGTTTATGATGTTTAGAAGAGTGAGCAATTTGCCAACGAACTTGCTTTCGTTGAGGGAAATCAGTTAACGTTCCTTCGAATTGCCTCTCGCGTTATGGCGGCTTTCAATTGGCTTAAAAACCGTAAGCAATCAACCAATGGAAGTTCCATTTTCAACATTGATTTTGTAAACGGTTGTTCTTGGTTAACCATTAGGTTGGACGGATGACTTTCGAATAAAGCAATAATCGCGATAGGGTGGAAACGTTGATAACAAGGCAGGTGTCTAGGGTGGAGGTACCCTTCAAGCAACCACCAAGCAACACAAAATGGTGGATTCGTGGTGCATGGGAAGGCGGTAAGATGTCTTTCATGAGGGCTGAGGTTTCCTGGTTCGCGATCCACTCAAGAGAAACCTGGAGTCAACCGTTTAGGGCGAGTATATATTTACAGATCATTTAAAAGTGAATCGCTTTCAAATTCCGCGGACTCACTATGGCATCACTATGGCTCTTTATGAGAGCTATTGAAAGTGTTCTCCAGAATGAGGTTGTCAGTCTCACATGAGTGACTAGAATAACTGAAGTAGGATCTCTGGAAGCACTGTCATAGAATGGTGGAACGATGAGCATGCATTGCCCTCAAAAACCGTACAAAAACAAGGCTGATCAGTGCAATCAACTGAGCTGGGGACAAAAACCTCGAGCCCGAAAACACTGCAACCGGTGAAGCTCAAGATAGCCCAGTGGTTAGTATGCAGACTTACTGACCGGAAGGCTCATGGTACGAACCCAACCTCGACTACTCCCATCTAGGCTTGGGCAACCTGGCAGTGTTTTAGCCCTCGTATTTCCTTCGGGTGACATGATAGATAAGCACCAGAAGTGTTACAATTGAACAGCTATTAGTGAAAGGAAGAAGGCCTCCACTGCGGAGGTGTCTATTGGGAAACACCAACTGAACAGTTACAGACTATTGGACAGGGAAGCAAAATTCTCATATGCACCTTGTTTATAAAAACGGAATATCCGTCTTCTCGGACGTATCCCTGAACTTTCCCGGATACTCATTGACTATCACTCAAATGTAAACGAATGCTACAAAGCAGTACCACAAATTCCGTAAGAAATTTCACTTTTCAATAGACGCGAAGCGGGTTCACGAGGAAACCTCATACTACTCGCATGCTTCATCAGTAGTATCCACCGTTACACCTCTCTGAAAGGTCGTTCGGATGCCACCGATTTTCACTTGCCTCCATTTGATCGGCCCCAACACTCGCATGCTCAGTAGTATCCACCGTTACACCTCTCTGAAAGGTCGTTCGGATGCCACCGATTTTCACTTGCCTCCATTTGATCGGCCCCAACAACTGATCTATTCGACCACCCTTCGTGTGTATCATGTCACTCACGAAGCTGAGTCCCATTTACTATTTTCATTCCCCGACCGTCTTGAACTGTATAGACGTTCCCCGGCGGTCGGTAACGACAAACGGACCTTGCCATCGACTGCTAAGCTTCCGCGCTCCCAGTCCACTCCTTCCAGGACTCTGATGATCTTTCGAGGATCTTTCCGCGCCTACGAGGAATGGTTGTACCTTTCTACTTGCCACTTTCACTCTATTCCTTTCGTGAACGGCGGTGAAGTTTTCTCGAGCTTTCCTCCTTTATCCTCTAGCTCCTTAGGCTCAACTCTTTA